ATTTTAGACTTTTGTAATTTATTATAAAAGGGTATAAATTGAGCCCTGTAAGTTTAATTTTAATTATTTACGTATATACGGTTACAAAGTATATATAATAATAAATATTATATAGAAAAAAGAGTAACGGTATAAGAAATTTCAATTAAAGGCTTAAATCGGATTCTTTATTAATTATATTGCCTCTTCTATTTATTAAATTTAGAACTTATAAATTAACTGTATTATTTATATTCGTAACGTGCTTTTTAACAAAAATTCAATCTATTTAAAGAATTTTGATAATTTTAAAGAAGGATTAAAGTTAATTAGCGACGAAATTACCAATTTATTCAACCGAATTAATTAACTTCCTTAATTATTTATATAATATTTCGAACCCTTTAATATGACCTAAAATATAGAAGATAACAGTCTTACTCCTCTCCTACTATTACTCTTTGATAACGAACTTTAAAAAGATAATAACGAAACGATTTCGAAATTAATAGAGCTTATTATTTAAAGTAAAATATCTATCGATTTTATATTTAATTACTCTATTCCGCTAAGTATATTACTAATCATTTTTATTACCGGCCTTATAATAGATTTATTAGAATTTATCTCCTTCCCGACCTTCGAACTATAAGAAATTATATTTACTATTAAGATATTCATTTAATTAATTAGGCAGCTACAAAGTAAAATAATTATAAAAGTAGAAATCAATTACTCAATTTCTAAGGGTAATAAATTAAATTCTATTAAACGTTAAAACCTCCTTCTAATTTTAAAGATTTACCGCGATCTCGAATATTACGATTTGGGTAATCTTTTTAAGTAAATAGAGGAATTATATTTCGATAACTATAAAGAAATAAAACTATAAGTTAAAATCAACAAAAACATTCCCCGTACTAAAAGTCTTTAAATTTTTAATTATATATAAATATACGTATATAAGTTTAATAAATATAATCGGTTATTAAAAGTGAAAGTTCGCTTCGTAATTAAAGGAGATTAGTAGTATAATTATAGTAAAGAGATATATATTTTTATATTAATTAATTGCTTATTTCAGTCAATTATCGCCTATATTATTAAATTTAATTTCGAACTTATTTAATATAATATAGTAAACGCTTTCGTTAATACTTACTTCGATAAGAAGATCTATATACGTATACTTTCTAATTATTAAAAGTATAATATTATTTTTAAAATTTTCAAAGCCTTCTATAGTCTCCAATGAATTCTTTTACTATAGTAATAAGAATTTAATAGGACTTTTAAAAGCTCAGGGTTTAAACCGTTATTTCAAGACTTATATATCCTTAAATGTAACTGAATTCTAATTTTCTACTATATCAACGATATTATTTTCGCTTTCGATAAATTACAATATAATAAAGTTACCCAAGTTATGAAGAAATTGGAGGAGAAGTATAAGTTTATTAATAGTAATAATTTTTAATAATTTTTAAATATCGAAATTATTCGAAATCGAGAGGTAAATTATATTTGATTATTTTAATGGAAGTATATCTATAAAATTATTAAATTAATTAAAAATCCTTATACCTTCACCTTTATTCTAATAAATAACGAAGAATTTACATTTTATAATAGTGTAGCCTCTTTTAATAAAATCCGGGAATATTAGGTCGTAATCGGCTCTATAATATACGCCGCTATAATTACCCAGCCTAATATTACCTTCGCTGCTAACCGATTAACTTATTATAATTATAATCCTTATCCTTAGTATTATAAGGCTACTAATAAAATTTTATATTACCTTTAATATTATTTTAATCTCTCCTTCTATTATAATAAATTAACGAAATTCAAGATCGCTTTAAATATATTATACGCTAATAATTCTCTAAATTAAAAGAATTCGTATAAATTTATAATTAAACTCTTTAATAATTTAGTTTATTAGGGTATAATTAAATAAAACACGGTATTTACTATAATAATAGAAGTAGAATTATTGTTGATTTTAAACGCTATTAAGGAAATTATTGCTATTATACGTTTATATAAGGAAATTAATATTCCCCTCGATAAGGATATACCTGTAATCGGTTATAATAATATATAACCGATCCATATATTAATTATTAAAGTGACGAAACTAATAACTAAATTAAAGTATATCGATATTTATCGTTACTAATTAAAGTAAGAAACTATAGAGGAAAGAATTAAAATTAAATATTTAGAAAGGAACAAGATATTAGCTGATAGATTAATAAAGGTTCTAGGATAATTACATTACGAGAAATTCTGGGAATTAATAGGAATAACGAATATACTAGCTCGTAAGGAGATAAGGATAGATAAGGAAATTCCGGATAATATTTTAAAAAATATTTACAATTTGGCTAAAGAAATTGACGTACTAGAAGAGAAACTCTATAAATAGCTTCACTTTTGCCTTATTTAGAAAGTCTATAAGTAAGGGGGTATATCAAATTCAAGGGTAGGTTTAGCTATACTATATAGAGGTTAGCGCTCCAACCACCTAATATTACCTAATTTCTAAGCATATCTAGGTTACCCTAACACCCCCCATACCTTCTAAGCGAGTCAATCACACACACTCTTCAATCAATCAATTCTGCACCGTCACATCTAATAACACCAACCACGCCAACATTGTCCCCGCTTCTTGCGCAACCTGCCCCAATGAAAGCAATCACGACATCACCAAATATTGACGAAGCCAGCAGTAAAAATCGCAGTCGTGGGCTGCGTAAGACCTAAAATCGCCCTTAAAAAAAAACCGCCGCGTCCAACAATGCCCTCCAGGTTATTCGCTATCAGTCGCTTCTTCGTCTCCTCTTGGCAGGGGAATTGCAGGCTTGCGGTTGCGAGTCCTCCCTTGAATGCTAAGATGAAGAGAATGTTTGACCGGTGACGATGGAATTGAGGCTCCAATTTCCGCCACTACACACAAAGGAAGTCTTCGTTTTGGTGGACCTCATGATGGGAAAAGGCGGGATGAAGGGAGAGAAGGCTGCGCGGTGTGGCTGCCTCGCTACCTTTCAAGACTCTTCCACAATCTCACATCAGCAAGTGCAAGCAGGTACCGATCACCACGGGATCACTCTTTCCACGACCACATTCCACTTTGCGGTCGATTGTGGTGAGCGGTAGATGCCTGTTATGGGAAGGTGCCGTCGTATTTGCTGCACACTCCTGCAGATGGAAATTGGCAGCAACGAACTCCCACCACAAAGGTTCCTTCCTCCCGTATCGTATTCACACTTTCCCGGTCTCGTCTTTCGGAGCGATGCATCAACAAGTGCAACCTCCATCATCATGAAATCTCGATGGCGGCTAATCATGATTCCATCTCGTTTCGGCACTCTAGACCATTCACACGGCTATCGTGATCGGCAGCGATGTGATGCCAGGTCCAGTCCAATCCCCCAAACACCATGAGACGATGGATGGTGATGGCGACAGAGAGACGATGCACCAAATGCAGAGATGCTGCCAATAGCTCACTTTGTTCTCGCGCATCTGTCCAACCGATGGAAGCAAACCTTGTGGCCACTCCCGCCATCCTGTCTCATGGTTCTGGAATCCGGATCGCCTCGACCGTATTGCCGGGTCACTATGTTTGTTTGCTCTCTCAGCAGGTACGCCACTACGTAGGTGAGTACATTCTAGGGATTGCCTCCCTCCCGGTGGTATCATCTATTCCGTCCGGTCCACGGCAGAACTCGATGTTGCGCCAAGTGGGAATACGGTCACTTGTCACGGCCACCAACGCTCGTTATGCATCTGATGTTGGACAGATCGTCATTCTTGCCCCCATTTTACTGGGACAGTATGCAATGGACAAGACAAAGAGAAACTCCAACAACTCCAACAAAAAAAAAAAAAAAAAAACATGTTGCGATGTTCTCGTATCCGTTGGCTGCTTCAACTCTCAAAGATGGGACGGACAACGAACAGAAGCCAGTTCCTCCACCTACCATTGCAATGAGAATGCTTGGCGGTGCCTTAGCGGATCCTCTGTCTTCGTTAGGGTCTCCTCTAGTTGCTCCTAGGGCTATTATGGTGCCCGATGCTGATGCCTACCATTCCATGCTATTACCTGACAAGGGGTCAAAACCACCTTTTTTCGACATTGACATGGGCGCGGACACTTTGAACCCGCTTCATTCAATCGCACTCCAAATGTGAAGGCAAAAAGCGTCGAAGGAAACTTTGAGCATAGGCATCGAAAAGGAAGCGAAACTTTAACGGTCGTTTTGGTTAAAATGACCCTATTCTGAGTTGGAGACTTTGGCCTGTGGTTGCACTCTGTGAGGACCAAATCTGCACTCTGTGACTACCGTTTTCGCCTATTGACTTCGCAGTGCGCGTCCGGGTATGCAGACCTGATCCTGATCCACCCCAGCAACCCTACACTCTCGTCAATCGCCGGTGACAAGGCTGAGGCCATCCTTAAAAGGGTCTTAAAAGAAGACGGGAACCGCCCACCCTCCCTTTTCCTGGTGAGAATAAACATGGGTGGCTTGCTGGTTGGGGTGGCACCATCTGTTGGAACCTTGACTTACACCCAGACTTTGCCTGGGCCTGTCTTACAGACCTTCCAAGACTAGCACTCGCTCCTCGGCCCCCTACCAATAAGAGGCTCCTCATTGCACAAGGCGTGCTAGGGTGCTAGATTTCGTGCAAAACTCAGCACCACCCAACCTTTACCTCGCCACAACTCTTCTCGAGGTCGCTGACTGGCAGGTTGCGAGGAGCATCAGGAGCAAACAGTGAGCAACACTGGCCGTTACTTACCTTGTGCCTCTGCAAATATCCATCTCTTTTGTCATCGTCACGGCTGTACCGACACCCTTCGACGTGCTCCCAGAGTCATTCCTCGCTCTAGACTCACCCACTAGACATTTGTGGCAGAAATCCATCTTTCTCAATCTAACACACCCTCATCATTCGGTGGCCTGTTAACTCGTGGCTGCTCTTCGGTTTTGCCACAGCTTTCGAGTACCACTCAATTGGTTGCCGTTGTGCGGGGTTTGGGATCTAGGTTCTGGTAAGCTCACTTGTTACTTTTATATGGCGGTATCCGATATTGGGCATGTCAAGACAGCTTTTATCGACGTACGGTTTCCTTTGGCACTTTCTTCTCTGTCTTGAGTTACGTGGTGGACATGGGCTATTTTCCATTGCGCTAATCCGATCGATAGAACACTATTGCGTCCACGTGCGATATTCTGAACTGGTGCCTCACCCAGATGGCTTCTTGGTGACGCCCATTACCGTCTCGTCGCGTTCTGGTGCCTTTCCGAATCAGTGCGCTGCTTTCAACCTTGCTTGATTATTTTCATTGAAATCAACATGGTCTTGAAAAACCTGGCCGTATTGGCCGTCGCCCCTTACCTCGTGTCTGTCCAGGCTCAATCATTCTGGGATAAGGAGCAGGTTAACACCACGCTTTGTTACTGGGAAGAACTGAGAGGTTAGTCTTCCTGACTATCACTTTCCAAAAGTCGTCACTAATCATCATCTAGCCGCTATCATTCGAGACACTATCTATCTAGATGGCGGGAGGTCGTGGTGGATTCCCGGGTTAGCTGATGGGTCACCCGGCGCCATAGAAGACGATGGCAAGATAATTCCAAGGCCCATGAAAGTATACAAATACTAACAATATCTCAGAAAATCCTTATGGACGTATCTTCACGTTAAATCTTGGTACTCCATTCAGTGAAAAGGATAACATCACAGACAAGTTTACGATCATATCGAAGGCACCCGCCGACGGTGGCGTAAACAACATCGATCCAAACTACTACGACGGAGCCTTATTAGCGAATGATGCCCAATGGTTCGCTTACGGAGGGTTGTACTTGAAAAGCGACGCATTCGACACAGAGCCTCCGGGAAACCAAGTACTGGGTTACAGAAAGTATCAATATGGGCTGGAGAAGGGGGAGTTCACCACCGGCTTTGTGAAGGCCAGCTTGAAAAATGTCAGTCGCTATATCGCATACGGCGCCGCTGCAAGCGCCCCTTCTGAGAACAAAGCTTGGTACTTCTCCGGAATGCAGTCTCCATCGAGAGGCCCTGTTCTTGGAGTCTCATCTGGCGATGACGACCAAGCTACCGAAGTAGCCAAAACGTTGATAACTTTGGACATGACGGAACAACTAGAGGAGACTTGGAAGAACGATACACTCCCTTCCAAAATCCCTGGTCGAGCGGGCGCTGAACTGGTCTGGGTCCCAGTCGGTAGCAAAGGTATCCTGGTTGCCCTTGGAGGTCTTGTTTTTCCTCAGTGGGCCAACTCTACCAAGTTCTCGGGAAATGATACAGCAAGCGTCAGTCTTTCTTCTCCATTCAGTTGTCTACCCTTCAGTGCTGACTATCCAAAAACAGAAGGCGGAAAGCCCGGAGTTTATGTCTACGATTGATATCTACGACGTCGCCGCTGGAGAATGGTACAGACAGCCCACCGTCGGTGGTCCTGGTCAGCTCGGTCGAGGTTGTGCCGTTGTATCGCCTGCTCAAGACTTCTCAAGTTTCAATATCTACTACTACGGCGGCCAGCCGGGATTAACGCCGTTTGAGGACTTCAGCGACGACGTTTGGGTTCTCTCATTGCCATCCTTCACCTGGACAAAAGTGGCATCTGGCACGGCCGACAGGGGTCGGGCTGGACACAAATGCTTCATGCCTTACCCAGATCAGATGTTGGTCATTGGCGGTTACAGAAGTTACCCCCAATCTGGACCTCCGCAATGTCTAGATCAATTCATTCGTGTCTTGAACCTGACAACCGGGACATGGTTAACCAGCTACGACCCGGCCAAGTATTCCATAACTTACGGTGTCCCCGAATCCGTCCAGAAGAAGATCGGAGGTTCCGCTATAGGTGGTGCAACGGCACGCGCGCCGAGCGGTGGCTGGGCCACAGCAGACCTTGGAAAGGTCTTTGAGACCAAGTATCTGACCAAGATCGCGACGTATTACCCCTACGCATCTGAGGCGCCAGTTAACAACACAAACCCAGGGGCGCCTCCGTCCGATAAGAATGACAAGAAAAAGGGAGGCGGCGTACCATCATGGCTTCCTCCTGTGCTAGGGGTTGTGCTTGGACTGATGTTCCTGACTATAATTGCTGTCTTAATCCTCCTTTGGAGACGACGAAGGCTATTGAAGGCTGGCACTAGTGTAGCCGAGACCGAAGACACCAACGGCTACCGAATCATGTCATGGATGCGCGGTCAACAGCAACACGCCACCGAGAAGGCTCCTACCGTCACGACCTCGGATGAAATCAGCACTGTTCCTAACAGCCCTAGCCCTATGCGAGATATCGATAGCACAGGATCAGCTATGCCGCCGCCTTCGATTGCCGAAGCTATGGACACACAAATCACGCCGCCGCCGGCTCCGGTAGAGTTGATGGGTAAGAATAATCCCCCATGACCATCAAACATGCCTGCTTACTCCTGTTTACACAGATACCTCGCCTCGTGCCGAGCTCCACGACACTGGCTTAAGCCACATTGATGTCCTAAACCGCCATTCGAGCTTCGGTAGAAATAATGGTGCCGGTAATGGCTCGCTGAGCAATCCTTCATACTACACTGGCGGAACACATCAGATCGATCACGCAAGCAACTTTTCACGATCCACGGGTGTCGCCTCTTCTCTCCCCCCGCACATGCAGGGCGTCGATGGTGCCCCAACCAACTTCCGTCCCGACTCAAAACTGATGGGCAGCGTTCCATCCGGGGCCCCGTCCTCTAACAGAGACATTCCCTCGCCCATGGTCTCGCCAACCACCACAGCCACCCGCGGCTTTGCCCTCTCGGACGTCTCTAATGTCAGCGAGCGTGATAAGGCACACCTCCGACAGATCAGCGACGCAACCGTGAGCTCCATGACCTCGGGACAAACCTACAACAACAACGGACAGCACCCGTCCAACGTCAACAGCAACCACCGCTTCAGCAACGGCCCTTCCCCCACCTCCGTCCCGGAGGAACATGTCATCAACCACCAGGGAGGACTGCAGGCGCCCGACCACATCCCTATCCCCCAGTCCGCAACATCCGCTATGGGCGGTACGCTGCCGCTGGGATCGCCGCAGCCGGTTTCACCGCCTACGTCAGGGTTGGCGGAGGGAAGCGAGGATTATTTGAGCTTTAGGCCACAGCCACCGCCGACGGCGGGGCTTGGCCCGGGGGCCGCTGGAGGTGCTGGGGCGACGAGTAGTCCGAGACGGAGCATGTTTACGGAGAGTAGGGAGGATATGAATGGGACTGGTCCGGGTGATGGGAGGTAATTAGGCTCCGGATATGTGATGGTGGAGGAAGGTGTGGGAAGGCTTGTTTTGGAATGGGAAATTGACGGGTTAGATGAGATGCGATCCATGGGACCGGCCATGGGTGTGTGCTGGGTGTCGTCTTTTTCCTTTCGTCTGGTGTCTGGTGGGTTCCAGTCATTGGTTTCCGGCCTAGTCATGTTCAATGTCCATGTCGGTGATGGGATTCGATGCTCGGACTGAGCTGGTACATACCTTGTGACTAATGAACTTTGCTATCATTTGTTTTGCAGCATTGATGCACTGAATATCATGAGCATATTCTAGTGAACTAGATCCTCTCGGTCCGGCCAGTTTTAGGTTCATCAGTCAGCCCATTGTCATGGAATCCAAGTCCGACTGACCTTGGGCAGAGAACCAAATTGGTCGTGGCGACGGGTGGTTGGCCATAGGGACCTGAAAGCCGCTGAAACGCCGCTACAAAAGTCCACTGCAATGGTCTGCCAGGGTACTGAAATTCAGGGCCGTGCCACCCGGACTACAGAAGCCCACCGTAACGGGTGATGTATGCGCGCCCGGGCCTGAGAAGGGCGGGGTTATCTTTTCACCCTTGGTTTACCAACAAAAAAGGTGTACAGGAATAAAAAACAAGACCATTATAGTGGATTGCATGCATTTTAAATTCTGTTGTCATAATCCGGACGGTCACAAAAGTATGGTTGGGTGCCCAAAATGATGAGTGTCCGAGGTGAGTTTTGGCCCCTCCCCGAAGTCTGCTTCGCGCCTGCCCCAGCTGCTTGACTCGGGCCAGAGTGTCCGGTACCATAACCAAACCTGGACCTGCCAACTATCCCCACAAAATGTGCATTTGTGTTTTTTTTTTCTGTGGGAGAAAAAATGCTTCAAGACCCTTGAAGGTTGGAAGGAATCAGGAAAAGTGCAAGTTTCTGGAAAGAGCGAGCATTTAGTATCTCATGCCGCGGCGTGTGTTATGTGTTATCACGAACTTTGACCACACGCCCTTTGAACAAAAAAGATGCACAAGCTGCAAGATGTTGAACCGCCTAGAGTCGCAGCCAAATGACGGACCCGGAGTGGCGGGAGTGCTTGCATAGATGCACATATCTAGAAATGGAAGGCCAGATGGTGAGGAATTAGACGCACATACATAATGTTTCCGATCATTGTGGCAACGCTTTCTGTTGGTTCCGGGAAACAACTGTCCGGTTACTGCGATGCAGTCTGTAGAGCCTATGTCCGCTTAAGTGGTTGCTTATTTCCTGCAAGGCACCTCTACCTACTTGAACATGCAAGTTTATTTGTATCTGCTACCTACGCTCCGCGGTTCAGCTTGGAAGAGCGGGTGTCGAGGAGAAGTGGTGATAGTAACCTAGCGAACGAACAAGTGTCTGATTGAATTTGATATCAAGTGTCAACAGGAGAAGTAAATCTGGTTATTTTTGATAGTTTTTTTTTTTTTTTTTTTTTTTTTTGCGTAGATCACTGATTCGGGTGCAACGATCTTGTTGGAAGCGGTCCGAGGAAAGACAAGAGGCATGTGTGAACCGGCGGAACAAAAGAACAAAATGATCAGGTTACGGGATAAACTGGTTTGGAAATCACGGATTAATCACAGGTAGATGTACATGCCTTCAGACTTCACTTCTTTCTTACTCCTTCCCGGCGCATGTAATAATTGCAGCCGGGGCTGATGGCTTTATGAGACGCCTGGCGGGAGAGTCAGTGACGCACCTTTTCCAGGTTGTGGTAATTATGCAGCACGTGTTGGTGGTGAAACGTATCAACCTGAAGAGGAAGTAAAAAGACCAAGAAAAATAAAAGAAAGGAAAAAAGAAACCGAAAAATGACGTGGGTCGAGCCGGTAAGGTGACGGTCTTCGTAGCTGCACTTTGGTCGTTCCCACATTGTGCCCCGACAGTGCTGTTTGTGGGATTTTGCCTGTTTCTCCGCTAACACCGACTGGTGCAATCCCCGCCTGAAAGTGAACACAAAAGCGGTGAAAGTTGTTAGAGGGCCATCTAGGTCACACCTTGGCTTTCCGGGGTTTCCCCTTTTGGTGACCCGCCGACTGACTGGAAGATGTTCTAGCACGGACCACACCGACTCTCGATACTGCATCGCATGTACATACCGTAGAAACTCGGTCAATTGGCAAAAAGCTAATGGCTGAAAAACCTGGATATCAGACAGGGTGCTGGCAGATCTGTAATGCTCAAGTCCGAGCCTGTGCATTGAAACGCAAGCAAGATAGTCGTGGGCAATATTGTAGAGCTTTCATTAACAGGCCGGGCATACGTACAGACGTATACTGCTTCCTGTGCTTACTGTCGGGCGCTCAAAGAGGGATAGCTTTTTGCCAATTGACCGAGTTTCTACGGTACCTTCATACCTATCGCCCGACTGACCACCAAGGGCCGCATTCGTCAAGTTCCCCAAACTTGTTGCAAAGGCAGTGTAAGTCAAAAAGGCTACATACAGCCGAGTTGCACAGATGCACGGAGTTTATTCCAACTCCTGACGCGCTGCACCTTTTTCTGACAGAACCCTTCTTGTTGTCTCGAGTTTTCAAGCACATTTCCATCCTCTGGCGGTCTTCCACAACTGATAGTTGGCTTTTAACATATATCTCAGAGTTTCTGCGATATAGGCGTACGTAAATGGCTATACTGCTGATGATTATTTAGAAAAAAACGAACAGACTGGTCTGAAGGGCTAAAATCGACAGAGGAGAGCGCTGGTGGCATGGTATTGTCAGTGTCCTGGACCGCGGTGATGGGTAGAATGGTGGTGGATGGGATTGTCAATGTAGGGCACGACCCTCTCTACAGTTTCTGTATGCTTCTTGGTTGAGAGCTCCTTGTTGTGTCTCCGAAGATTACACGAGCTGTCCGCATGTTTCGGAGGCATATATGCCCGCCATATGTGTATATCGGAGGGGAGCCCCATTCCGCCACCCTTCGCTTGAATTTTTATTGCTACGGGCATGAAGTACGTGCAGGAGCGTCGTCATGGCAACTTGGTTTATTTCATATCTTGCTGTCTCCCAAGTCTATATATGTCCGGCTTCTCGCTGGTTCATTTATTCTTCTCCTGCTCTCATGTGCTTGTCCATCCCATCTTTGCCTCGTTCAACATAAAGACCAGCCAGCCCCTCCGCTGCTTTAGTTTAAAACCAGCCACCTCCTCTCGGCCTTCCTCAAAAGTTACACACCCATTATCTCGCCACTGCCAACTGGCCGACAACATCTCCAACTTCCGATAACCCGCAAATCCAAGTCGAACATCTATTCAATTGCCTCCAACCTTGACTCGGATCCTCCATTCGCTCCTTCTCCCGCCCTGAACCCATTTCTACGAGTTACACTACCATCGAACCACTACCATGTCTTACTTTACCGGCGGAAAGCACGTTGACGTCTCGGAGTCGGGTGCGAGTGGTTTTGGGGCGGGCCAGAAGCTACGTCTCAAAAAGCATTTTACCCTTAAAGATCTCCAACTGAGCACGGCGACCAAAGCAGCCGCTGAAAGTTTCCTTGCCGACTTCCCCAACGGCGAGTTTTACTCCACGGAGACTGACTCGGGGGGAAACAACCTGTGCGGCCTCTATGCTATTAAAAATAGCATGTTGGATATTGCGAGACAGAACCCCCAGATGCGCCTCCTGCCTGTGCCCACAATTCCCGGGCTTTGGAAAGCGTTCCAGGTTTATGTCATCCCGCATCTCAAACAACAGTATCAGGAAATGGGCCTCCCGGACCTCGAAATCCCCACCAACAACTTCTCTGGGGATGTACTGAGGCTCATCTTCAAAGCGTGGGCGATGGGTTTCGAGGGCCTGCTCAGAAACCACTGGGGAGGAGTGGACCTGGGCCTTGTTGCCCCCGTTAAGATGGACGCCAAAAACCCGGAACTGCAGCCTCTACGCCCCCAAATAGAGTTTTCCGGGCCGACCCCGTCGGGACTCCCCATCCTCTGTCCCTATATTCTCAACAGGGGCTTGCGGCACTGGGAAGGGATCGCTCACGTCCCGCGGAAGAGTCAGAAACAATCGTTGCCGCGGTTTGATCACCAGCCGCTAGAGATGGGGCCATCGATTCACCCTCTTCCTGAGGGTCAGTCGGCACTCTCCGGTTGGGGCCAGCTACAGCAGTACGCCGGGCAGCCTCAACTTGACTTTGGCCCGGATTACACGATCGGCTTGAATTATGAGCTCGATCACCCCTCTGGAGAATCTTACCAGCCACTCCTTTCCCCCTTTTCCGAGCCGTTGTACAAACCATACCAGCCGTTACTGTCTTACACCCCGGAGCTGCAGGTGGAAAGTCTGCGCGGAGGGTGCCCATTGCTGGACATACAAAGTGGGATGTATGCCACGCCCGAACCTTCGCCTCCTTCTACCTGCAAATTGTTGGACTTGGGGGGAGGTCAAGACTTTGGGCTTCCTCAAAGCTGGATGACATCACCCTCTTCAATTCCATGTCCTTTTCAGCCGAATCCCTATCTACAGGGACCTCCAACTTCCTACCTCTTTCCTGGGCAGGTACCTATCGAGGAACCTGGATGGACCTTCTCCCCCTCGCCATCTGCATCGACCCCTTGTAACCAACCGATGTCTCAAATGGAGCAGCAGGCGTGGAGGCAACTGGAACGTATCATGACTGGCCTCCAGGGGCAACTACAAGGGGGCGGTCAAGTCCCCATTTCCCATGTGCAGCCGCCGATACCCCGAGCGGCCCCGAAGCGGCGCATGCTGTCTGAGGTTGAGGGCAATAAAGGTCAAGAAGGGGAGAGGCCAGCGAAAGAAGAGGAGGAGGAAGTAGAAGGGTGAAAACGATATCGTTGGGAGTCCATGCCCCGGGCTGCCCTTCACTGGGCTCCTCAAATACCGGCACTCCCTTCCGGGGTATTTAGGCTACCCTCGCTGGTTTCCGTTCCTCCTCTTCCGTGTGACAACTACAGAATCACAGCCCTTTTTCTGTCATCTCCTTTTCACATCGGCCAGATATGGACTTGGGCGTTGCAGGGCTGAGGAAAGGGTGGATTGTGTTAGCATCTGCACTGGATTAGCATTTTCATTGGGTTGGAATTTCCACTGGGTTTTGTTCGCATCATCGGGTTGGCATCATCGGGTTCGCATCATCGGGTTGACATCATCGGGTTCGCATCTGCTTGGGTATGACTGGCATTGGATTTTCAAGATTGTTGTTTTGGGTACTTCTTCCCCTCAAGAGCGCAGCATTGTTTAGACGTTAAGGCTCACGCATTATGGTTTACGATTTATGATTTACGAGTTATGACAAGGTTAAGAGGCAGTTACCCAGAGGTGCCCTACATGTATTTTAGCCGTTGAGACCAGCGCGGTCAAGTATAGGTACTCAAGCTTACCAGAAGGTTGAATTACTCGTGGCCGTGCGTGGTGGTATTGTTCAATGACATATCGATTCGCTCCAATAGCACCAGATCAAATGATGTCTTTTACCTCCAAAGATTACGAAGAGAACCGATGGTGATGTGTTGCTGGATTGCATGGTGTCATTGATCTACATTTGCCGGTACGAGCCTCAGGGAAGGTGGTGATGAGCGGATAACTGACACTCAGTCATTCCTTCCGCCTTCAGACACCTACTACTGCCCTTTCTGCTCCCAAAAAGAAGTTACGGTAGACCCGTAGGCCGTCACAGTCCAGACACTAGGTTAATACTTTCGCGTCAGGTATTTATCACTGATGGAGTTGTGCCGCAAAATCTTGAGCATGGAAGAGGATGATGCGACGCTGTTTACACATGCTGGTAAGATCAAAGATAGGTAGTCAAGACGGCAGCCGACTAACAACATATCAAACCACCTCCTGGACCGTTCGCTCGGCAGAAGGCCGCAGTGCTATCACGCACCTCCACTCAGTGTACCTTGTATCCAACCAGACGGACGCTCATGCCGTGCCAGTCTGGTCACGACCAACATGAAGTTCAAGTCCAGTTGACAGATGAGCGGAGTGATGCTGGGATGCACCTTCCCTCCGTATGTCGACATGAGCCCCCAAGTCATGAACAGCAGTTGCAACTGCCGTCAGGACACTCGCACTTGTGAGTCCGTCTCGCTGGATCTGTACTATGGGCTCCAGAGGCACGCAGGGCTGCTGCTGTTGTGAATGGAAAAGCTGCCCGCTCAGCGGTTCGCCCGTTAGCGGAACACATGAAATCGAAGATATGGTGATCAATCTAACGAGATATTTGACGAAAAGCAAACACCAACCAACTCAATATTATAATCGGAAGTCCCGGGAGCGTAGGTAGGTACTACACGGATCGGGGACCTGAACAAAGCTGATCAGTGGATGATCAATCTGTCTCCCCTCCGTCCCGTTTCGTACTTCCAGTGCTCCGGATGGGAGACGAACACTCTCCAACAGAGCGGATGAGCTCACTGAGCAAAGCAAAGCAGGGGAGGAAGGAGTAACCTACTCATAAGGTCGAGACAGCGGAAGAGCGAACTGAGATCTTGAGCAAGGATCCCTTGCTTGGAAGATGCAAAGTCGTCGGTAGGTAGCTTAATCTTACGTACCACGCTTCCTTTGGCCCTTCTCGCTGTTCCTTGATCCTTCTTTGATGCTTCCATTTTTCGTTCGTCTCTGTGTTGATGGCGAGGGTGGTATCGGCCGGCGAGACTTCCGAATGCCACTGTGGTTGAGAGGACTTTGTGGTCAAAAAAAAAAAAAAGATTCTGCGCCGATCACAGATAGCGGAGAGTAATACACATTCTCTGTTATTGCTCGCACAAAAGACAAGGATAGGATGCCATCGCTTATTTACACCTCCAGGTTATATCCCTTCTTCTACCCCGAACTTGTCGAGCACTCATGACATGCTTGACCATGGAAAGGGACAAGTATTCAAGCTTGATCCTTCTTTGTGCTATGAGCTTGTTTGCCTATTGTTTTCTACACGTGCCTGCGTTTATCAACGAGCGGAGCGGATACTTTCCTTCTCGATGGAGCCTCCTTGCTTCCCTTCACGCCGGATTCCAGCCCGCACCGTCTTCATTTGGGGATGTGTTCCGGGTACTAGGTATGTATATTGGTCTGCTGGGTCGGAGCCGTTTCTGGTTCAGGGAACCTGGAAAGATATTATACTGTGCGTGCGTTGAGGTTTGTTTCCGACGCTCGAGGCTTGAGGCTTGAGGCTTGAGGCTCTTTCCAGAGGAAAATCGAATCCAAAAGGAATGCATCTTCCTTGGAGCGGCTCACGCGGTACGTTTCTCATTCGCCGGTATCTCATTTCTTCATTCCCAGGCCTTGCTGACGATGAGGACGAGATAGATAGATGCCTAGGCATACAACGGTAGCACCGACCGGTATTAGGATTATGTGTAGCCCGTCCGAATGGACATCCGCTCGGGGAGAAATGTAACCTCTTCTCCCGGGCCCCGGCTAGTCTTCAAGCCATTCGCCGATACACAGCCCGGAAAGCACGGTATCCATGCGCTCACCTTCCTATAAGTTGTGCTTCCCGCAATGAGCTGAGAATATCCACTGTTCCTGGCATCTTGTATGTCCCGGTCGAATATGTATGTATTTCAGTTCTTTGTTCCGACCAACTGTCTTGTCGTGAAAGACGCCGCATGCGCCCGCGCTATGCGTGGCTGATAAAGCACCCCCGATTTACGGACCCCATCTCGCCTTGCTCCCAGTTTTTTTTTGCCTCAACCTAACTGCGTTGTTTGTGGTTATTTCTTCAGCTGAGCTCTGCTTGGGAGATCTTGGAAGATCTTCGAGGGATTTTGGAGGCTCGGGGTCCATCACTTCCCATTTCCCGGAAGACGCCGTGAACTGGGAAAACGCCAATCAAACCCTGCATGTGGCTAATTAAAATTACCTGCAGCCTTTTGGGTTTTGGGCGCCCCTGGCGGCATTTCATATCTTTCTAGAATCTCGCTAGAATTTCTTCATTCCCCTGCTCTGCCAGTAACTCCATGGTCTTTGCAGTTCCGATTCATTTTGGCCGGGTTTGTTGCTGGGTTTGTGCTGGTTTGATGTCAGATTCTCATGTTCAAATAAGATAACGGACGGAAAGGCGCTCCCCGCGAGAGTAGCTCGTGGCACCATGACCCGGAAACGAGCGAGCGGACGCATGGAAAGAAGCGTGGGAAGCATGGGTTGTTTGGCCTTGACGAAAACGTGTTGTGTGGAAGCGGAAATGGAAAGGGAAAGCTTGCGGAATTCAAGATTGTGTTTCACCACCCTGTTTAGTCGGGCGTTGGGAGCAGATTGTGAAAACTGTTCGGAAAACTTGGGCAGATTTGATGCTCAGGGAGTCCCAGGGAGGGCCATGGAGGAGGGAAGCATGGGAGGCATGGAAAAGAAGAATGGTCACAACGAGAGAAGGGGTCCATCCATGGCTGCGTTGCCGAACCGTGAACTTGGCGGTCCTGTCCCCACGGTGTGGGAATCGCGAACCGTTCCCGCGTCTTGAACCTTGTGGGGTCCAATCCCGTTCAGCCGCTTTTCTTATCAGGAGAGCCCGGGCCCCCGGGATGGTGGTGATGCGAAAATGATGGTGTTTTGTGGAGTGCTAATCTTTTGGTGTTTTCGTTGTCTTCCGACACCGGCGATGGTGAGATTTCGGGCGCATTTCTTGGTGTTTGCTTTGTAGTTTTCTCGAACAGTAGGCGAGGCCTTCTGAGCTTCTTTCACAGCGAGAACCGTTCCATCTCACGAACTCCGCGAACAGCAATCACGGACCTGTTCCTACCACATGCTCCGACACCACGGACGAACGAGATGCACCAATGCATCATCATCCGCTGCATGAAACCACCTGGCACTGCTGCGAACCCCGCCATGCACCGCTAACGCAGGTGCAATGCAGCACAAATGTCCGTGGGGTGGGGGTTTCCGTGTGGTGTGGTGGAGGCATTGTTTAAGAAGCTGGTGGTGCTACGTCCGTAGAAGGGCTGGACTCCGGTTAGAGTTGCGCCTCTGAAAGCCATCGAAGCCTTTCGGGTTGCAAAAGACGTTTTGTCTTGTGACACTTGGCTTCAGGTCCATGTTCCGAAGGGCGGTGGACGATAACGGTCGGGTGTTTTATGTTTCGAGATAATCTCTGGTGATCGCGATGTCATTCTCCTCCAGGAGTTCCAGTGGCCGGTTATTAAAGGTGGATTCGTTGGTGGAGTGAGCGATCAGAGCCATTTCTTGGCTGTGGTGGTTCGAGCTCTTGGCTGAGACTATGTTGATAGTACAGCGTGTTACAGAAGGGACATGTCCTTCCATGAACCTTCTTATAGTCGGTATATAGTCGTTGGCTGAGATGACAAGACACAGTGGGGGTTGTGCCGTCTTTGGTCAAGAGCTGTGCATATGCGCATCATGTTCTGGTTGGGAATCATGATCTGAGTGAGGTTGGTGATCTTCCAACGCAGGTCCAGATCCCCTGGGCTGGGAGGCTAAGGCTCAAGGCTGAACCGCCGCGCTGGTTACGGTATGCTGCTGTTGCCTTGTTCGAAACACGAGGAGTGGATGCCTTGCCCCAAGGAAAAAGGAAAGGAGGAACCGAGATAGCGAGAGTGAGCCGAGTTGGTCCCAGGGACGTGGATGAAGAGAATCGGGAACCGCGAGCTGAAGCGGTCGGTTATAACGAGGACATGACTGCAGCGTCGTAGGGGTAATTTGCAATGGTCCGTCGAGAACTGGGGCTCGTGGGACGACTAAGACGGAAATGTCTAGACGGAGAGATGGTGTCGACGCCCAAGCATGGCCCGGATTATTACGTGCCCTGCTATCGTCGAGGTTCGTAGCTGGCATTGGTCGGATGCTGAAATACCGATGTTCGTCGCGCAAAGTCATCACACAAGAGTGAAGCAGAAGTCGTATCCCGATGCCATCTATTCGACAAAGATTTGCCCGTGATCCCCTTCGTCATCCAGAGCTGTCAAAGTGGAAACGATAGAGAAAGTGGACAAGGCGAGCCGATAAAGGCCCCGGCCCCGTTGTGACTTCTGTGATATACATGTACCCTCCCGGTTTGGCGCTGCGAGAAGAGAAGTTGGAATCCCATTGGTCAAAAGTGTTCGAACGCTTTGTTTCTCGGCCAATCAATCAGGCCACAGCCCTGCCTGCCCCAGAAACGAGCACGAACCACGAGCGACCATCTCCTTTTCGGGGTGACGTCCACTCTGCCCACCACTTGTGCGCCCGTGCATCGACGGGTCTTGGCTACCCCTTGGAGCCATTTCCCTTGCGACTTGTCGTCCAAGACAGTGTGAGAAGACAAGTCTTTTTGGCTGCAGCTCTCCATTTCGCGGCGAGCAAACCCACTTCTTTGAGCAGGCAATATTCCCGCGGTAGCTCACGCCATTTCCATCTGGCTTTTCCATTCTTTCCTTCTTTCGACCCTTTTCTTTTTTCCCACTTCACAAACCCAAAAGCACCGTTTGTGGTTTTTCGTCGCCTTGTCTGTCCCGGCTTTTCCCTCTGTCGTCAGAATTTTCTCGATTGATACCCGACCCTCCTTTACTATACATCTACTAGCGCCCCTACCTAGCAGGTACCGCTAGCTTGTAGCCTCTCTGTTTTAGGGGAATCCCTGGACAGCACTGATCAGTGGCTCGTTTCCTCGTCGTTCCTGCTTGCCCATCTCCACAAACCGCTGCTGCACTCTGCTGCACTGCACTCTGCGCGCCCGCCGCTCAATTCACCGCAACCACCACCCTACCACTTCCCACCACTTACCGTCCAACACTGGCTCCAAGGGCACTCACCTCAACTTCCGCTCGCTCATCTCCGTCGTCAAGACTGCGCGTTTCCCCCGACAACACGCTTTCCAAGGAACTTCGCTTCCTCCTTCTCAGCAATCATCGCCATCCCCTCCCTCGACCTTTAATTCTACCCGCCTTCGCATCCAGGATCCCCCCTGAGGGCCTTATCAATCACCCAGTGACGTTCTCTGCACCGTTGCCGAGCGACCGTGACCTCAGTCACCTAATCATTTGAGGAGGTCATTCCATCTTGCCCCTCGTGTCGACATCTCGACTTTTTCCAACCTTTTACTTTTTACATCTTCTTTAATCAATAGCCAAAATGGCCAACAAGGTGAGTCGCTCTGCAGCCGTCATCCATTTCGCACTCCTCAATTGAAACGCGCTCTTGGGTTCAATCGCCTGCGGCATTTGGCTAACATCGCTCTCTTCTCCTTTTCACAGTTCACAAGAGAATACAAGCTGGTGGTTGTCGGCGGCGGTGGTGTCGGTAAATCGTGCCTTACCATCCAGCTAATTCAAGGTCACTTCCTTGACGAATATGATCCTACAATTGAGGGTACGTTCCACTGAATACCAACAGGGACCCTTTATCCCGAACGAGCCCTGAACTAACTTTGAGCTCAACAGATTCGTACCGCAAGCAATGCACCATCGACAATGAGGTCGCCCTTCTCGACATTCTAGATACCGCCGGCCAAGAAGAGTACTCTGCCATGCGCGAGCAATACATGCGCACCGGTGAAGGCTTCCTGCTCGTTTTCGCCATCAACTCGAGGGAAAGTTTTGAGGAAATCAGGATCTACCAGCAACAGATTCTTAGGGTCAAAGACAGGGACTCGTTCCCCATGATCATTGTCGGAAACAAGTACGATTTGAGGGGAGAGCGCGTTGTTTCGGAGCAGGGTAGGTTTTCACTTCATCCTCGGAAGGGTCAGGACAGTACGCTGATATCATTTTGCAACAGAGGGACAAGCTCTCGCCGCCGAGTTCGGTACCAAGTACATCGAGACTTCCGCCAAGACACAACACAACGTCGAGAACGCTTTCTACGATCTCGTCCGCGAAATCAGGAAGGAGGACAAGAAGCTCGGCGAGAAGGTCGGCGGTACCTCGTTCGCCAACAACAACGGGGCGGTTAAGCAGATGGACGTCGGCGACGAGGACGTCCAAGCAGGTTGCTGCGCTAAGTGCATAATGATGTGAATGCTCGAAACCAACAGGGGAAGAGCAAGCGGGGAGTTAAAAGAATTGGGTCACGTTTGCAATGAAGAGATGGACGATCATACACACACGCACACAAAATCCGGACTTTATAGACGACATGGATGTGCAAACAACCAAAACACAGAAGCCATATCGGACGGCCACGCCCATGCCTTAGCTCACGTACAGGGACCAGTCGGGCTCAGGACAACGGGACCAGCGGAAGGAATATCAGCGTTTGGAGGCATTTCAGGCGAGAAGGGGGTTAGGAACCGGGACCGGGCACACACATTCTTTGCCTTTTGTGGGCATTTGTTGCAGTGGCACTTGCTCGGATGAGCTGAACGACTTGAAAAAGTTGCTCTCAGTTAACAACCGGCCGCTGGGTCTAATATTACGCCGCCGCTGCTACATTCTGCCCCTTGGCGTTCGTGAGGCGTGGTCGGTTTCTCTATCAGCGTCTGGAAGAGGTCGCCGAGGGAAGAAGGAAGGTTGGTTTTGGTCTGGTTGGTTTGGCGAAGGGGTTGGTTGGTGTTTGGTATAGTTTTGGTCCTGTCTGGTCTGGTCTGTCTGGGGTTTTTGTTGGCACTTTTCTGTCCGTGTTTCACGATCCACGGATTTTGTGGTCAAATACTTCTTTTTACTATTTTTTTTTCACTTTACACATTTTGGGAGTCTGGCTTATCCGCGAGAGAACTCTACTTGCTATGGATGTCATGTCATGGTGGGGATTCCGATCGATACTGGTTTTGCAAACTCTCGAAAGAAAACCGTTTATTTGTAATTCATTCTTACTAAACCTTTTTTTTCTCTCCTTTTCCCCTTTTCGCTCACTCCTGCCTGATCTGATCGTTTCCTCCCGTTATTTTTATGTCTCCCATGTCTAAAAGCATGCATAGTAAAAGTGGTTGGTGGTTGGTGATTGGTGGTTGTTAGTTATCTGTCCGTCGAATACATCATCTCCTCTGGTTGAAAAGTCTTGGGTGCCATGATGTCGTGATATGCGTGTTTGAAGTATCTGATGTAAACGTACATGAACCGTTGATGGCCACAGTCACGTTTCAAGTTATTACTGCAGTCAGTAGGTAACTTCTGCTGGAACCTCAGCCTTGCATACGGCCAATAAGGCTGAATGAAGTCTTCTTAGATGGAAATCCGTCAATGGCTGCCACATTATCTGACCATGACCACCGCGGCGGTGTCAGTGGACATGAAAATTGTCAAAGTAGATAAGCAGTCATTGTCAACGAAAAATGGTTGAAACCAGTCTCATTCATCGATCGGCCTTGTCAACCATAAGTAGGCAGCTCGTCCACGGCAGGTACAGTCTAGTCTAGTCTAGCACGACGAGCACGACATTAATTCATCATCATCATCCGTCCAGACACAGCACGTGCTACGCTAGTAGTAACCCTCAAGCATTCACTACCACACACGGTCTTTAGGTATTGTATTATCCATTGTCAAATGTCTGACTAGATAGACTCTTGCTCCATAGCTCACTTTCAGTCCTTAATCAGCTGAAGAGCCAAACTAGCCATACGAGCCAAATCAGTCAATGGAGCAATGGGCGGCGCATCGCCAAACACAGGCAACGTATAACCTTCGGGAGATGATAGAGGGGACACCGACGGCTGGCGGCAAGGGGAAGAAGGTGATTCAAGCACTGACGAGTAACAATTCGCGGACGTCATGGGGGCTACGGGATGGTTGCGCTACTTGGTCCCGGACCCCGTTGTGGTTACGTCCGCGGTTTCGGTGGGCGCACCAGCGTCAACGTCGTCCTCGCTTTCGGTAGTCACGATCCGGCCTTTGACGTAGTGGCAGACTTCGGGGGCGATGGAGTTGAGGAAGTCTTTGTCTCTGTAGACGGGTATGGTTAGCTGATGCGCTTCATTGTCCGAGGCGCAAGGGGAAGGTGAAATAGGAGGTAAAGACTTACTTTCCAACAAGGGTAACCGTGTTATGCTTCTCCCCCCATCTGGGGTAGCTTCCAACCTTGACGCCCTTGGGCTCAACTCTCGCTGCCAGCTCGGTGAGGTAAGCGGCGATAGCGCTCTCAGGGAGTGGCGTGGAGATGGTAACTCGGGCAATACCCTTGCCTTCGGGGTCGACTAGGCGCGGCTGGATGTAGGGCTTGAGGCCGTCTAGGAGTTTCTCGACTGTGCAACACTCGTTAGCTTTCGCTTTCAATAATCTTCCTCGACACTGCTTCGATATCCCATGACGATCGGGAAGGGAAACATACACAACCTAGGCACACCCGGCAAGATGTGCACATTGCCATTCACCACCGCCACCGGCACCCAAAGTTCCTTGCAAGGAAACAGGAACTGCTTCGCCGGGTCTCTGTTGACGTCTGTCGGTAGCTCCACCATACGGAGCTTTGCGGTGAGAACGGGCGAGGGCTCGTCCCACTTGAACGGTGGCTCGCCCTTACGCGGAACAGAGATCTTCTTCATGAGTTCGAAGGCCTCTTCGTTCAGCTTGAGAGGGAGACCGAAGGCTTTGGCTATCGATTGGTAGGTGATGTCGTCGTGGGTGGGGCCGATGCCTCCGCTGTTGTTGAACGTGGTCAATGATGCGTCCTGGACACTCAACGGTGTGGGTAGTACCTGGTGACTACAAAGTCATAGCGATCACTCATGCGACGGACTGCCTCGATGATCTCATCTTCATCGTCGGCGATGACTTCGATCCTCTTGAGGTTCTGATATGTGGCGTCTACAGTGAGCTTTGGATTTTTGTAGGACACTGGAGTGGATGGCTAGAACTCACAATGCCCAAGTTGAAGCACCATTTTGCCATATAGTTGGAATTGGTCTATAGTAAGTAAGCATTGGCTCTTGATAGCAAGATATTCCGAGTTCTCGACTTACATCTCTGGTCTATACAACAACGAAGAAACAGCTGTTAGTCTCCTCTCTGGCCGTTGTCCATACACAAACTTCATAAACCTGCCTTTCCGCCCAACACCTCGTCACCAATAATCAAACAAGCTGCCGTATGGATAGTCCGCGCATTGCGCTCATCTGCCGTGGCCGTGGACCCCATGATGCTGTTGAATAGTCCTGTTGACGTCCGGCGTGGAGCTGATGTCGACGGGCTAACAAATGACGTTATCGCTGGCCGTGACAAGTGCCGAGCAACCTGGGATAAACGAGAGAACATGAAGGTTGTAAGACAGATGTTCGAGGTTGAAAGAACTGAAGAGAGGATGAAGAAAGAGCAGTCCAATGTCACATTCGGCTTGTCTTGTGCCGATGCGTGGTTGCGGCTCTGGTGCCTGCCCATCGCCGTCCACGGTCCCGTCCAGGGAAGGCCAGGCAGCGCCTTCCTCGCTCCGTTTTAGCGGGTCAAAGCCGTTAAGCTTCGGCGGGCCAATGGCCGGGACAGCCCCGCTGTCAGTGAGAAATCGATAACAGCTTACGCTACGGGGCTGATAGCTGCTGAGCTGTGGACTTGGCAGTGATGCCATGCGGGGCCGGCTTGCGTCCCTGGACGAGGGCGGTGTCTCGGTCCCTCGACAACTCAACGCGACATCTTTTCGAGCTTCAACTACTTTGCTATCCCTAAGCTTTGCGACATTGCCTATTCCCCTTCCCATTTACCTTGCGACCTCTTCTTTTTGCCGTCCGAACCCTACGTATCCGACCGACCTAGAAACAGTTCTACACAATGGTGCGCCGCTTCCTTCCTATCGCGACATCCGATCCATCCATACCACCAGCTCCTATCTCCAGCTTCCAAGCTGTCCAACGAAAGCCCCTCGAGATCCTCATGAACTACAGCTAATACCGACAAAATCAGGCCTCCGAAGCAAGACTCTACACCTTCTCCCAAGAAACCAAAGACCACTTGCGCAAGTTCCGCCTCGGCACCTCGCGCTCCAACGACCCCCAGGCCGTCATCTGTATGTATGTTCCCGTTCAAGGGTTGTCTCTAGGTATCGGTACAGCAGGTCAAGAACTAATAAATGTAATGCGCAAAACAGACCTAATCGATAAGACAACCAAAGAAATCAAGCAAGACGACGACAAAGTAGTATACAAGACGCTCGAAGAAATCGGCGATGACTTGCCCGACCACAGCCCGAGATTCGTGCTGTTGAGCTATCCCCTGACACTCGTACGTTTACGGTTCAAGCTTCCTTCTACTGTCGATCTCTCCATGACCCTACGACATCCATCCATAAGCCTTGGCCTTGTGAAGCGCCGCCGGACGTATAGAAGAGGAAAGGTGAGCTGACCACGATGCGCAACAGCCCTCCGGCCGACTATCGGTCCCCTACGTAATGCTCTACTACATGCCCTCAACATGCAACAGCGCGATGCGCATGTTGTACGCGGGCGCCAAGGAGTTGATGCGCAACACGAGCGAGGTGACCAAGATTATCGATATTGAGTCGCCGGAGGAGCTGGAAGAGATTCCGGGTAAGCTCGGGGCTGCTTAAGCTGTTCGAGGGTGCGATGGGAAGGGCAGTTCGAGAGGGCGCCGTGATAGGAGAGCCGGAGATGGTCAGTGGGGGCATTGGGTATAAGAGCTGGGAAATCACGCGACGTACAGCCAGGAACCAGAGCAAGGTATAAGGAGCACAGGGAGGCCATTGTGAAGGAAGGCAAAGTTCAGCTAGATGCCGGATCATCTATGATCTTCTCATATATAAACGCCGTGATATCCCAACCATATAAAGCCAGAAACCAGTCCCAAACTCCGTGTCCATGCTACCCTTGTTCCCCCTCAAGCGTCATCCTCCTCCGGCATCACCACCGCCGGATCCAATCCCATCTCGGTCGCCAAGCCCTTGACCACCCCCTTCAACGCCCTACACGCCGGGCTATCCGGGAAGCTATCAAAGAAACTCTCGCCATAATCGCACGCCATGCCAATCCTCGGATCAAGCGGCACACTCCCTAAAAACGCAATCCCCATCTCCTCCGCCAGCTTCCTCCCACCCCCCGTCGTCGCCTTAAAGATCTCGCTCTCATGCGTGCACTTGGGGCACACAAACCCGCTCATATTCTCCACCAGTCCCAGCACCCTGATCCCCGCCTTCCTGCAGAAATCAATCTCCTTCCTGACATCCAACAGGGACACCTCCTGGGGCGTGGTAACCATCACGGCCCCATCAATGCCGCTCTCCTTCAGGTACGTGTTCACGCTCAGATGCTCATCGCTTGTCCCGGGAGGCGTATCAACCAGCAAGAAATCCAAATCGCCCCACTCCACATCCTTCAGAAACTGCTTGATAAGTCCGTTCTTCTTCGGTCCGCGCCAGATAATCGCGTCGTCGCGGTTCGGCAGCATGAACTGGATGCTCATCACCGCCAGATTATCCATCGCCCACGCTGGCGACCACCCGGCGCTGGAGACGTGGATCGTCTCCCCCTCCACGCCCAACATTTTTGGGATCGAGGGCCCGCAGATGTCGGTGTCCATCACGCCCACCGTTTGTTCGGAGTTGGTCGCAAAGGCGTGCGCTAGAAGGCTTGTGAATGTTGACTTGCCCACGCCGCCCTTGCCGGAGAGGATCAGGATCTTGTGTTTCACGCCCGATAGGCGCGCGGTGATGAGAGGGATGTCGGGGTCGGGACCTTTGGGCGCGGTGGCGCAGATGGCTTGGTTCGGACACCCGGCGCAGGAGTCGGCGGTGCCGGCTTGTTGGGATTCGGGGCCGGGACAGTGTTCGGGTTCGGGGGCGACGAGTTGGGGCTTTTGGGCGAGAGGGTTGGCGAGGACGGAGGCGACCGAGTCGGGCTCGGCCTCGAGGGAGGGGGCCATGGTGGGCTGGTGGGCTGGTGGTCTAGGCCGGTCGCGCGAATGTGTTGAGCTGTGTGGAAATGATTTGGCGGAAAGATGACTCGATGTATGTGTGGTTTAGAGTTTACGCGCTGGTCGTTTTGAACGTATGGGTTGATATTAGATAGTGTTTGGGTTTGTCGTTGATATGGGAATGATTCAATGGCTGCTTAGAAATCGGGCTTCCTAGAATCGGTCTTGTCCACGCACGCCATTTGCCTCCACTCCAGTCGACTTCAGGTTTCTGTCGGCGGGGCTTATCTTATCGTGCACGGAGGTACGTACCGATTTTCGCGGGAAAGGCGGGGCCGCTAACACGGGAGACCGACCCGGGATCTTGCCTCCACCGATCGCGGAACAGGACTGCCCTGCTGCCCTTGCTCGCCTTGTTGAAGCTTTTATCTTTTGTTCAGCTGTCAGCATAAAGAGAGGAGAAGACTTTGAAGGGGTGATATAAGATTCACCCCGTGAAGAGCACGAATATGGTGAACTTACGGTTTCGTTGTGAAAACAAGCTGAAGACACCTCCTCTCGTTAGCGCTGTAACTCGGCCGGATGACAGGTCGCGTGCTCATTCTCTCCGTCCGATATTTGCACATGAGACCGCAGGTTGACCTATCTCAAAGGCTTTCACCAGCCTCACCTGTTTTTCGTATACCACTTGATATCTCGTCAGCCATCATAATGTCACCCCACAGTGACCCTCAAAGATCTTGAAACCTTTAGGGCCGATGAGCCTTGCTCCGGACAGCCAGGACATCCCAACCTTCATCAAGTGGATTTGCGGTTCGGGCCTGGAACTGACTCCGCCGGTACCTGGCCGTCTTTGGCAAGGCTTTCGTTATCCACTGGTGAAGCGGCGTTCTTGTGTCCTGAACAGATCGAATATCAGATGCGTTCAACGTCTGATTGGATGCCATCAAGATCTGAAGTGGTATCGAGCACCACTACACCATCATTAATGACCCAAAAGCCGGCAGCCAACAATTGGTGATGGACCATTTGCTCCAGTCGGCCCCAGATGATATGTGATCGTACCGTGACCTTCAGAAGCAGAGAGACAGACAGACAAGTCCGGTACCGAGGCAGCTTCAGGCAGCTCAACCAGCTCAACCAGCTCAGGCAGCTCCATTTTTTCCTCTTCTCGTGCATCATTGCAACTCTTTTCTGCCCAGTATCACGATGAGAGATGAGAGCCAGAATTGGCCAACGGGGGAAAGAGAGGACCGAACAACACAAGCTCGAGTTCCGGCAGAGATGGACCCTGCAGCACGGCGGTCACCTTCCAAATTCTCATCGGACGGCGCGTGGTGGTTGGGAATGTTATAGTGGGAGTCTAGCGCGCCGGGCTAGTGATGAGTGAGGATACATCGGGCGGGTCACGGTCATTGGAACCACAATTCGTCGGTCCAGTGTATCGGCGCCTCCGCACCGCCTCCGCTCCTGACCTCCGCACATGGCCGCTGATGCAGGTCGCAGCACGAAAAGTCTCCATGGACCGTCGGATTGTGCCCACTCGTTTCCAGCCCAACCGCATCGTCGAATGAGAGGCGCGAGCCCAATGGTCGCTATGGGGCGGCCTATGGGGGCAAATGGGGAGCCAGGTCCGGCCGTGAAAAAGATAATAATCCCGAGCGCGACAAGTGCAAAGTGTGATTTCTCACATCTTGTTCCGTCTCTCTGCCGGAGGAGGTCTGTCTGTTCTGTTTTGCTGTTGATGCCATATGCCGTATTGTCGAGTGTGGTAACATTGCAGCGCGATACAGCCGGTAATAACGAGTCAAGTAAACGGCAGCTCTTTTTGCGACATTCAGCTCAGCCTTGCGAAAGCGAGGCAACCGGGGTAGAGAGAAATGATGCCGTCGTCGAAACCGCTTACAAGTCGGAAATCCCTGAGGGGATTGAGCATGTTCACCAAGGACGGGAATTTCAGTGATCCAGGCACACCGACAACTCCAGGAGCACCAGGGACACCAGGCTTCGGGACACCAGGGACACCAAACAGACGCGGCACTCCGACTCGTAACGATCGTAACGGCCGTGACCGTACCGAGCGTGACACCGGACGAAACGGGACAGCAAGAAGACCGGGGACGCCTTCCGCTTCCGGGTCGGGGTTTTTCAAAATGGAAGGGACGAGCGTCGCCGATGTGGGCCCCGCAGTGTCGGTACCCGCCAGAGATGCGGTCCGAACAGAAAGAACCGCCGACACGGTGCGACGCGCTTCCTCCGCGAGAACGACACAGCGAACCAGAGAACCTTCTCAATTGGGCGCCCAGATTTCACGGCCTCCCTCTCGCATGCCCTCCATCCCAGGGCCACCTCGACAACCCAACCAACCTGTGACGCCATCTCTACTCAATCCGACTGTTTACACGCCTCCAACCAGGGAGCAACGAGCTGCTGCAGCCGCGTCGCGAGGTGGCCGCAATACCTCGACATCTTCTGCTCCCGGTGCCAGTCACCACCTTACATCCTCCGTCAGCTTCCCTGCACAGGGACAACCATCCCGTCCAATGCACCGCAGCAGACCCTCGGCGCCCGAAAATGGCCAACGGACGAATGCCTGGGAGGAGTCGACTGTTGCGTCCATCTTTGGCGACCATGACAGCAGGGATGGAAGATCAGAAAGTAACCACGAGCGCCAGATAAACGGAGCACAACACCCCCAGCTCGTGCGGGGCCGTCACTACAGCGACACTGCATTCCCTCGCTCAAACACCCAGGCACAACATCCAGCTGTCGCCCAACAACCCAAGTCTGCACGACCAACACTCGACCACGATGAGAACTTGCCATTCGTTATTGGCGAAGGTGGTATCCTCACCGTTATCGAGGCCCCGCGAAACCGCAACGATCCCGATGCCGTCGCCCTAAACAAGACCATTGAAGCTATCACCAAGGAGCGGGAGCCAACCATCAAGATCGAGGACGAATATGAAGGTGATCGCGCAGCATTCAACTCGACGCCGACCAAACAACTTGGTGCCTTCCAGCGCACACGACTTCTTCACCGCGACCCGAGAAAAGGAGGATCAGTAAGAGGTGGTCAGGGCGGATACACATCAGACATACAATCTCCAGGGAGGTCCTCAGATACTGGCGGAGACCTGGAAAAGAGTCGGATCGAACAGCGTCTACGCCGTGAGCGTGAACACGAGCGGCTGCGCGAACAAGAGAGGGAGAAGGAACGGATTCGCAAGGAGGCCGAACGACGCGAGCGTGAACGCCAGCGCAAGCATGAGATCCAACATCAGCGCAGCACCGTCTTTGACGACCTCACCCCCGTCGAGTCCGAAGCACCACCGCTTCCCACGCCCAACTTCAACAACACACAAGCCGCTGTTGTCCCTAGTAGCAGCGGCGGCTTCGATCTTGACGTCTCCTCGCCTGGCAACGTCACACCTAAAGCGTCCGGCTCCCGCCATCTACATCCGTCACAGGTACCGAAGCAGCAGCCTCTCCCTCCCCAACTCAAAGACGCTTCGATTGCTTTGGCGCGAACCACCAGCCGCCGCATGAAGGAAAAGGAAGTTCAGAAGCAACAGCAACCACCGAAGCCCGCGGCCACTTCTCCAATGCCAATCCTAGAACATGCCAAAAAGCGCCGTCTTTCCACCCTCGACTACGACGACGCCCAACTCTACAAGATGCCATACACCACTCTCCTCACTCAATCCTTTGACGAAGACCCGCAAGAAGAGGCCCTGAAGCAACAAGCTCAAGCCACCACCAAGCTCCAACAAGACGATTGCCCTCCAGCAGACGCAACCCTCGAAGATAAACTCCAACATTACAAGACCAAATCTCCCGCTCAACAAGCCGAGTTCTTTACGCACATGAAGATCGACGAGTGGGACGACGCGGGCGATTGGTTCCTGGATCAGTTTACCTCTGTGGTAAAGCGGATAAAGGACGCGAGGAGGGCGAAGAGGAAGATGGTGGAGGAGTTCGAGGTGGAGATCGCCGAGAGGGAGGGAGCGGTCAGGGGCAAAATCGAGAAGATTGGACGGACGCTGGAGAATTTGAAAGAGGAGGGAAGGACGATGATGCAGGGGAAGGAGATGGATTTGGAGGATTAGTCGTCCCAGTTGTCATCGATTGCAGCTCAGGAGGTGGGCTAGGTTGACTGTAACAAGTCATTGACTTGACGACGAGATAGACCTGTGGAATTTCTTTGCAGTTGTTATTTTGGCATGGCGTTATGGGATGGGAAAGGTGTGAGGGAGGGACTGGAAGGAACTGGAACTGGAACATAAATACCCCTTGTTGTAGGATGTGTAATGTTCGAGGCTGGGTTGGCCATGGATGCTTGCTTTCGTTTGATCTAATATCTTGTTATTGGCAATGTGGACTCTTCTTCAAAGTATCTTTTAGCTCTCTGCTCAAGGCACTACGACATTGATATCACATAATCTAGCTAGAAACGAGTATTTTTGGCACCGCCGAGCTCTTCAAGTCGTTTGGAAGTGATGATCAATGTCCCGCCGCATACAATGTGCCAGCACAAAAAAAACACCCACTCCCTCGCTCCCACCAATCCACAACCCTCAGAGCCATACACCTGGGTATCAAACCATCCCTTCTTCAAATAACCATATGCTCCACAACCCCTCGATTCCTCCCCACCACAATCCTCAACTGCCTCCCTTTTTTGGTTTCATCCCCCCTAAAAACCCCCTGCCTAACCCCCTCCTCATAAAGCTCATAAGCAGGGAAATACCCATCAACAAACCTCCTCACCATCTCCCCACTCATCCCCGTCCCCTTTTCGCGTCTCAACTGCTCCTCCTGCTCCAGCCGCCACTCATACACCCACCCCAACTCTTGCGCGTCGATATGGATGAAAGCATCAAACTGGTCCCACACCTGTTCGTATTTTTGTAGCTGGGAGTTGATAAATAGTAGATGCTCGAGTTTGTGGTGCGACAACGTCTTGTAGGATTTTAAGTCGAGGTACTTGGAGGAGATGACGGAGGGGGGGAGGGAGCGGAAACCGGTTAGCCAGCCCTCGAGTAAAAGGACGCGGATGTTGGTGTGTTGAGGTTGGGAGAGGGTGGGGTCGTTGATGGGGGGGAAGGTGGATGGTGGGAGGCGGTCGCCGAGGCCGTGGTGGGCGGATTTGTCGTAATGGGGCAGGTGGGTTGGGAGGTGGTGAGTGAGGGAGTGTAGGAAGGAGAGGAGGAGGGGGATGTCGTGTGTTCCTGTGAGAAAGGGGGTTAGTGGAGGCGGTAATGTTGGGGGGAGGTTGAGGAGGGAGTGTAGTGAGAGGGGGGAAAAGGAAAGACAAGGACATGACGGAGGCGATGATGGGGTATCGATGAAGAAGAAGGAAAGGCGAGGATCAAAAGGGGGGATAAGCCAATCCGAGGAGAGAAACGGGAAAGAGACAGAAGGTTGAGAAGACGGGCAGGCGAGGCTATCAACAAGGCCGCCGCAAAGGCCAACACCATGGATCCACATGTCTCGTTGGGGTAAAAAGTAAACAAACCACAAAGGGGTCAACCGCATCACAACAGCTCTGCGCAGAACAGCACTTCGCCCTCACACAGACACCAACTACACCCAACATATATCAGAAAAAGAAAAGGCGCAACTCACCAGGCTCCCCCCGATACTGCACCAACGCATTATCCGAATTCTCCTCCGCCAACCTCAGTTGATCCTCATGCGTCAAATAAAAATCGTCAATAGACACAACCAGCGTATTCAATCCTTCCCTCTCCTGCAGTGTCTCCGCAAGCGCTTTAACCAGCGTCGTTTTCCCTACTCCCTGGACACCGTTCAGTCCGATGATAAAAGGACGCGGGTTCGCTTCGTTTGCGTGCAAGGCGTTGTACTCGGCGATCTTGGAGAAGATGAAGGGGATGCAGAGCGGGGATTTGTCGTCTATGATGCGGGATTGGAGTTCGGGGGTTGGGTCGGCGGTGCCGGAGGTGCTGGTGGAGGTGGAGGTGGAGGAGATGGAGTCTATTGTGTCCATCATTTTGGCGGTGGAGGCTGAGAATGCGATTGAGGTTCGAGGTAAGATTAGAAAAGCCGTTGTTTACTTTGTCGTGAGAAGATGAAAGGAAGGTCGATGAGGCTCGCGGCAAACGGCGAATGACGACATTGGCGCGGTTGGAAATGCTGTGGGGTAAACGTGGGAAAAAGCTGTGGGGTAAGCTGGGCGAATGGGGCCTTCTCCGCGTCCATCTCCGCGTTTTCAATCCCGTGTTGTTGGTTCTCAATCCGGAGCCGGGGATGTAGGAGGTGCCGACACTTTAATCCCGTCTTTACAACGTTGCCCTGTGGAAGAACTGTCGCGAAAAGCGAGGTTGATTACGAGACTCTGGGAAACGCATGTTGAAGTCTGTGGATAGCGCGCCCTTTTTGGGGATCAAGTTTTGGAGAATGAATTGGATCCACTTGGGGAAGATGAGAAAGATGGAGTGACAAGTTGAAAGTGATGTCTTTGAAGAAAAACTTCCCGAGTCTTCTTCTAAACGTCATCGTCTTTTCTCTAGGGTCGGGAGTTAACCCCTGATATGAATGTCTGCGTGCGCTTTGCAGATGCATTCATGTGACTGCTCAGGCCAGGATCCCTCGCCGAAAGGCACATGCCTGAAACCGAGCAACTCTGCATTGTTTGAATGTTCGTCTGGGGTTTACTCAGCCAGCATCATCTGCATCAATCGAATGGTGTTGAGAATGGCAGCAATTGAGCCTCGACTCTTGAAGTCTGGTTCAGTTTGTACAGCCAAGTCACGCCGTCCCGTCTAGCTGCAATGCACCCTTCATGTCAAAAATCCGAAAACCATAGGCACATATTTACCCGCTGCTCTGAGAAGTCTTGGGCGACCTGGCGACTTCCAGTGTTCAGCTCAATTTAAAGTGGTTTGACAATTACTTTTCCCCAATTCTGTTCCTGGGAGACCGGCCATCTTATAAAGTTTGTGAGACACAACGCGACAAACCCGGGGGGTACTTTTCCCCGACCTGACATGTGATCTTGAGACGTGGAAGAAACGAATGCCAAGTGACAAGAGGAAAGGCATGAACACCCCGCTCTCGGCAAAACCACAGTGTGGGGCATTCTGGGGCATCTCATTGGCTGGCATTGCTGCATCGGGGGAACATGCCGTTCTGCCTCGGCTTACAGCGCCCGGCAGCACCTCGCTCCAGCAGCCTGTCCACTTGCCGACGTCAAGGTCGAGTGACCATCGTCCAGTTATTATTAACCCGGACCAGCCAGCGCATCTTCACCACCAAACATTCCATCCTCCCTTCTTCCTCCATCCCCTTCTTCTCTTTTGCTCCATACTAAGTACTATACCCAGAGCTGTTGTGTGAATCTGCCCTTTCTTTGTTTGTCGTTTGTTTCTAGCATCATCATCTACACACATACCCCAGATTCAAAATGGCTGAGCAATTGAGGTTCGACGGCCAGGTCGTCGTTGTCACGGGCGCCGGCGGTGGTCTTGGTAAGGCCTACTGCCTGTTCTTCGGCTCGCGCGGTGCTTCCGTCGTCGTCAACGATCTCGGTGCTTCCCTCAAGGGCGAGGCCAACTCTACCAAGGTAAGCATTTCCCCTACCCAATGCGCTATCGCCACTGTCATCATCACATGCTAACGAGTACTCAACAGGCTGCCGATGTGGTTGTCAACGAGATCAAGGCCGCTGGCGGCAAGGCCGTCGCCAACTACGACAGCGTCGAGAACGGCGACAAGATCATCGAGACCGCCATCAAGGAGTTCGGTCGCATCGATATCCTCATCAACAACGCCGGTATCCTCCGCGACATCTCCTTCAAGAACATGAAGGATGAGGACTGGGACCTCATCTTCAAGGTCCACGTCAAGGGCTCCTACAAGACCGCCCGCGCCGCCTGGCCCTACTTCCGCAAGCAAAAGTTCGGTCGCGTCATCAACACCGCCTCTGCCGCCGGTCTCTTCGGCAACTTCGGCCAGGCCAACTACTCGGCCGCCAAGCTCGCCATGGTCGGCTTCACCGAGACCCTCGCCAAGGAGGGCATCAAGTACAACATCATCTCCAACGTCATTGCTCCTATCGCTGCCAGCCGCATGACCGAGACCGTTATGCCCCCTGATCTTCTTGCCCTCATGAAGCCTGAGTGGGTCGTTCCCCTCGTTGCCGTCCTTGTCCACAAGAACAACACCAGCGAGACCGGCTCCATCTTCGAGGTCGGTGGTGGTCACGTCGCCAAGCTCCGCTGGGAGCGCTCCTCCGGTCTCCTCCTCAAGGCCGATGAGAGCTACACCCCTGGCGCCATCATCAAGAAGTGGGATCAGGTTATGGACTTCTCCAACCCCCAATACCCTAGCGGTCCCAACGACTTCCTTGCCCTCCTCGAGGAGTCCCTCAAGCTCGGCCCCAACGACCCCGGTGAGAAGGTTGACTTCACCGGCCGTGTTGCCCTCGTCACTGGCGGCGGTGCTGGTATCGGCCGCGCCTACTGCTTGGCTTTCGCCAGGGCTGGTGCTTCCGTCGTTGTCAACGATCTCGTCAACCCCGACGATGTTGTTAACGAAATCAAGAAGATGGGTGGCAAGGCTGTTGGCGCCAAGTACTCCGCTGAGGACGGTGATGCTGTCGTCAAGGTTGCCATTGATGCCTTTGGCCGCATCGATATCGTTGTGAACAACGCCGGTATCCTCCGTGACAAGGCCTTCCACAACATGGATGACAGCCTCTGGGACCCCGTCATGAACGTCCACGCCCGCGGTACCTATAAGGTCACCAAGGCTGCTTGGCCCTACTTCCTCAAGCAGAAGTATGGCCGTGTTCTTAACACCACCTCTACTTCTGGTATCTATGGCAACTTTGGCCAGGCCAACTACTCTGCTGCCGTAAGTTCTTGTCCTTTGGATGTCTAATGAATTCTAGCTAACTTGTGTAGAAATGCGCCATTCTTGGCTTCTCCCGCGCCATTGCTCTCGAGGGTGCCAAGTACAACATCTATGTCAACACCATCGCTCCCAACGCCGGTACTGCCATGACCAAGACCATTCTTCCCGAGGAGCTCGTCCAGGCCTTCAAGCCCGACTACGTTGCTCCCCTTGTCCTTGCCCTCTGCAGCGACAAGATCCCCAAGAAGCCCACTGGTGGTCTCTACGAGGTCGGCTCCGGTTGGTGCGGCCAGACCAGGTGGCAGCGCACTGGCGGCCACGGCTTCCCCGTCGACGTTCCTCTTACCCCCGAGGAGGTCGTCAAGCACTGGAACGATATCGTCACCTTCGACTCCCGTGCCGACCACCCCGAGAAGGCCTCCGACAGCATTGAGAAGATCATGTCCAACATGGAGAACCGTGTCGGCGAGGGCAAGGTATGATTCCCTTTCTTCCTGCTGCCACGAAAGAATATCATGTAATTTTCCTTCCCCTCATGTATAATAGCCATATATACCTAGTGTAGAATATCTGAATGACTGTTAACGACTCATCTTCTTCTCCTGTAGTCTGGCCCTGCCGAGAACGAGCACCTTGCTGCCATCAAGAAGTTTACCGGCGTCGAAGGTAAGGGCACCGAGTACACCTTCACCGAACGTGACGTCTGCCTCTACAACCTCGGCATCGGCGCCAAGCGCACCGACATCAAGTACATCTTCGAGGGCAACGAGGACTTCGAGGTCGTCCCCACCTTCGGCGTCATCCCTCCCTTCAACACCGAGATGCCCTTCTCCTTCGACGACATCGTCCCCAACTTCTCCCCCATGATGCTCCTCCACGGAGAGCAGTACCTCGAAGTTCGCAAGTACCCCATCCCCACCTCGGGCCGCCTCGTCTCCAAGGGCAAGCTCCTCGAGGTCGTCGACAAGGGCTCCGCCGCCATCGTCAAGCAAGGAATCACCACCTACAACGCCGAAACCGGCGAGGAGCTCTTCTACAACGAGATGACCGTCTTCCTCCGCGGCTGTGGCGGCTTCGGCGGCCAGAAGAAGCCCGCCGACCGCGGCGCGTCCACCGCCGCCAACAAGCCCCCAGCTCGCTCGCCCGACGCCGTCGTCGAGGTCCAGACCACCGAGGAGCAGGCTGCCCTCTACCGTCTCAGCGGCGATTACAACCCCCTCCACGTCGATCCTGCTTTTGCCAAGGTGGGCGGCTTCAAGGTCCCTATCCTTCACGGTCTCTGCTCGTTCGGTATCGCTGGCAAGGCCGTTTATGAGAAGTTTGGCAAGTTCAAGAACATCAAGGTTAGGTTTGCGGGTACCGTCAACCCTGGCCAGACGCTGGTGACGGAGATGTGGAAGGAGGGTAACAAGGTGGTGTTCCAGACTAAGGTTAAGGAGACGGGCAAGTTGGCTATTAGTGGGGCCGCTGCTGAGCTTGCTTAGGCTTGGTTAGGTAGTGAAGTTGTGGGAGGGGTAACGTGTATAGGATATGATGAAAAGTAATGGCGGCTTTGGGATTTGGTTGGGATCTGGGTTAAGCGATTTCTTTCGAGTTACGAATACCAATTTTTTGTATATCAGCCGTTTTATCTGTCACGTCTGAATGGGATGTGGCATTCTGTTTACGCTTTGATTCCGGATGGAAGGTGGCGTCCTTATTAAGCAAGATTTGACTTGCCGCTGACAATGACACAACAATGCACACGAGTCTCATTACACTCATAATGAAGTCCGCTATTCTCTCCCAGAAAATCTGGGGACATCCCAAGTGGGACTCAGAAGCATTGCCTTGAGAAGTATACGCATTCCTTCAAGAGCTATATGCATTTCATCGAGGAATATACGCATTTCTTGAGGATTAATATGCTTCTCTTGAAGCAAAATATGCATTTCGTCAAGAATGATATACATATCGGACACTATGGTACATGTTTTGTGTTGTGTGCAAGGCCTTAAACCTTGTTCAGGACCAGGCGGACTATGCCCATGACGAAAGGAAAAAAAAGAAAAAAAGACAAAAGAAAGGAGAAAAGGAAAAAAGGAGCAAAGAATAAAGGAAAAGAAGAAAAGAAGAAAAGAAAAAAGGAAAATGGTAGTGTGTTGCAACTACTAGGTTGGCAAACTACCACTTCCATCTCATATCTTCTTCCTCAGGCCGGCAGTGATGGTATCCTTGATATCATTCCTATCAACAAACAAACCACAAACACAACACTGATTGTGCGCCATAACCGCCTTGTAAGCCACTGGCTTACAAATAAAGATGAAAGTAAGCCTTGGAGTACCTCCAATACTCGGAGAGCCCCGCAGGGATTTCTCCATCCTCGCCTTCGATCTTGTCTGCTGACATCAGGTCCTTCATCCAGTCGTAGCTGGCGGCATTGTCCTCCTCATATTCTTCTTCGACCACATTCTCCTCAGCAGGCAAACCCAAACCCAACCTCATTGCTTCGGCTTCAGCTTGAAGCTCCTCGAGCAAACCTTCGATCCCGTCGATGCAGTCCTTGGTAAGTTGCCTAGCGTCGGCGTTCGTCATGATGATCTGATTGAAGGCCAGCCGGCAAGGCTCAGCCGACAATTCGTGCTCCTCCTCGTCAAGATCAGGAGGGACCAATTGCTTGAACAAGTGGCGACAGATATCCAGGCTGAGCCTGACGTCAGGCTGATCCTGCTTCTCGTCCTGCGCTTCATTGTTCGGGGCCGCTAGCTCTGCCTGCGAGCCCTCAACCCCCTGGATACACTCCTTTGTAAGCTGTCGGGCTTCAGCATTCAACACAAGAAGCTGGTTGATAGTCTGCCGACAGCGCTCAGACTGTTCGTCCTCGTCCTCGTCATCGGGATCAGCGAGAGTCATATTGTTGATGATCTCTTGCTCGATCTGCGGGTCAAGACAAATATCGCCCGCAGGCTCCTCCTTCCGCTTGCCGAGACGACGCTCCTCGAGCTGACGCTTCCGCTTCTCTTCCTCCGCCCTCTCCTCCGACACCGCTTCCTCCGCCTGGGTTTCCATCATCCGGCGCAAGATCGAGTCATAGTAACGAGTCCATGACTGAGCCTCCTGCCTTCTCAGCTCCTGTATTCTGATAGGGCAGTGATCGCAGCAGACAGGGCAACAGGGAACCAGGGGGGGAAGAGGGCCGAAGTTGCTCAAGAAGATGGACAGGTCTCGATCTTGACCAATACTGGCGGGGTAAGCCTCTTTGGCCTTGCGGAGTGCTTTGCCGGTCTTCTCAGACGTCTTCTCTTCGTCTAGAGCTGCGAGCTCTGCCTTGGTGATGATGACCCACTGCTTGATCAAGTCGAGGTAGCGGATCCAGTACTCGACTTCCTCGCCTTCCGCCCTCATGTCCTCCAGTGGGTTGTGAGGCCAGATGTGGCGGTAACTACCATGCCCGGGCTCGCCATGGAAGCAGGGGAGGGTATCGGGGAAGCGAGCGAGGGAGTTGAGAAACGAGAGGGCTTTGCTGGTTCCTGCGCTGTCGGTGTAGAGTTTTTTGACGTTGCGCAGTGCGCTGTGAACTCGTCGACGCTCTAGCACAGAGTCGACTGGGGCTGCTGAGGAGGAGGCAGCCGGGCTGCCTTCCTGCTTCTCCTTCTGCCTCGACTTGGAAGGCATGTTTGCTGATTCCGAAGCGAGGGATCTGCGTTGGTGGGTGATGCTATTCAAGAGTTAGAAAAATGAGTCGCGAAGGCCTGAGGATTGTATGGGAAAAGGAGAGGAGAGCGGATTTCTTACGGTCAGATATATTTCAGGGACGCCGGTTAGTGCTCGCGGGCTTGGGGTAGAAGACCAGAGAAGACTGGTGATGGCGAGAAAAGAGGGGCTATCGCGAGGAGGATAGGGTGAGAAAGAGGTGAGCTTTGCGCGGGGAGGATCCAGGATCCTCGAGGGAAGTTGCCGAACTTGAGAATAGTAACGGGAGAAAGGTGACGGCAAGGTGAGGGGGATGCGACAGGAGGAAAAGAAGAGAAGGGGAGGAAGTTTGGGAAGGGGGGAGACCCCCTTCTTATACCCAAGGGAAGGACCCACTCTGATTGTAGTTTGCTCTATAGAAGAGATGGGATGAAGGAAAAAGCGAATCGTGTACGACGCGGAGAGAGGATTTTTATTTCGAGACTACTTTAGAGGAGCTGCGGATAATATCATAGGAGTGTACAATAGTTTTTTCATAGGACAGTATGCCGGTGAGGGCAGCCGTAATCAATAGCATATATTAAGATGAGCTCGCGGCCGATACGGCCGCGCAACGATAAAGTAGATCACCGCAAAATCGATAGAAGAGCCAGAGCACATCATGTCGATTTCGTAGTTCAATATATAATATACCTTGCCCAGTGAGTTGGTCCTGGTTGGCAGTGATAGCACGTCCACAACCAGATCCCACTTGATGCAGCACAGTTTTTTGATAGTAGGTTCGATACGGGTAGGTGGAGGATATGTGGTTGTGAAGTAGATGTACTCTTGCAATCCCGAAACTTTTGTGCCGTTCTCCGGGTAAAAAAGCCGATAGAATGATTTCTTGATGGGCTCCACCGTTAAGATGTCATCACCCTGTTTTTGTTAGTTCTTCTCTGCTACCGAAAAAGAGATATTTAATGAGGTTATCGATTACACACCTCCTTTAGAAACCAGCTGACCTGGTTTTCAGCGAGCCACTCCTGGTATTCATCTGCCCAGTACTTGTCTTCCTCGAGGTGCAAGAGAGGATCCTAATCTCTGACTGTCTCGCGGGAGGTTTTTCACGGCAATTACGGGTTTTCCTCCGGCTTTGACCGACGGAGGACCGCGTGCCCATATGGGCCACTAATTAGATAGACAGCCAGCGTGAATAAGATCATTATTATTCGTAGAGGGAAAAGTGGCTTTCGTTGCACGCGATGGATGGAAAACCCAGGGAAAGAAATACGCGGTAACGGCTGTGGTGGTGATGACGGTTGGGCTGAAAGAGGAGAGGGGGAAGAAGAGGGTAGGAGTAGCCTGCCTCACCCTCAGCTCGTCTCACCACTTCCTCACACAGTTGGAGTCACGACGTCATGTTCTAGACCTTCCACCTAGTTCCTCAGCCGGGAGCGGAGTGGGTGAACAAACACAGGGGCCAAATACAGGATCAAGATGCATGTCAAATTAAACCGAACTTTGCCCGCCATCGAGACATCCGTTCCGGCCGTACGTTAAGGAGATACTGCTCGGCAGCATGGACGCGGCGTTGCGGGAGGAGTTCAAGCGTCTGAGGGGTATTGTCGTGAACATACACTACGACAGGCCGATCCGGGAGATTAGCAAGTCGTGCGAGGTATTGATGGAGGAAATGCGCGGCTACGGATGGAAGGTAGGAGAAGAAGAGAGCAAAATAGGAACTAGGCAGGAGAAGGGGAAGGACGCGTCGAAAAATCAGGCTTGAGTACGCGACTGCTCGTCTACTTGCTGTAATGACGCGTTCTGGAGAGCGATTTTGGTGGTATGGTAAATTTGCGTGATCATAAAATCTGGAAATGGGAAGGAGCGGCTGCTGGACTTGGCTGGTTTCCGAATGGCCCTCGAGATTTGGCTTGTTGCCCAGCAGTGCTAGGTAAGTAAACGGAAAGAGCTCAACGGACACACCACTTCATTACATTCTTATCTGCTACCCGGCAGTCTAACTCTTTCATCACGATAAAAGCTACGATTGGGTTGCCAGCTCTAGAGGCCCATCGTCACTTGCTTGCTCCGGAGGCAACCCGTTCCTCCGGCCAGCTACCACGGACACACCTTTCGGCGGCGACATCCCATGATAAGAGATCTTGCGGGCGGTCGATTTCTTTTAACCTCAGGAAAGGTTTGATCGAGACCCAGCTCTGGATCTTCTTTAAACCTTCCGTCTGTATATCAGTCGGAACGCCCCTAGATTCCCAGAGCATTGGTTTACCAAGAGCAAACCTACCCACACATACATGTCTTCCTACAGGCACATACACTCCAGTACATTCAAGGCAATGACAGTCCACCATAGGCTTCGTAGTTCCTGAAACCTCGTATGTGGCCCTTTTCTGCTTCTTTTTATCCATCTATCCCCTTTTCTTAATCATTTCACTGCTGGAAGTGGGTGTCCTGATTCTGGGTGTGACCTAGTTGCATTTGCAGCTTCCGTCTTGCAACAGACCCCAACAAGCCGCCCAGAACAGCACCCCAATGAGTTAAACATAAGAAAAAGAGCTAGGTGGATGAGAGGTATCTGAAAATGAAACTGCTTTATTTGGTAGCTTGGAAAGAAGCTAGGTGGTGCCACAAAGACTTCGAGAATAGTGCAAGTGTATATACCTGTAGGAGCTCGTGTATACGTGGGTAGGCGCACCGCCCCTTTACCCTACACGCACCCAAAAATTCACAAGGCTTTCAGGACACTCGATGATACTTCCACATTCGGTCAGAACTTCGTCGAGAACTCTGTTGCAGATGAATAATAAACCAAATCCCAAACTCCCTGTAGTTCTCAGTAACTCTAAGAGATAATGATGGGCGGTGTCCTTTGTACGTTACAAAGAGAGGGCGCTGCGTTTGCAATCAGCCGCGAAGATACTCCTGGGACTTGAGATTGGGAAAAAGGGATGCTGATAAAGAAATACCTGTAAGGAGGGAAAGATTGAGTGTATCAAATTTGACGAAGGAACTTTGGGCGGGGCGGTCGGCGTCGGATTCTTTGCGGATTTTTTTGGCCTTGATGGGGATCTTGGTGTTGGTTCTGATAGAGGTGGAAGGGTTTGGAGGGAATCATTACCAATTTCTTGAACCTTTTGGGTGCGTGTAGGGAAAAAGGGTGGTGTGCCCAGGATTTCTATTGCGAAACCAAGCCATCCAGGAGTTTGGGGTACCTCAGGATACTTGATCAACGATCAGAACCTCGATTTGGGCAAAGCATTAAAGACATTTCGAAGTAGATGTGGTAGGGTGTGTTCACAGTTCTCCCAATAATAAAGGTACAGTCAGGCGTTGGCTCTCCTTGCTGGCATGTAAATGGAAAAGTATCCGTTCTCTCAGACCTCATTTGAAAGAGCATATAGCTGATACTGGGTTGCTGGCTGAATGAGATGGCGCATCTGATATTTATATCAATTTTTTTTACATCAGAATTCGGGCTGATCTCTACCCTTGATGTCAACCATAGAAGCGTTCCTTGACATTTGCATATGCAGAACTGACATGGACAGATAGACTGCAGAAATCTCCGTCTGTATATACGCGACGCGAGGAGAGGGTCACTACGACGACACAGGCGAATAAAGCGAGACAAAACACATCCACTTCCGAATTTAACCTGATTTACATTCTTGTTCGGTGAATTTTCCTTGCTCTCCTCCGCTTTCCTTGCCCACGACGCTGGTCGATCAGCCCATACAACCTTGTATATCTCTATCTCTCACCGTGAACTGGACGAGCACGACGAAAACATGGCGGAGAGAATCGTCGATGCCGTCGAAGAGGCCTACAAGTATAGGGACGAAGGAGTCGCGCCTCCGTCTTCAAATCACGGAGGCCCAGCTTGCGGAACTCATGAAACCCAGCTACCGATCTCCAGTCACGCGGTCTGTCGCAATCTGAAGAAGATTTTGACCTCTCTCGAGGACGGCAAGATCGTTGGCAGGATGCCTTACATCCCGCCCCTGGCCGTTTGGGGAGCCATAGCCGTCTTGGAACTCTGGCAAAAGCGCGGCCCCAATTCCAAAGTCAAAAAATAACCGTATCGGATGGCCGCAATCCCTCAACAGCAAGACGTTCGACAAATTCTGTCTCGAATTGTACACCCTAGAGTACATTCCGGAACCAAACTCAATCTACGGAAAGAAAAACTTTGGCGACCCCGCCTAGCGCAACAAGCACATGGAAGCGCCGCGCGATGTCACGAGCGGAGTCCCGATCCCACAGCTCGACAAGAACTTCGACTACTATGTCAACACGAAGAAGAAAACGCCCAACACCGCGAAGCTAGACGAGAAGGATCCCTTCTGGTACACCATGGGCGACAAGCGTGACTTCATCATGCCCAACAAACGGAGGTATCCTGATGGAGCGTTCCCCGAATGGTAGAGGTATCGACCGTTCCATCATCATCAGAGATGCGCATCTGCATTACAAGCTACAAGAGATGGGCAAATCTGACTTCGTCGCTGCTACCAAGGCAGCCAAATGCCCAGGGAATCTCTTGGAAGCTTCCAAACGATATCAGCAAGGACTGGGCATGGCCCACATCAGCGAATCTCTGCTGCTTGACCAGCCAGCACGACCACACCGAGGAGTCCGTGTTCCGTCCAGACAAGCGCACCATCATTCGTCCTAGGGACTTTGCGGACGGCGGTAAATTTCGCTCTATCGTGAAGATCAGCATGAGATATGAGGGAGAGGCCGGGCCGACCGCTGGACGATCGGCACCGGATACCTGATCGCTCCGGATACGTTTGTGACTGCCGGGCACTGTGTTTACCTACCGACAAGGTCTCGGTCGTTGCACGGTAATCCAAACATACATATATCGGATACAACGGCAAAGATGCAACTGATGATCCGACTGTCCAATGCCGCGCTGCCGCAAAGGTAGTCATCCCCATCGCAATACATTGTGGACGGCGATAGACATCGGGATGTCGCATTCGTGAAAGTCCACGAACCCTTCGAAGGGACTTTGAACTTGTTCAAGTACCAAAACACGCCAAGAGCAAGAAGAAATGTAACTCGACCCTGATCTGGGGATACCGTGGTATTGTTTGTCTCTTGTTGACTTTGTTTACTTGTGTCTAGTGACCTTCATCCTCGGTACGTCACCAACCCGTCCCAGGCTCGGTATGGCTACCCGTCGTGGGAATGGAAATTACCATAGTACGTTGTGGCCATCGTGAAAGGCGTCATATTCATCGGGATTCAATTGTGTCAGGAACAAAAAATTGAACAATGCATCGTTCGAGGAATCAAGATTGCAATGTTGCCAGCAAAGAATGACAATGGTGGTGCAGGCTTACGGCAATGGAGATGGCAATGGCGGAAATGGTGTGTCGACGGAGTGAAAGTTGGTTGCAAGCAGACGAAGAGGAGTGACTAGTGGTGGTTGTTGAATTAGCGTTCGCGTTATTGGACTTATATGGAAGCACCGATCGATCAGCTCCTAGCAATGCGACCCTCCAGCTCCTCGCGTTCCTTCGTCTCCTATGCCTTCTTTACGTCTACTTCCTCTCTGGCCTTTGCCTCCTCCCTTTCCTTGGACTTTGCCATGACGACAGACTCGGTTTGAGCTCCTCCACGCCTAGCATATCATAGAGGGAGACAATTCCAGGCCCCCAAGAGCTCACCTCCTTCCTTGCCTTGAATATAAAACCGTACGTGAGCGAACCGATTTCCTCACGGCCATACAAATAGCCAAGGCACTCGGGGACTGAAGGGAATTAGGCTTGGGAAGGTGTAGTATTTCCGCGAGAGTAAGCGTGCGTAAATCGGCCACTTTCTCTTCGATCGAGCCCTCCGCATGATTCCCCATGGGCTTCCACTCAATCCAGACCGGGAAGTCGTCCTCGTCTTTTTCCACGGCGAGGTAACCCCGTGGCCGTTTGTAACGAACGATACTGGCGTAATCCGCCGGCTCATCGGGATAATCTTCGACATTATGCGGTTCAAAGGCCGTCCAAAAGTCTTTCTTGCCTTTTTCCTTGTCGCCAAACTCGATAATAGTGATCTCCGTATCACTCGTCTCCAACCCCGACGTCGCCGGATTTTTTCCACGGTGAAGCCTCGAAAGCAACTCCTCCGATACTCTCGCCATCTTCTTCAACCTCACATAGGCTCTCGCGCCAACATGTCACGGTAGGCCGTCATGGCCGGGTGTGCGAGGGAGAATCTGGTCTCGAACAATGTGCCGATGGACATGACGTCGGGAGTGATGTAAGCCAAGCACAAGTACGGCACCCTCCACGTCGACAGATCCGAACTCTGGGCTGGACTGTGCCACTCACACGGGGAAGTCCCGTGTCAGGGGTCATTTGGCATTTGCTGTTGACCGATACCAACTGATGCTGTTGACGCGTAGAAATCAGGCAGACGAGCAGTCTCTTGCGCAATCCCTACTTTTCGACGTGTCGCGCCTCTCCTTCCAGCCTGATTCTTTTCTCGTTTTCTCCAAAACACCTAAAGTCGGTGTGTTGCTCCATCGAGTCGTTGTGTTTAAGCCTATTTCGGGCTTTTACCCATATGTTATCCCATTTCTTGGTGACTTACATGCACTCCTCCTCCCATCATATCTTCCACATCCATCATTTTCGCAAATGCTACGCAGCCAGGCCTTGCAGTGTGGGAACAACACGCCAAGTGCGCACAATCTTGCCATCGTACGAAATCATGGCTTCACTCCTCCGGACTATGTTGTTCACTGATGGTATTGGGGATATCCTCAATAACGCGAATCCCCCAAACGTTGCATTCCTAAAATCACTGCCAGATGATTTCTCGAGTGATGAGTGGGGAGTTTATGTACTCGTTTTTGAGAAACCAGGTTTTCGGACAGTCCACTATGTGTCACCTTTACCACTTCGGTGTTGATCCTACTACTCGTGCTCAGTTGATGTGCTCCTTTTCGTCATGTTGCTCTTGCTCAGACTTTGATCTCCATACGTTTTTGAGAGAACGCCGGCCCTGGTGAACTTGACGGTTTCCGTGGCTTCCTCGAGGAGCCCCTTCAGGTTTCTGGTGATTGGGTGCTCGCTCATTGACGTGGTACCCGTCGAGTGAGGCCCGATTACTCACAAAGCCCTACTCTGTACCTCGCCAATCCCTCCTCCCAGCTTCTGCTATTGAGGGCCCCGCTCTAACTCCGGTTCCCTCTCTCTCCTAGCGAGGGCGTAGTGCCGGTCCTATCGCTTTGGGGCTCGCTCTAGCTCCTATCCCATCTTCCTCCTCATAGGGAGGGGGTGGTGTGGGTGCTGGTGCAGAAGATGTAGCGGGAGCGTTGGGGGGTTTAGGGAGTGGTGTGGGTGCTAGTACAAAAGGTATAGCGGGAACGTTGGGGGGTCTAGGGGGTAGTGGTGACATATTTGAAAGTAATGAGGCCGTTGGATTAGTGATGTTATCAGAAAACTATAATCCTTTGCGGGCCGCCCTTGTGTTCGGCGTATGTCTTGATGATCTCGAGTTCTTGTCCGGCCTCATACTCTCCATCTGCGTTGGTAAGGACGGGGATGGGCTCCTTCTTGGCCTTGCTCTTGTTGTTGGATGGGGACTTACCGCTTCAGAGACGAGTCGGCAATTTGAGTGCTGGTAGAGAGGTTGGATCCGCCCGAGGAGGAAGACGGCAAAAGAGATCATGACTTGTGTTCCTCTGGAAGGATAGCTACGCCAGACTTCCGGGCAGCAGTCCGCTCCATTTCACCTCCCAGACCAACTCGTCAGCGTCCTCGCACAGCACACAGCCATGCTCAGATCCGCTGTTTGGGAGGTTCCTCGCATTGTAGAAAATCTCCATGCACCTCGGGTGTACAAGGTGTCTGCCGATGCCACACTGCTTTCGGGCGGTGAAGCTCATTGGCTTAAAGCAGATTGCGCAGAAGGGATCTGGATGTCCGCCGGAGTTGAGATGGTGATAGAGATGGCTGAGTCTGAAGATCTCGCCAAGCTCTGATGGGAGGAAGGATGACTGCCATCGCAGGGGCTCGGGGCAGTTTAGGAGGTAACGGAGGACGTCTGAAAAAAACCTGGTTAGCCTGGTTCAAAAGCGATATGTGGAGGGAAGAAAGGATGAGGACGGACATATTCTATGGGGGCAGGTATAGCCGCTCGTGCTGGGTGTTTTCCCATAGCCCCTTCCTCCGCAGCTACAGTTGTTTTCTTCGCCAACCACGACGGTAATTCTCTCTTCACCGCCCGGCGTCAGCGTGAAGTTCTTTGCCCAGATCCCAGCTTCCAGATCGCTGTAGTCTTTGATCTGGATTAGGTGAAGGATAGAAGCTTCAGCTTCCGCCAAACCCTAGCGGTAAACTGGATCACCGCCGTCTGAGCGCCAACCGCCGACCCGAGAGGCCTTCCCCGGAGGATTGTGGGTGTAACGGTGTGTCTTGAGAAGGGACTCAAGCTCCTTCCGGTGTCCAGTGGTGAAAGTCAGGTCGCGCCTGATGCATTGAGTTTTGAGAACTTCGACGGTCTGATTGGACCAGGAGGTGTCGTCTGGGAGGTAGTTTTTGAGAGTGCGCTCGCCAGGCATGGTTGTGGGTTGATGCCTGATGCTCGTGGGATATGGGACCTCAACGACCGGGTATACGAGGAGAACGACCGTTGGCGACAGAGAGAGAGAGAGATACTGTCAAGAAAAGTCAGCGTTTAATCCAGCACAAACGGCCACTGCCAAGCGACTTTTTATACGTGTGTGGGGGGGGGGGGGGGGGGGGGTGGCACATAAGGGCCGCGATGGAATCGCTCACGCAGGGATACGCGGCAAGATTGTATACCAATTGGTTCCTGACTCAAAGCTGTTTCTTGCTGCTTTCCGGTGTTGGCATGTTGATGCTCGGTTTGCGCTGCAAGCAAGTGGTAACTCCGTGGGCCTGTGTTTGTTCGGTGACTCCAGAAGGATTGTGACGGTTTATTGCGGGCTGGTGTTACGAAAGATCCAGTAGGGATATCAGTGTATGTTTGTGGTAGTGGTATAGTGTGTTTCTAGTCGTGGTCGTGAGAAGCTGTTGGAGGTGGGAAGTCGACAACAGAAAAAAAGACCTGATTCTGTAGTAGTAGAGGAAGAGGAGAAAAGACAACCAGGGCAGCCTCAAAATACTCGACGGGAGTGCCGGTGAATGGATGTCCAGTAAATGGGTGCCAAGGCACGCCCGGCCAACAAAAGCGCGAGACGGCGGAGGGGAGAGGTAGTTGAACAGGAGGACCAAGCCAGGTGAAGGGGAAATGGGCCCCGTGTGCCGAAGTCCCATTCACCTGCAAATGGCGATACAAGTGAAGAGCGAATAGACCCAACAACACGAGGAATCTAACGAGGAAGGAGCGACTTCGGTTTGTGCTGGCGGGCTTCAATACGGAAGGAGCCCACGGCAGCGGATACTCTCATCTCCGGCTTCCGCCCTTTTGCCTGCCCGTGCCCAGTGAAGTCCAGCCCAGCCGCCGTAGTCGTCATCACGATAGCCGAAGTGTCATGATCTCAGTTCATCTTTTCAACTCTTCTCGACCCAGAATTATTGACCGTGACAGATGTTGACCAAGGAGGGCTGATAACATCAGCCACTCGTCCCCGACACCACGGATAGGCGGAAGAAGCCTTGATGAGATATGGTTGTCGACAGTTGTGGACGAAACTAGAGATCCTACCCCCGTAGTGACGGATTCACTTGTGGAAGCCAGGCCAATATATCTGTAGTCATCTCGATGGAGAGTTGCGAAGAACCTGGTGTCTGTGTCGTTTGTTTCCCTTTGCCTCGCTTCTGTCTCCTTGTGTAATCTTGGTATAGAAATTCTTGTCTCACGAAAATGCTGGCGTATAAACAACCATCCCAACGTCGTTTCTTGACACTTGCCAGATAGCAAAAGAAAATTGTAAATAATAAACATTATACGAAGTTTGTGTCTACATCCTTGAGCTACACATGGATGGCAACGCGAACTCTTTCCTTTCTCTCTTTCTTCTGGTGATCAATCCCACGTTCTGCTTGTTAGGCGCCTTGTTTTCACACGAGGCTATCAGACCTATGAAAACGGTGCCACTGGACAGCACAGAGTATCACTCACTGCCATCGCCCTAGATCTCCGTCCACCCAGCCTCATAGCATGGAACCAATAACCCGAACAACAATACTCCTTTCCAGCGGCTCCGTCCATCCATCACGTCCACATCCTCAACGAACCACTCTCAACCTCCTCTCCAATCGGACAGTAATCGAAGTTCGAACATGGCCCACGCCAGGCCTCACCTCCCGTCCTCAACCTCCTACACACCTCTCTCCGTCTCCAAGAACTTGGTCATCTTCTTCGTTACCTTGCTCTTCTTCTTCTCCAGCCTCGCCAGCTCCTGCTCGACATACTTCTTGGTCTCTCTCACCTTCTTGGCGTCTTCTTCAAGGCGGGACATTTGCTTGAAGAGTCTCGCCTTGCGTTTTTCTCGCTTCCCTGCTGTGGAATTGTTGGTTTCGGTCTGTTGCGCGGTCGTGTTGATGGCGGCCGTGTTGGGAATAGTGGTGGGACTGACTTGGTCCGCGGCAGTGATGGCTTGGTCAGCGGCGGCGCTGGCGGTCCTCTTCTTCTTTGGGTTCCTCTTCATCTTCTTCTCCTTGGTAGGGGAAGAAACGGTATCTGTGACGGGGATTGACACAGATGCGAAAGTAGAACCAGCGGGAGGGATAGGCAGCGAAATAAAGGGGCCGGGGTCAGGACTAACGGGAGGTGCGCGGGGAGCGTAATAGGGAGAATATGATGGGATACGAGCGACTTCAGCACCTGAAAAGGAGACAGCTGAAGCAGCAGGACCAGAAGCCGAGGGGGCAGTAGCAGAAGCGGGAGAGGGAGAGGGATCAGCAGTCGTGATAGTACGCAATGGGCTACCACGACCAATTGCCCGTAAACTTCCAAATCGTCCTTGCGTGCTCGCAGGAACGATAGGAGCCGGAACGGCATTCTCCACGCGACGAGCCGGTTGACTACCAAACAGCTGCTGCTGCGCAAAGCCTGGAATTACAGGCAAGGGAATAGGCGTCTTGCTGAGCTTTGGGGTCCATTCTCGTCCCGGAGTAAGCGCTTGCTTACGGGGGGACGACCCCGTATAAGCGTCCGGACGGGCGCGAGTGGCCTCCTTTGCAGCCCTTGAGGGCAGTTGTCTCCGCGGAGAAGGGCAAGGAGACTCTGGCTCTTTCTTGATGACCACTGAGCCAGTGGAGGAGGGGGTCGACGATTCGACGGAGGGAGAGCGGTGGGAGATCTGACTCCTTTCGGCGAAGAAGTCTATTGATCTATTCGCAACGCCGTCCTCATCACCACTTGATGACTCTGACATGTGGTTTCCGTCTTCGCAGGGCTGCCGAGGATGGCTGTTGAATATTTGATCATCGGAGAGCCTCGGAGGTGATGGTCTGGGCTCCGACCAAGTATCAGCACTGGCTTCTCTGCTTCCCATATTGGTCAACGCAAAAGAATGCAGGATACAATGATCCGTTGTCCGAATATCCAGGCAGTCGGGGTGCACCAGCAGGTCGCAACATTGAGCGCGCCTCACTGGGCCTTGTTCTCCAAAGTTCCTGAAGCAAAGGGCGCACTGGGTGTTGCGGAGGAAGGCGGTGTCTAGTTCTAGGTCAAAGATGTAATGGAAAGCAGTGCTGTAGCGAAAGATTGCCTGCAGTTCCTTGAAGAGAAAAGCTTGTTGCCATCTGAGGGGCTCGGGACAGTCGAGGACGAAGTGAAGAACGTAGACAATGTGGCCACAAGTGTAGTTTTTGCGACCTCCTTGTTCTTGCTGTAGGGCTCGTCAGCAAGCGCCACGGATCTTGGATGAGAATTGCAGGGTAGAACTTACTCTGGATGGACAGCTACATATGGGAATTTTGCCAATGATGACATAAAACTTCCTGTCCGAGGAAGCCTCCAACAGGGTGAATCGCTTCTCGATCGAGGTATCGTTGCTGTTATCTTCAACCTCGATGACCTGGTATTTTTTATCTAGAGCGTGTCTGAATGCGCGGCCATAGACTGGGGATTTGCGAAAGCGCCAGTCAAAGAGACGTCGTTCTTCACCAGGATGGCCACGTCGATATTCTTCGAGGCGGCTCACAAGCCCCACTACGTCGCCAAAATCGTCAAGATAGCGCTTTAGACATTGTACTCGGAGAATATGGTCACGGTAGCTTGACCACGGCGCATCGTCGGGCAAGTAGTTTCCGAGATCTTGCTTCGAAACAATTTCCATGGCTGATGTATCGGGTAAACAGGCCTTCGAGATTGTACGTGTGAGAGTGTTGATTGCCTCTAGCAAGAAGAGAACGAGAGTTGTTGTTTACTGCGAACACGAACGTTGATGAAGATGGTGGTCAGGGTGCAGGATGGCGACGGTTGAGCTCCGTTCGATGTTGGAGAAAGAAAAACGCAAGGCCGATATTTTTGTGGTCAAACAATTTAAGCTGCTCAGGGCGGGGTGAAGGAGGCGACTGACAAAGGTCAACGAAGTGAAGGGACTGGAAAAACGGCAGGCACCAGCCCACCACAGTAAACAAATTTTCAAGCGCGGGAGGACAAAGCCCCAGGCACCGGGCAGGCTGCTGCGATACTTCAGATGAAATCGACCTCAAGCCCTCAACTGCACCTCAATCTTCCCGTCACCCAGGCAACACAAATTGGTCCTTGGCCGGTCTCTGTTCTTGCCACCGCCGACGACTGATGTCAGACACTGGCTCAGAAACCGGCGGGAGAAGCCAGAGCCATGCGGTTGCGGACGTGAAGGATGCAGTGAAGGGCAAAAGAACGAGAGAACTTACTGTACACGCATCTCGTCCACCCTTATACCTTTGCGTACTTTTTTACTGGCTTTTCCCGACTGCCCTGGGGAGCTCGGCTGCACGATGAAGTTCTTCTGGTAGTAGGTTGACTGGGAGAAAGTCTGAACTTGGGGCGGCTGAAGGATGTGAGATGTCTGTCAGCCAGGCTGCTACTGGTAATTGGCGGCCAGGGGGACAATTCATGAGAGGAAGGAGCCATTATCGCATCTCAGTGCTCAGACCAGTTTTGTCGGGCCGTTGAAACCGGCCAACTTTGGTGTTGCAAACTCACTGTATTGATTCCTCACGATAGACTTATCAGCAGGTCACTACGAACACGTTGAGTGCAATATAGGCAAACGTAAGTAACTTGGAATGTTGAAGAATTGTTTTGAAGCAAAATAGCGTGCTGATATACTGATATCAGAACGAAAGGAGCTCGCATGACCGCATCTCCCTCACACTTCCTTTGATCATTTTCCCTCATGTCTTCAATCCTAATCACCGTACGGTTTCTTCTTCTCTTCTCGATCCTTCCCACATGTGCTCGTCTCTCAACTGAGAGGATTCCCACACCTCATATTACAATTGTTCGACACTGAAACAAGCGAACCCCGGGAAATGGATTGAAGAAGCAAACGAGGGAGAAGGAAAAAAAAAAGAAGGAAGAAGGAAAAAGGAAAAAGGAAAAAGGAAAACGAAGATCTTTTAGACCACGAGGAAGTGTGAGCTAAGTTGCCTGAAGCAACGTTAAACCCCGTCAGATCCTTGAAGAATTACTCTTGCTTTTCAAGATCATCTTGTTTCGGAGAAGGTCGCTTGACCACCAATCCCGAATTCACGATGCCACTAGACATCGATTTTCCAGTCACCTGTTCCTGATGCCACTGGACATCTTCTCCCAAGCCATCAAAAACATGACCTCTCAGCAAGTCATTCTTGGTCGTTGACACCTCGACCAAGCCTGATGCAGAGAGTCATCTCGCGCTCTCCGTCACTGGTGACATTGGCGGTAGCGATATCAGTAGCGGTGGAGGCTTGGTCGGCGTTATCTTCTTGCTTGTTGACGCCATCAACCGCCTGTTGGTCGTCGTCGTCATCGTCCTCAGAGTCAGAGCTATCCTCCATCTCAAGCTCGTTACCCTCAAGCCAAAAGTCAGTGTCGCAAACGTCCTCCATCTCAACATCCTCGACGTCTTCCATCGCCTCTGCAATAGCTTTCTCCATCTTAGCCCGATATTTAGCCACAACAGGATCAGCCGCTGCCCCTCTTAAGACAATATCCAGGTATGTCCTCCAAGCCGATCTGTTATGATGAAGCGAACACTTTTTATCCCTTGTCTCCGGGCTCCAACCAGTCCGACTAAGACGTCTTACCAGGGTGCGACACGAACGGTGAACAGGCAGCCCGCAGGAACTACAAGGCCTCGTTCTCTCAGTCTGTTCCAAACGGATGAGGCGGAAACAAATCGTGCAGATTTGGGTCGGGTAAATGTCATGGCAGGGGAGGTAGTTTAGGCGGGGCTGGGGCTTCCGCGGCCGACTAACGCGAGGGAGATGAAGGCCGTAGCGGTCGATCAGCTCAAAGACGGTGCTGTACCGGTAGATCTTGACTAGCTCGTCGAAGAGAAACGCGGCTTGGAAGCGCAGGGGATTCGGGCAGCCGAGAATGTACTTGAGGACGTAGATGATGTGCGGACAGGTCCAGTTGCTGTAGCCGGCATCTGTCTTTGTGTTCTGCATGTGGTCCAAACATTGGTATCAGTTGCAAAGGTCCGTAAAACGGAAGCAAGATTGAATCGCCCACATACCTTGAAAGCGCAGTTACAAGTCGGATTACTACCAATAGTAACATTGGCGTAATCCGTCATATATTTGCCGCTCCCCCCAACAAGGTTGAAATGGCTCTCGATCCTACCCAAGGAGCTGCGGTCGAGCACTCTCAGCACCCGAAAGGTTTTCGCATGAGCCTCGGTCTCTGCTCTGGTGTAGGCAATGTCCTTCGCAACGCGCCAGGGGAAATGGGCACGCTCTTCGCGCTTGTGGCGCTGGTGATAGTCGTCGAGGCGGAAGCGCAACTCGTTGGCATCACCTACTGGGGAGAGAGTCCGTCGAATGCATTGTTCTCGGAGGACTACAGGGGGGTAGGCGCTCCAGGGCGCGTCGTCAGCGATGTAGGAGGAGAGGGGGCTGTCGGTCGTGGTTTCCATGTTGCTTTGTGGAAGGTTGGTTGTCTTGGGGGAGAAGAAGGAGGGGTATTAGACTGGGACGATGGAAGGACAAGAGAGAGGTGAGTTTGCGGTGATCGAGTCAGCAGGCGAATGACGAGCGATGATGGTGTGGAAGAACAAGCGAAGCTTTTTGTAGTGCACACCAGATAGTTGCAATGAATTTGTTTTGAACGCGTTGGAAACAACACAAAGAGCAGCGCGAATGAGGTTGTTGGGTTGTTGGGTTGGAACTCGAATGAAGGTGCAGGAAGTTTCAGGAAAGAGTTGCAGGAAGAAAGTCCGCGGGGAACGGAAGTTTATACGCGGGGGTCGACACGTTAGGTCGTTACCGTATTGCATGTATCAGATTGAAATTAACACCGAATCGAACGTTCGGCCTTCCTCCAGGGGCGTCCATCTGGTTCATCCAATAATCGACCATTTGCTCTGAAAGCCCAGGTTCGTAGATCCAAGTGAGTGGTCAAAGTCGACAAAGGCAATCACTGTCTGCCATGTCACATCTCCATAAGGCTGAGACTTGTCGCTTGACACTCGGCTGTTGACACGGCATGGGCCAAGGTATCACGACCAGATGGTGAAAGCATAGTGAAGAGACCTTAATTGAAGAATGCGAGAAACGTGTTTGGAAAGGAATACTACCTATACATATGCGCTCTTGGTCCCTTCCGATGCGGCACTTGCCACCATCGTCTCAACTTCTCCCCGGCTTTGGGCCAATCTCCCAGTCATACACAGTCTGGTATCAGCATCAAGGCTTATCTGCTCGAGCCCTACGCTGTGTTGAGTCAAAGTATACCTTCAAACAGATACTTCTTTTGCCTCCTTCATCGACATGATAAACCCCCTTCCGTCCCTCCCACCCAAGCAACACTCAAGCGTCATACCCCGTACGTCTCATCCAAGCCTTATAGTTTTCCAATTCCTTCTCTTCAAGCCAGCATCCCGCTTTCTTACCGTCCCAGTCTCTCTTGTCAGCGCCCTCAGTCCGTCAATACATGATTTTGCGTGCTGACTGAATCCCGCTCGATCCCTTGTGTTCCTCTTTCTGATATGTGGCTCTGGAGTGGTTTGATATTTCCATCCGTCTCCCGTTTCCGTCTTTCGTTCGTCATGTGTGTCTTCTCGACTTTTCCTCGTAGTAAAGCATTGCTACCAGCTTGATCTCATGAAGAGGATTGTTTCCGTCCTCTTCGTGCAACAAGTTTTGGCTTGGAGGGGCAGACTCCCGCTCAGGACAAGCCCATTCCTTCTCGTCTTCACAGAGTACGCACCGCAGGCGCTGGCTAGGCTTTCTGATGTCATTGAAGATATCGAAACACTCTCTATGAGCCGAATCACCACATTTCGCGCATGGCAGTATCGGAGTGTAGCTGATCTTCTGGAAGCAGATGACGCACGCTGGGGAAGGGACAACGTCGTCTTGAGGTACCCTCTCTGGGGTTTTGTTGGGGAAATAGTAGAAGTAGGGGTTCGCGGCAAAGATGTATTCCAATTCCACCGAAAGAAACGCATTCTGGAAAACTAGCGGCTCCGGGCAGCGAAGAATGTACTCGAGAACGTAGACAATATGCTCGCACATTGTTCCTTGATTGCCTTCGATGGGCTGGGACGTTGGTAAGCTATTGGTTTTGGCTCCAGGTAGTGACTCAAAGGAGGGAGTAGTACTCACTGTGTGGCAGTTGCACGTGAGGTCCTTGGAAATTACAACGGTGAAGATACCCGAATTTCTGACGTTGAGGGTGAATTGCTTCTCAAGCCACCACGAGCCCACATCGCTTGTGTCCGTGAGCTGGATTAACTGAAAGTCGTAATCGCGCCAGGTGCAGCTGGCGTTTACCCAAGCTAAATCAGGAACAACTCGCCAAGTTGCAGCTCGAGCTTCATTCTCATGTCTGTGTGCTTGTTGGTATTCCTCGAGGCGTTGCTGGAGTGATGACATGTTCCCGTCGTCCGAAAGTCCACGCCTCAAACACTGTTTCCTGAGAGATTCGACATCTGCAATTTGTTGCCACGGTGTATCGTGGGGGCAATAATCAATCTCTTTGCGAGGACCACGGATTATCGACATGTGTTCCATTCTTGCTTGGGTTATGGTTGATATGTGCTTGGTGTTTGATATGGGTCTGCTATCCAAGAGATCGGCGGGTATTGAGTGAAGAGAGAAAAAGGTTTAACAGCTAGAATCGGTGTTTGAGCACGTACTTTGTCCAAGTATAGACCAAGAAGAATGAAGTAATAGCTTGACGAAGCCGGGAAAGAAAATAAGAAACTGGACGATCGCCGGGATGAAAAAAGAGAAGATCTGCTTGGGAGCACAGGGTCGCGGCAAAGTCTGGTGAGCTCGTGGGACCGTGATTAGAAGGAAGGAAACAAACCCAACTGGGCAGGAGACAATAACTCATCACGGAAAGCACATCATCGGAGCCACCCCAAGACAGGCACGCCCAAGCGCCGTGACAATGGCAGGTACTGACCTCTAATTAAGATAAAAATCATGACAACCGGCCCAGGAGTGAATCCGGTATTAGAAACTGTCCATGGGCTAGGTACCGCTTCGAGCCGCGCTCTTGCCTTTGCTATCTCCTGATCACTTACACACGACTCCCACACCACCACACAATCCTCCCACATATATGCCCATAATTTCATGATTTCGTTTCTAGAGCAGCAAGCAGACATTTACCGGTCCCCTCTCCACGTCCTCACAAGCCCTTGGCCTTCTTCTCAAGCTTCTTGCTTTTTTTCATGAGCCTCTCTGTTACGATCCAATCAAGGATCCCTTATGTAAGCTAGATCAGATAGAACCAACGAGACCAATCAGGTAGGACCCGAAGGAAGGACCCGAAGGCCCGGGTCCTTAGGCCGGGTCCACAGGTCCGGATTGACGGGTCCATGAAGGCCAGTATATAAGAAGGCCGCTTCCCGGCCTTCGTTATTCTGGCTCTTCAGCAAGCAATAGCTTCTACAATCAATCAGTACCTTTCGGCTACTACTACCGTTGTTCTACCTATCCCAGCGATATACTCCTGTGCTTGTAACGGTTCGTCACACTCTCGAGCTCCCGCTTGCTCTTCTTCCTGAGCTTTTTGAGCTCCTTCTTATGCTTCTTGTTGAGTTTCTTATACTCGCGCTTCGCCCGCTTTCGAATCTCAGCTGATTCCTTTGCCAGACGGCCGCGATCTCGAACTAGTTTGGCCGAGTCCCTGTCGCTGATATTGGCGTTCGTGGTGATCGAAGCGGGATTTTCGACGGAAGCAGTACCGGAAGCCGGAGCTAGAGCGGTATCAGGAGTTGCAGCAGAAGCTGGAGCTGTAGCGGTACCAGGGGCAGGATCAGCGCTGGTAGGAGGAAGGTTGTTGGCTTGTTGGACTGAGTGTTCGCCGCGTGACGAACCCGAGCTCTCGATGATAACAGCGTCGCTTGCCGTACGTTCATTCGGCCGCTGAGCGGTATTTCTACCTGGTTCCGGTAGCATCTGAAGGGCAGCTTCGGTGCCAGGGACAACCAGAGGATACTGGACTTGTCCAGGCTCACAGTATTTGTCGATACCCCATGCAGTCTCGTCCTCGCATCTCCAGCATTGCTCTTCCTTGGCCAGTCTTCTCACTTTCTTTGCAACACCCACGCAATCGGTGTGCATCGCTCTTCCGCAAGTGATGCAACAGGTCCGCTGTTCTTCTGTGGAAGCAACAGCCTTGTGTGACGAACCGTTACAAGCACAGGAGTATATCGCTGGGAATAAGAACAACGGTAGTAGTAGCCAAAAGGTACTGATCGATTCTAGAAGCTATTGCTTGCTGAAGAGCCAGAATAACGAAGGCCGGGAAGCGGCCTTCTTATATACTGGCCTTCGAACCCGTCCCGTAGTCCCGTATTCTCGGGACTTCGGGACCCTGGGTTCGGGCTGCCTTTTATTGGTCAATCCATCTAGCTTACATAAGGGGTTTCTGATTGGATCGTAACAAAACACTGGTGAACCAAGGGTCGACAACGCAGGCAGACGTCAGATGTAGGAAGTGACGAACGAATCCCTTCATCAGGAAACTTTTGTCGGGATCGTCACCTTTTTGTTTGAAATCTCTATTCTCACTGGATACATTCAACCTGTGTCCTTCACCATCCACTATGTCATGCTCTCGCAGCCTTGAACATATTAGCTGACATTCAGGTCTCTAGATGGTCATACTCGTACAAGCCGGAACTAATTCACTCCTTGCACATTTCCCGTTCTGAAACGGCGGATAATATTTTCCTTCTCCTCGAGCCCTCTCTATACATATGAACTGACATCCCACAATCTCTCATCAAACACATCATTCCTCGCTCTAATTTTAGACCCTCAGTCAATGGCCTTCAGTTTCCTTTCGAGCCTCTCTCTCTTCTCCTTGAGCATCTTGAGCTCACGTTTGTACTCTTTGTGAATCTTCTTGATTCTGCGCTTCGCACGCTTCCCGATGTAGGATGCTTCCTTTTCCAAGCGACGACATTTCCGCACCAACTTGGCCGCTTTTCGCTGGCGAACATCAGCGGTCGTATTGACTGGACAAGGACCATCGACAACACCCGGAGTAGCACCAGGGGAGGCAGATGTAGCGGTCTGGACAGTGACGGCTGCAGTTGCGGAAGCAGAATCCTGAGAATCAATGCCAACAGCCGAGAGGACCGGGGTCTGACCAGAAGTATGCCCACCTAATGCAACAGAAGTCCAGGAATTAGCCAAGGCCGGACTGAAGTCCAGAGAAACACCCCGTGGCAGCTTCTCTACTCGCTCTTGCTCCTTTTGATGCTTCAACTCCAGCGACATAGGCTCTAGGTTACTCGTGAGCGAAACAGACGCACTCCTCTGTAGGGGTACAGTAGGCAAGGGAGTCAAGTTCATGAGTCGAGGGAGTGCGTCTTTAGACGCTTGAGAGGGATGTTGAGCATGGGGAAGGGTAAGGAGTTCTTGTTGTTTGACAGCGGACTGAGAAGGAGACGGAAAGTCGGATGACGAGGATAAAGATGGAGACGGATGTGTATCGCCCATCTCGATGTCCTCATCCTGTTCTTGTTCAAGCTCTCCTTCAGCATTGCCTTCACCGTCCAGCTCGTCCTCGGACATTTTGTCTTCCTCGGTTACAATGGTTCCATGAGAAGGGCTTTGGTTGATTTCGGGATTGCCGTCGACTTGTGCGTCTCTGTGGTCTTGGTTCTTTGGGGAGCTCGAGCTTTCCACGCTATGATCATCGTTCTCTTTGCGCTCGAAGGGTTGCTGGATAACATTCGCCGTCTGTGTAGGTAGCGCTGAAGTGATCGTTGCGGTAGTGGTGGCAGCCGGTTCCTGATTCTGTTCACGGTACTTTTCAATTTCCCACTCGGATGAATCCTCGCACATCCAGCAACTGCCCGGTGGCTTTGGCTTCCTCACTTTTATGACAACCCTCAAGCAATCCCGATGCACAGCTTTGCCGCATGTACCACAACAGGTAACCTTTCTGCCGACGCCACTCTTGAAGCACAGGACGCACACAGGGTCCTGAGCCTTGTTATCGGTAGGAAGGAGAGTACAGATGGCGCGGCTATGCCGGTAGATAACTTCGACCTCGGAGGGGAGGAAGGCTGCTTGCCAAAGAATGTGCTCGGGGCAGCTGAGCACAAAGCGGAGAAGATCTGGAGATTCGCCGTCAGTATCAGGATCAGGGCATTTGTAGACGTCAGGGCACTGGATATACAACTGACACATGATATGAACGCAATTGTACTGCAAGAACGTTAGCTGAAAGCCATGACTCACAAATCTGTAGATGAACGTACCGTGGCTTGCGACCGACAAGTGCAAGTCGGTATCTCTTGGAAGGCAACAATGCAGGTCCATCCTTCCTTGTCGCAAAAGGTGAAATCTTTCCTGAAACCCGTTCCGTTTGAGGTACTCCTGTCTTTGACCTGTGCTATTTGGTAGGTATCAAATAGTCCCAAGCGCGAAGATCCCTCTTTCCAGGTGGGAAAATGAGGTTTGCCGCACCAAGGGATCTGTCTGATTTCGGTGACATGAGTCTTTTGATACTCTTGTAGAACACGTATCTTGTAGTTCCGGGTGGTTTGATCGTTAGGAATGTTGCGAACTAAGCATTGCCTGCGCAATGTCAAGTTGTCGAACTGTTCCCAATCGGCGTCCTCGGGGAACCTCGTCATGAGGGGGTGCTCCTCCATGGTTGCTGTCAGCTGAGGTGATCTCCAGGCGTACGGAGAGGGATGCGGTTGTGGGAGAAATCCCAGGATCGAGGAGAGCTGCGCGTCGAAAATGTAGCAAGCGCGTAGGAATTTTGTGGCACCAGAAGTAAGGGAAGCTTTGCCCTGTTGTACTGGAGGGTGGGTTGTGGGAGGAAGAAAAAAAAGAAATCTGCCGCGTGCGCGGGGTCAAGAAATTGCGTAGGGCAAATAAATTACCGGCGCCCTGACCAGACGCGGGCCATTCACTCAGCTTGGGCTCACTCTGGGACTCACATCAGAGGTCCAGTCCCGGAGGTGTTTCGGGGGCGGGTACCTGTTCATCAATCGAAAGGTGTGGGTGCCCATTTACTGGGCCACGTCACGTCCAGAAACACTCTCTTGTCCTTTGGGAAGGAGCGACTGCGAGCATTGTTCTGGGAAAGCCCGCACCATTAACAAACCTCCCGCGAAGGAATGCCGTGGCGTTGAAGCACCTTTCAAATTGAACAGTCTTTAGTGAGAGCTGGGAAAATGGAAAGGGCTACCAGGACATTCTATCTACTTCATCTCCTTGACCGCGGGAATTTTTGGTCTTCTGAGCTCCGAACCCTCATACACAGACATTGATATCATGATCAGCCCCTTCCACTGCCTCCAATCGATTACCTGGTCCCTCACAATCTCTTGCTATGTAACTCCTCTTGACTGCTTTCTTCCCATACTCCTACAACTCCATACGTCTTTGTAGTTTCCTTCTGTTTCTCGTCATCCACCAAACAAACATTACCATTACATATTACTACCCCTCTGTCTCTGCGCAATGCCTGACCTCACCAGCCTTACGCATCACCACCCGCCTCATCCCGCTTCGCCAAAGCCTTGACCTTCTTCTCAAGACGCTTGCTCTCCTTCGCGAGCCTCTTCAACTCGCGGCCCGCATGCTCGCGGACATACGCTGACTCCCTAGCCAGGCTCTTAAGCTTGCGTGCCAACTTCGTTGCTTTCCTTTTCTCCATATTGCCGTTAACGCTGGCGCTGGCAGTAGCTGGGGTGCGAGCAGGAGAACCAGCATGGACAGCAGAACCAGGCTCGGGAACAGAGGCCGGAGCAGCAGCGGCCTCAACGCCCTGGGGAGCTGCGCTTGCAGCTGGAGCGACAGGCTCCTGGGCATGAGGAGCGGGATCAGGCACAGGAGTCGCAGAAGCGCGAGTTGCAGGCTCCTGGGGAGGAATGACTGCAAAAGGGAGAGGTCGGGGGGCACTGAAAGGAGGAGCACGGAGGGCACTGATGGCTCCGGGCTGAGGTCGTCCGGCTTCGAAGTTGTGAACAGCCTGCCGGATCTGTTGCTGCTGCAGTTGTTGAATCTGCAACAAAGCCTGTGCCGGAATGACCGGTACCGGGATAGGAGTGATGCTCTGAGCAGGGGCGTTAACCGGTTGGCTGCTCGCGGGTGTACGAGCCTTCGTACGTCCCTGACTGCGAGGTGTGCGAGCCGGAGCTTCGGCGGCCGCGGCAAGACTCTGTTGGACTAGGCCGATGTCCTTGGCGGCCCTGGATGGCTGCCGGCGACGAAGAGGTGAACTGGCTGGTTGTTGTTGCCGAGGGCGCGGAGGTGAAAAGGGGAGTTGTTGCCCAGGAAGAGGAGAGGACCTCTCTTGCTTGATAAAAACGGGGGATGAGCGAGAGTGCTGGTTCATGGCCTGGCCGGGCGCGTTGTTAGACTGCTCGTCTCCGCGGGATGCTTCCTTGCGGGGATTTTCATCCAGAGAGTCTTCGCTCTCCTCTTCAGGGTCCGCCTCCTCGCCAGCAACAGCACGTCCTGCCTCAATCGCCGCCCTCTCGGCACGTTCTTGTTCATTTAGTCCGCGCAGGTCGAGAATGCCCAATTGACGCTTGTCCAGACACATCGTGCATACGCGGCTGTCTATCCTTCAGATCTCGTTGACAATACCGAGGCACTGAATATGCATCGGGGCAGGGCAGGTACGGCAACGGATGTCGTCTGCTCTTCCCCTGAAGCATATGAGGCAAAGTCCAGGTGAACGACTGTACTGCTCCGGCCAAGCTACAGACTTCACGGGATGAGAGCGCTTGTAAATGTCGTCAAATTCGCTGGGCAAAAACGCCCTCTGCCAACGGAGTGGCTCCGGGACATTCAGAATGTAACGGAGCATGTCTGTAGAGAGATGTTAGTTGCTAACCGCGGAGGGTAGATGGAGGATAACAAACAAATGATATGAACACAGGCCGTCCTAGAGGCCTATGGGTGAGTTTGGTTAGCAGGAATCCCTCCAAGGAGGTCAGTACTGAAAGGAAAGATGATGAGATGATTGTCTCACCAAGTAAAACTCGCAGGTGCAGGCGGGACGGGCTTTAAAGACAACACTTATGTCGTCAGGTCCTCCGTCCTTGGTGAGAAAAAACCCAACTCTCTTTTCGCTAACGTTTTCCGTGAAATTCTTGACTCTCGCAACTCGAAAAGTCGCGGCTTCAGCCTGAGACAAGAGGCCCGCGTAGTTGGGCGGGGGCTTGGATGCCCAGGGATCACGCCTCTGCTCTCCGGGGTGAGTTTCGCGGTAGTGCCCTAGACGCTGGACGAGCTCCTTCTTCGTTCCTTCCCTGGACAGTTTGCGCTTTTCACATTGCCGCTTCAAAACTTCGACATTGTACTTGCGCCACGGGGCGTCGTCGGGCAAGTAACCCTTCAAAGATGCGAGTGGCATTGCTGCTTCGTGGAACCGGAGTGTTTCTTGGGACGTAGATGTTCGATGGGTATTGGAAAGGTTTCGTGGTGGTCGAGCAAGCAATGATTTTTGGTGACGGAAAAGCAGGCGAAATTCTGGGCAACTTTGCGAGGCCAGACTTTGGGGTGGTGCGTTTGAAGTGGAAGTTGTGGAAGCTCAAAGGAAAACCCACAGCAGATTTTGTGCGCGGAGGGGCAAAACCGTCGAAACACCAGGCATCCAGTCTCGAGCCAGGCTGCCAGCTGTCACGACTACCGGCTCGCCCATTGCCCCAGACAACCGGGCTGGGAGTATGTCCGGGAAGCGCGCCGGTCACGCGGGGGCCATCAATGAAGGGTGAAGCCCATCCTTTCATCCCAACTGCCCAGGACATGGTGGATGGGGCATGGTGAATGGCGATAGGCAGCTGGGCGGGATCAGACCGGAGTCAACATGATATATCTCAACTGCCATATCCCCATTGCATACCGTCGTGTTGTTAAAAATGCGTTGCCCCACAAGGAAAAGAGCGAGCAGAATGGGCAGAAAAGTGAACGCCAAAAACATGCCAAGTCTTAGGTAAATTCCAGTCATATCAACACGAACAAGGAGGAAATAACGGATACCGTCAGCCTAAGAAGATCAAGAACGCAAAAAAAAACAAATAAATCCAAAACTAACTCCCATCCCCTCCGTTTCCGAGCTTGTCCATTCTCGCACAACATCACAGACTACTCGCTCGCTCAGACCCATCCTCCACTCCTTCATTTCGTCTCGCCAATGGCCTTTTCTTCCTCGCCTTCTTCTCAGTTTTGCGAATCCTCTTCTCAACCCTCTCAATTCTTCGCATACTCTTCTTGGCTTGGTAATCTGCATCCCTCACTAGATGATCCAACTTTCTTTCAAGCCGCTTGAGTTTTCGCGCTAGCTTGGCAGCTTTTTGTCGGTCATGCTGTTCATCCTGACGTTCAAAGCCGCTGGAGCAGGATCAGGGTCTGTACTTTCATCAGAAGCAGCAACAGAAGCGGGCGCGCCGATAGGAGCAGCATCGGCGGCATCAGCGTCATCACCAGCGTCATTACCAGTATGATCACCAGCACCGTCCACCGGACCAGCAGCAGCAGTTCCACCAACGGGGTCACTGGCTTCGACAGCCTGGGGAGCAGCAGCACCTAGAGCTGGAGACGTGTGGACTGAAGCACACGCGCCACTACCACTACCGGCAGCAGTAGCAGGATTGGCTACAGTGATCTGAGAACTGCTACCCACAGCCGGGGTAGGAGAAGGAGCAAGTTGGACGTCAGCAGTAGGAGTGCGCGATGGGATTAAAGCAGCAACCGGAGCATCTAAACCAACGGGGGCCGGCGCAGAAGTAGAAATATGGCCCGAGCCAGAGCCAGAGCTAGAGCCAGAGCCAGAGCCAGAGCCAGAGCCAGAGCCGGGGCGGGGGCGGGGGCGGGGGCCAGAGGAAGAGTCGAGGGGACATAGAGGCGGTAGAGCCACCGCTTGTGAAGCGTCACCGTCGACTTTAGGCTCACCCCTCTCCCCTTCATCTGCCTGAGGAGGGTGAGGGAGTACCGAAACCCTAACAGGGATAATGACGGGGGGAGAAGCTTGCTGTAATGCCTTCTCCTGCTGCTGCTGCTGTTGTTCTTGTTCTTGTTGTCGTTGCTGTTGCTCCTGTTGTTGCTCCTGTTGTTGCTGTTCTCGTTCTTGCTGCTGCCGCCCTTCCAGCCAGATAAGCGCCGGGACCCCTAGGAGCGGCGTCGATGTGCACCTTTGCTGTTCTGCGTTCTGTGGTTCCTGTAGGGTAATCCTTCGCTGTACGGATTCGACTTTAACCACGATTGACGGCTGAATACCATCTTCAACCCGTCGGTCCGATCTGGCTAGTGCTTGGATGCTGGCTTGGGCGACGGAGACGGGGACGGGGACGGCCGGCGAGACCTGAGGCCGCCCAAAATACTTTCTCGGCAGCCCATTCGGCCTTGTCCACGCAGAGGAGGCATTGTCCCGCTTCCACACTAGCCGAACGTCTTTCGTTTTTGAATACTTTGATGCAAGATGGATGCATTGGCATTCCGCATGCACTGCAAGGGACATTCCGCTCATGCGTGTTATGCACAAGGAAACATATGACGCATCGCTTTCCCTGACGATAATAGTCTGTCTCGACACGACTACGGGCGGCGTGACTGTGGTTGTAGATGTATTCGAGTTCGGAAGTCAGGAACGCTTCTTGCCAGACAAGAGGCTTTGGGCAGTTGAGAACGTCGCGGAGGAGAGCTGCGTGCGGGTATCACAATTAGCCTTTGTGCTTAGAAAACAGCTCAGGGGTAGCGAAAGCCTTATCACGAACATTCGACATGGAGGCAGGGAAGGCCCTGCAAAAGGTGTTTCAGTGTAAGCTAGGTCAGCATGGAGGCGTAACTCGTTTGTTTATGCTAGTATAAGCGGCGTTTACTAACCCCACAGGAGCAATAAGGCTTGTTGGTAAAGTAAACAGTGGCGAAGGCATCGAAAGGACTCCCAAAATGCGTGGTATGACCGGACGCGAACGTAAAGCAAATCTTCAGACAACCGCGAGAGTCGCTCATGTCCCTAACACGTCTAATGGGAAGTGCGTGTTTCCTGCAAAATCTGTAATCGGTCTCGTGGGGGGCTGGAGGGTTGAGCCGCCAAGGACGGGATCTGAACTCGGTATTGGTTCGCTGATAGTCAAGCAGTCGTTGTTGAAGGGTGGATTTGCTACCGGCAACGGGCAGGTTTCGTTTCGCACATTGCGTCTCCAGCACCTCTTTCGTAAGCTCCGCCCAAGGGGCGTCATCGGGTAACCAGTCTTCGGTAATGCGATCCATGGTCGGCGGTTAGGATTCGTTTGCGGGCAATAATCGATAGCGCGAGTGGGTTGGGTTAAAGGCGGGTGTCAAGAATTCAAAACGCTAATAGTGTTTGAAGTCGTGACGGCGGTGAGGTTGCGACGACGGTGAGGTTGGGAATGTAGTCGCGGTCGCGCATACAGAAGAAAATTTGCGAGCGGGGAAGCGAAAAATGCGTGGATCCTGGCGCACCTCCCAGCTGGTTTGGGTTTGAAATATGACCGAAAAAGAACAATAATGGACTGTTGCGATTGATGGACAAGTTGGGTTAAGAGCGGGGGTTGAAGATGGGAAAACGCCAAAAACATTGGAAGTTGTGACGACCGCGAGGTTGGGGATGTAGGCATGCATGCAGAAGAAATTTGCGGGCGGGGAAGCAGAACAACACGCGGAAGGCGAACGGGCTGAAGATTCCGGAGTATTCCCGAGACGAGTCCAAGAGCAGCGATGCATATAAACCAAATACAATAAAGTAAACAATAAAACAAAGCAAATCCACAAAGCAAAGCCTTGGGGAAGACGAGTAAAGGTTTCCCTCGTTTTGTTTGTAATCCCTTGTAAAGATTCTTTTACGGGTTTTTGCTAAAGATTTCGGGATTTGCATGCTCTGTGACTTGTATAATATCCGTTCAAACGAAGAATGAAGTTGTAAAAACTCTACTCCTAACGGACCGATAGAGGCTATTTGAAGTTGAGGTTGGTTGAAGTTGGTTGATATTGAAGTTGGTTGATGTTGAAGTTGGTTGATGTTGAAATTGGTTGGTTGATGTTGAAGTTGGTTGATGTTGAAGTTGGTTGATGTTGAAGTTGGTTGATGTTGAAGTTGGTTGATATAGGAAATAGGAAATAGGAAATAGGGAGCGCTATTTTATAACGGAGTAAGGGATCTAGTGATAGCTTCTCGTTTTCATTGTGTAATGATAGTAATATAGCTAATAAATACGTGTAAATACGGTATACCTGGCCCGGTAATATTCCAGATTTGTAAACATTTCAACGCAAAGCAAATCCGAAATAAAACAAACAAGTTTTTTTTCTCTACCCCAAAGCAAAGCAAATCCACCCAATATTTGCTTTGCTTTGCTTTATCTGCATCGCTGTCCAAGACCACCTCAGTCTCGGCGCTTTCTAATGAGCTTTACATACCTAAGTATATTCATTGAATATTCATTGAATATTCATTGCGTATTCATTCAATGTTCATGGGATGTGCACTGGGTTGTACATGTGGTGTGCATGTGGTGTGCATTTCATGAACGAGACTCCCTCGGCACGCAGTGTCACTTTTCCTACATAACTGCGTGCGGGGAAAAATGACACTGCGTGTCGAGGGAGTCTCTTCATGAACATCCCCTGAATGTCGAAAAACAAAATCGACCTGGCTTTAGCAAACATCTCTGACAACTCACTCATCGATATCTTGATCAACACACTACCTTTCCACACAAACCACATACCATTTTACTCCTTTTTGACTGCTCTACACAGCCATGATAATTATGCCTTCAAAATCCTACCAAGCAACCTTCTTTTTGAACCTCCAAAAAGAATTGGATTTTTAGCTCGTTATTTACCCTTCCTCCTTTCACGACCACGATTGCCGACTCGTAGATTACTACCTTCCCACAGGTGACAACAGGGGACCAGGAGACTCACCGAATCTGAGGGTCCAGCGGGCCACCAGACGTGTCTAGACCTCCGAACCACTCTCCCTGAGGTGGCTTTTGCGACTACATCGTCCGGGAGACTCATGACAGACCACGAGGAAGCAGAAGTCAAACGACGAGCGGCCATCAGCCAGGAAGGTCTGCCTCGAGGCCATGGCACTTGCCACTCCATCCTCCCGGTCACTCACGACGCACCTACAGACCACGAAGGAGCAGAAGTCAAACCATCAGCGGTCATCAGTCAGAAAGGTAGACATGACAAGAAAAGAGCCTGCCTCGAGGCCACCCTCCGCAATATGGACACTTGCCACTCCATCTTCCCGAGGACTGACCTACAGAGGCTACAGACCACCAAGAAGCAGAACTCAAACCATAGCCGGACAGCCATCCGTCAGAAAGGCAGACGAAACTCTGCCTCGAGGCTACGCTTCGCAATATGGCACTTGCCACTACATCTAAGGGCGTGTTTGTCTCCCCTGAAATCGGGCTCTGAAGTGTTCAGAGCCGTTTTTTCAGAGTGCTGTTTGGAAACCTCTGAACATTTCAGTACTGAAATTGCTCCACAAATCCCCGTTCTGAAATTCCGAGTCCCACTTTCGATTTGTTGCCAATCATCTTTCATCAAACTCCCCAATTTCAGAGTCCAACATTCAATCCCGAAGGAGCTTCAGAACGTTTCTGAACCGAATTCTGAATTTCAGGATGGTCCGTGCAACTTTTCTGAAAACCATTTCAGAAAACCCACTTCAGAAGGCCATTTCAGGGGAGACAAACACGCCCTAACCCTTCCCAAACACTCACGTACAGACCGCGAACAAGCAGAACTCAAACCACTCGACCACAGGTGACAGATCACCATCAGTTCAAGAGCACAGGTAGACAAAACTCCTGCCTCGAGACCACTGTCCGTATTGTGGCACTTGCCACTCCCATCTCCCCGAGACTCACCTACAGACTACGAAGCTTACTTGTAGTTGGTTCATAGACGACCATCAGTCAGAAAGGTAAACCAGACTCTGCCTCGAGACTACCCTTCACGGCATGGACACTGGCCACTTCATCTTCCTCCTGAGACTCATGATTCACGTAGACCACGAAGAAGCCGAAGCCAAACCAGACAAGCATAGTCAGGAAGGTTGGACAAGACTCAGCCTCGTAAACAACACTCAGCCTCTCTGCCTCCAGGCTACCCCTCCGCGATATAGCACTTACCACTCTATCGTCCTCGAGCCCACGTACAACGTCCAGATCACCGGTAGCTATATATCAAACCACCCACCCACCACGGTTCCAAGACATGGCACTTGCCAACCAGACACCACCGCGACATCATCATCCCCTAAACACCGGCACCGGAGGAACAAGACGCAGGCAAAGAAAGGTATCATGTTGAATAAGAAGAGAAAGCCAAAGCCAGACTCAAGCAAAAGGACCAAGTGAAGTCAACCAAACAGACTAACGTATTTCCTCTCAAATGTTCTCTCTTTTTGGACGCCTGCCAAGTGTAAGCATAAGTATGAGAGTTTCAAGTAACCAGCCAGACCACTCCATCCGTTTCATTCACATCTTTATCCCCCTCGCCATCCATCTCCGCTGTCCGTACGCTGTCGGCTGTACGTCAAGTCGGCCCTTCATGGTATAACTCTCGTTCTTCGTTTTCAACAGGTCAAAATCTACCACCCCAGCATAGAATGCGCTCTAATTCCCTTAGGTCCCAGTTCACTATTTCATCTCGTTAGCACAACATCTCCTTACACAGCACCATTCCCATCTCCGCAACACCATCCCCCATCATACTACGGGAAAGGAGGAAGGAATACTCACTTATAATCAACCCTCGACAAACTCATATACCTCTGCATCTCCAACCCCTGCGCATCAAAATTATGTATGCAAAACGCCATCCTAGCGGCGACCTGCGCACCAAGGAACATGGCCTCCTCGAACCCGTTCTTGGTCCACTCGCTCAAATACGTCGGCAGCTGCGCCAACTTAATATTCGTCGGCGTCTGGCTGTGGAAGTGATGCTGTCCCAGCTGCCCCTCCCCTCCTTGGAGTCCCTGGGCACCAGGTACGTTCAGGTTAGCATTCGCCGCAGCGGTGGTTGCTGCTTGGAGGAGTGACCCGGACTGCGCACCAGGGCCGCTGGCAATAGGTGTCAAAGCCCCTGGGCCGGGAGTGCCGGCTGTGGGGGTGCCGATGTTGGAGGGCAGTTCGGAGGTGAACATGGTTGCGCTGGAGGGGGAGATGAGGTGGCGAGCTTGCAGGGTTTGGAGGATGTTCTCCTTGAGACCGCGGATGCGGGCGCCGTTGCCGACGAAGACGAGAGATTCCCAGCAGGGAGGGCGCATGTACATGTCGTCGATGGACTGGACGGCGTTGTAGATGGCGGTGACGATGCGGTCGATCTCGGCGCGGTCGGCGAACTCGAAGCGCTCGAGACCGACTTCAATGTCCCGCCGGATGCGCTTGGTTTGGCGCTCGGTAAGGACGGGGCCTTCTGGTGCGGGAGGGGCGGGGGCAGCAGCGGGCTCGGGGGCCTTTGGCGCTTCGGTGGTGGGTGCTGGTGCGGGCTCGGATGGTTTTTCTTCGGGCTTCTTGTCGTCCGTAGCAGAGGCGTCCGGTTTTTGCTCCTCGGTCTTAGCTTCATCCTTCTTCTCCTGGTCCTTCTTCTCGGCTCCCTCCGCTGATGGTGCTGGCGCATCAGCCATCTCAACATCCTTAGCCGCTTCAGTCGTCGCTGGTGCTGCCGGTGCCGGTGCCGGTGCCGGTGCTGGCGGAGCAGGCTGAACAATCGGGACCTCCTCGGTAACATACTCCTCAAAGTGAAAAATGTTCTTCACCCTCTTAGAGTTGGGCAACCTCATCACCCTATTCGCCTCGGCCTCCTTATCTTTGCCCTTCTTCTTCGCTTTCTCCTGCTTCTCCTTCTCCTTCTTGGCCAAGAACTCCCTCGTCTGTCCCGTAGCCACGATATTCGCAACGTCGAGCACGCCCTCATCATCCACCAGGTTTCCGTCAGCGTCGTAGGTAGGTTCGTCAGCAACCGGCTCAACAATCTTCGGTCCTTCTGTCGTCGTGCCCGAAGCCGCCGCCGCCGCCGCCGCTCCAGTAGTAGCAGCCACAGCAACAGGGACATCCTCAGTAGGGAGATCCATGAGCTTGGGCTTGTCCGGCGCGTAAGGCAGGACTTCGCAGATGTTACTCTTCTTCAGTTGCTCCGCCATTTCGCGGTTGAAGCCCTTCATCTTGTCCTTCAGCAGCTGCTGCAGTCTCCGTGTGAAGACCTCTCCACCGCTGATTTCCCTTTCCTCTTCTGCGCTGTTCCCTGGCCACCCGGCCCCAACATCCCGATGCGCCACGATCCTGCTGTCGTAGATGCACGTCACGTCGACCTTCTCGAACCCGATATCGACGACTGTCATGTTGGGCCACTTGAGGCCGTACTGGGTCGCGATGGCGGAGTTGATCAGACACAGGGCGGGTGTTTTGGTCTTCTCGAAGATGTAACGGGCCAGGGTTTCGCAGTCTGGGCGTGTCCATTGCGGGGAGGCCATGAGCATTATGGGCGTATTGTGGTAGGTGGTGGTTAGGCTGGAGTGGACGTGTTCGAGGAAGGCGAGGAAGGCTTCCATTACGACGATGTGGCCGCCTGTGTGGATGGTTCTGTCAGTTCCTTTCCTTTTCCCCCGTCCAACCAGCAGCAGGAACAGCAGACCAGTACTCACCCTGAATAGGATAAACAGCCCCCTCGTCCGAATCCTGGTCCTCGACATATTCCCACTCGTCTTCTTCCTTCTTTCCCCCTTCTGGCTTTGGTTCTTCTGGTTTTTGTTCTCCCTCGGCCACAGGCGCAGACACAGCCGCAGCCTTCTTCCGCTTATAAGTATGGTAAGGCCTCCATTGACCCGTCTCTTCGTCTCTGAACATGCGCGTCGGAAAACGGTGGGCGGGCGGGCTGAGTTCGCCGCAACCGAGCTGGGCCATGGTTGTCGAGCTGCCGGGGCAGATGACGAGGACCTGCTCTTCTCGCCATTTGCCTGTTTGGCCTGACATGGCGGGTGATTTATTGTTGACTTCTTGTTAAGTAAGTGTCGTTGGTGATGGTTGGTGAGCTATGGAATGCGATCGTATTCTAGTATCCGTCGTAAAGGCTATTACTCGTGGGGTCGGGATAAATGCGTTGTTGAGCTGGTGGGTAATGTTGATATGTCGAGGGAGTGATGTTCGCGAAGCTGTCGCAAAGTCGCGAAAGTTGACGGAGCTCTCTCGTGGCGGCGCGGGCAGCAGCTGTGGGAAACGAGCGAGGTTGACGGGTGGGACGCGCTTCGGTTGCGATTGGCGAGTTGCCTGCCCGCGCTCAGGAATTTTGGGAGCTTGGGACGCTGAGCCAAGCTCGCTTACGTAAGGCCGTCCTCTTCCCTCGAGGCCCCACTATATCACTAACATTGACATTACCCCTGAACGTCGCCAGGGAAACGCCGTGACGTCGACGTCGTGGTAGCCGCCAACGTTGCATGATGCTATCACCAAATGGACAGTGATGGATAAGTATTTCTGAATTATTCTTTAACCTCGATAACCAAGTCCGATTGTTCTCAGGCAAAAAGATGCTGTTCTATTAATATTCAGCGTATCCATTGTTTATGCACCTTCGCCTTCCTAATCCCAGCCTTGCCATTCCCAGAATTCCCATAACCTGCATTGTTACGCCTCCAAAACATATTCCACCATAAAATCCAAAAACTCCGCCAGCGTCGGCACCCGCCAACTCCCATTCGCATACATCTTATCCATCCTCGCCGCCGCATTCGGGTCAATCGCCATGCCCGTCTCCAAGAACACCTTCTCCGCGCCCGTCAACTCCCTATTCTCCGTCTCGAACCACTTCCTCTCCGCCTCCTCCTTGGCCTGCTTCAGCACCAGCTCCGTATTCTCAGCCTCCCACAAATTGCACTTGGTGCACTTGTCGCACTTGCTCCCATCGCCCTCCGGTCTGAAGTGATCGCAAAAGTGTCTGTACCCCACGTCTGGGCCGTCCCCGTCCCCGCCAATGTCCTTCCGACAAACGTAGCACATCTTGTATCCGCACGGACAAGTGAGCTTGTTGCAGCCGGCTGTTTTGACGAAGGATGTATTGCAGCGGGGACAGACTCGCTTGACGGCCATGCTCATGGCTTGCTCTACTTGTGTGCGCAAGGCGACAAGGGAGGACTCATTGCATACGTGAATGTCGATCCATTCTTTGTTGCAGGAGAGACACGAGTTGCGTTGGCACTCGGGGTTTCGGCAGGTGAACTTGGATCCGCGACGACGGCGGTGAAGGCGTTGGCGCGCGGCATGATATTCTTTGGATAGGGGAATTGCTATATCCTGCTTGTAGCTTAGTAGGACCGTGATTATCGCGATTATAACGACGAGAGGTAGTATAAAGGGCATGAAACCGATGCAGAGGACAACGAATATGAGCTGGAAGGCGCTCTTTCTAGGAGAGTGGTGAGTCAGTGGGTTCGGAGGCTCGTAGATCTCGTTGACTTCGGCGTAGGAGCAGAAAGGACAGCGGGCAAGAGGGAGTCCGCTAGTTACGAGACTGTGCTCGGCCAGACGCTGCTCGAACTTGTGCATGATTCCGGCGCCCTTCTTGAACTCAAGCATGGCCCGGTGCATCTGTTCTTGCGAGATACACCCTTTGCACCCACTCCCTTCAACGGCTGGGCAACGGAGCGTGCCAGTTTCCGTGTTGATGGTTGACTGCCAGCCTTGTCCGAACACGGCTTCCGAGAGGGTATGGTGGACACATCGGAAGCAGATGGTATGTCCGTCAATGTTGCAAGCGACAAGTTCCTCGAACGTGGCTTCGGTAAAGCAGCATGAGCATTCAAACATGCTTTCTAGCTCCTCTGCCTCTTGGGTGTTGAGCTCTGCGGCCAAGGTGTGATCCTTGTCTTCCCTTTCCTGGCGTGCCTGTTGGAGGATAGGGACAATGAGTGCCTCGTAGAGCTCCTTATCTAGTTCGGCATTGCATGTAGTCTTGATACAGGGCACAATAGAACCCCTGCCGGATGACTTCCAGATGACAAGTGGGTGTGTTGCAGCCTCGGTGCCCGATACAGATTTTCTGCGCAGGAAGAGAGACGAGATGGCAAACCGCCAAGATTTGGACGAAAGGCTGACCAGCGTTGGGCGGGCATCTGGGTACCAGTAATTGTTCTCGGCGAGGACAGCGGTGATGGTCGATCGAGACAATCCTTTGAATTCTTGCCACGCGAGTCTTTCGACTGCGCTTCTGTACTCCTTGCTCCGAAACTTGTGCCTTGAGGGAACCGAGACGACAGGCAGGGGCCCTGGCCCTGGCTCAGCTGTGGCTGGCACATGGCGGGGCATCTTTTCCTTTTCGGCGGCTCTCCAACGACCCTTGACCCAGGTGACCTTGTTTTGGATCAGAGCGTTTGCGACCAGAGCGAGTCTCGATTCGCCATCGAAGCTGGAGAGCATCTCACGGAAGACGTCTATTTGTATGTCGGGGAAGACCGAGGAGAGGGCGTCGAGAGAGGCGTTGAGTTCGTGGAGGTCGGGAGCGTCTGGAGGTAACGGCAGTAGGTGCGCCTCGTCCGAGATATACTCCCGGTCGGGCTGAGGAGTGTTCGCGTCCGAGCGTATGCCCGGCATGTTTGCGATATGATTCGGCGCGACGACTTGAAAAGGTTGTGCGGGGTTCGGTCGGGATAGCAACGGGACGTCGTAAGCTTGGGGGCTGTGAATATCTTTGTCGCGAGGGTTACCGAATCAGGAGCTATGCTACTGGCAGGTCAACAGTGTGGTCGTCAAAATCAGGTCCAACCATTGATGATATCCATGGCGCAAGCGCAAGCGCGGTCTCGTTGTCGTCGTCGTTGTTGTCGCGTGGATATGAGAGTTTTGGTCGTATGGTCGATGGTCGTCTCGGTGTCGATTATGGTAACGAGTGGCAGGTTGACGGGAAAAAGAAGGACAGTCAAGTTCACAGGGAAAAAGTTCCTGCCGTGGCCTTCAAACTCCTCACATGGTGGCAGAGGGAAACACTTGAGGCAGTTGCTGTGACTGGAGGGAAAGAGTTGGCCGGGCATCCAATCGCTCCTTACGTACCATCGTGTCCCGATATTGGATTGCCGGCCCCGAGACGGTCCCCGTGCCCGTATCCGTTGGCCCCTAAAACAGGTCGTGGATAGTGGATATAATTGTTAGTGTGTGTCGGGAGCGGGCAATTGTGGGCGGGGCAGCCGGGGCAGCACTTTCCCCACTCGGCGTTGCCCCTGGCTGTTGACTTCCGCCCCGTTTTATTGACTTTGTGACGTCGCATTTGACTTTTCCCCTATGACAAACTCCAAGACATGTTGATTTGCGCGCGGAACCCGAAACAACAACAGGCGGATTCCAGATAGGGCAGCCGAGATGTCGCCATGAACAGTCACGTGCATATCTAGCCGACTTTCAAAAATCATCACCGCCTCCAGTAGCGCAGACAATGGCACAGTAGCGCAGACCAAAGCGGCGGCCACGATCAGGCACGCAGCCAAAAGAGCGGAGGTTACACTGGGCTTGCGGATCCGGCGATACTGCATGTCACTGGCCTTGCACGAGGCTAAAAAAGGCGGAGAGAGGGATGAGCCATGGTTCCACCAGACCACCAAGAGAGGGCGATCAACGATGATTGTCTGGTCCAAAACACGAGGAAGAGGGGCTACCGAGTACCTTCTAGTGTCGATTGAGAGTATGTACGAGAGGGGGGTCATGCTCATGCAGGTCATGGTTGATGGTGTTGACCTCCCATTCAGCTACCAGCTCCCCTTCTCGTCCACTCGGAACTGACTTGAGACTCTGACCAAGAGACCCAAATGGTTGGTTCATCTCTATCGTCTCTTGTAAAACAAAGTCGCAACCCGGATCAGAAAGCGGAGAGCGGACGAACATGAGCCCATCCTGCAACACAGACAGACAGACAGACAGGCCTCGGACGAGCTGGCCATCTGGCCATCTCATGTATGTCTCAACCTTGTGGGATTCCAAGATGCAGCTGTTGATCCTCTTCGTTCCGATTGTGGTATCCTTTCCGGTTGGATGCTCTGGGGTATCGGCCGGAGCAGTCCCTCCAGCTGAACTCACATCTTCCGAACGGGATGGTATACAGACGGGTGAGGTTTGAAAGTGGCGTTGAGGAATGACATTGAGACCGGGCGGGCAAAGAGCAACGAGGGGAAGGGGTAATAACTACGATTTATTTACCTGAAGCTCTCACCGACTTGTGGTTGCCAGGAACATGAAACGAATAATCACAACCCCCCACGAGACTGCATGACATCAAAGTGTCGAGATCAAGGTGATGTAAGCGATGGATGCCCCTCAAGGTGTACGCAAAACTCCTTCGGTGAGAGACAAGAGTGGAGGTTGGGTTTGGAGATGTTCTTGTCCGCCAGTCTGCACGTCCTCGATCCCATCACCGGTCCTTCCAGCCAAGGAAAACGAGTCCCAAGAAATGTCCCTCGCATGCCCACGCGCGGGTTGGCCACGGGTTAGGGAGGCTGTCTGCCTGTTAGATGCCAGCTTGCGTAACATACGGTTCGGCTGTCCATTTTCTTCGTTTGTCGTGAAGCCTTCTCGCCGCCGGGAACGCCTGAGAAACTGGGGGGGGCGTTTGTTGAACTCGCGGTGAAGCATCCCAGCCAGCATACCGGGGGGTCCTGGTTACGTTCGGTAGGATCAAACGCTGTTTTGGTGTTCCTCTCCACCACGAGGATAGCACACTGTAGCGACTGTACTGTGTAGCGGTCCCCGCAAACATCACCAGTCCCAGGATGTTGACGGCAGCTTACCTCATCTCACCTGTCACCTCTCGCCGACTTTCTTTGATCAGACAACCGATGAGCAGACCTGTCGAAAATACTCGCTGGAATACGGCATCGCCATGATTCACTTTCCATGTGGAGCAGCGAGTCGCCGTCCGTATCTGTGGTCAGCAACCAGTCTTTTGCTGATTTTCTCACAGGGCTGGAAGGGATGGCTCGCCAACCAAAGCAATGAAACCCTCCCCTTTCGGCCCTCCGCCCCTCCCAAACCACCAAAAAGCCACCATACCCATCCGACAAATCGGCCATGGTGGGTACCCTTTTCTAGAAACAAACCTGCATGTCAGCAAAGGCTTCCATCGCTACCTCATACAGTACAGTAGCATCACTGTCCCTGTGTCCCATGGAAGTTGACAAAAGTGACAAGGTGATACTCCTCACGTGCCATTCTGTGCTTTGCAGTCATCGGGCACTAAACCCAACAGGCAGGTGGTGGGCGGTTTCATCGGGACATGGACGGGACAAGTCACGGTGTTGCATTTGCAATTCACGTCAAAACGTCGGTCAAGGAGAAAGACGAGGATGAGGATGAGGATGAGGTTCAAGGTACGTGAGGCACAAGGTGTCCTCATCGCAGCATCCTTCATCTCATCACACTGCCTGCTTGAACATCACACATCGCATCGGTAAGAACCTTGGATCGATCACACATCCGGAATCACACCTCCTCTTTACCCATACTCGTGGCCCTTTTTCCCAGTTCTGTTTACTCCGTGACTCCGTAATTTCGTTCAACAAAAGTTGTATCCTTCACACCGCCTTCCTACCGCTCATTCTTCATTTCTCTTCTGGGCTGGGCAGGGAGCCTGGGCTGGGCCTTTGCGTTGCAGCAACAACACGACTCACAAAGAACCTGAGAATGTTCTTCTCCTGCCCGCCCCCTCGGAATGGCAGGGTAAGGTACCTTTTTTTTCTCTCTCTCGTCAAAAGAGGCAGCAATGCCTGGGCCGGGACTCTGAAAGCTTCTTAGTGGACGGCGGGACCCAAGCAACGCCAAAGGGGGTGGGCGTACCTGTGGTGGCTTGCAGCTTGGTTTGGCCTCCTAGCCGCTAATGCACCCAATTTTGACTCCCCTGTCTTCTCGGATGGACAGGATGGTTGGGATACCCAGTCAAGGCCCAGCAACAGAGCCCAGGAATGGTCGATTGGTGCCCCATGCTCCCCCAGTCCCCAGTACAAGTACCCCCAGGGATGGCATGGGCTGGCATGGATGGCCCAGTATGGATAGGCTGGAATAGGGCTCGACGAATCTGAGGCCGTCCCTTGTCTTAAGCTCACCGACTTTAGAAGCCAACTGAAATCTTTCGGTATCAACGACACCACCGTCCTTTGTTCATGACAGATCGATCCAAACAGAAACCATGCAGCTGCAAATAATTCGGAACTACTCATGCTAAATAAGGGGCAAATCACTCCCCTTTCCCCCCTTCAGTACCCGTTTTCTATTTTGTCCCCCCAATCCCGCCCATGCACTCGTCCGTTGCCGGTCAACCCACACCCGAACCGACAACTCGCGACTTATAAGTGACGACAATCAACAACCACCACCACACCCACGCTTGTGTCAGCCGCCCCCAAGCCGCCTGAGCCTCACAACACACGCATTCCATGACCGCCTTTTCATCAACGCCATCAACAAGACATATATAACAACATATACCCCTCGACCGTCTCACTCGACTTTGTCCCATCTTGTCTCATCTATCTATGACAAACATTCACATCATACAGCCAGCCAAAATGGATACTCTTCCCGCTGAACTGCTCCGGCTCATCTTCGACAACTGCGACCCACCATCGGTACGAGCCCTCCGTCTTACCTCCGGCCGGCTAGCCGACGTAGGATACGACTACCTGCTCCCACCATCCTTCCGGGCCGTGGAATGGAAGGACGACGTCCAACGGTTACATTCGATCGCCCACCATGACCGGCTCAACCGCTCCATCAACTCCATCACCTTCAACTTCTCCAAAGTCGACGAGTACAGCGCCCGCCACGCCTCCTTCTTCCAGCACTGGCTGCAAGAGCCCGAAGAGCGGTCCATCCTCCTCCAAGATGCCTGGATCAAGTACTACGAGCTCGAGGGCAAATCCCGCGACCTCCCACCGTTCCACACCCGCTCCGCCATGGTCGAGGAGTCCTTCAAGCGTCTGCCTAACCTCAAGGACCTCGAGATCACATACACCAAGTGCCCCTACGACATCGAAGTCTTCAAGGACGTCTTCCTGGTGCGCAACTGCCGTAAGCGCGACCCGACCTTCCGCGCGCAGACGTGCAAGAACATGAACGCCATAATCTCCGCCGTCCGGCACGTCTCCCTCAACAGTCTAACCATCGACCAACTCCCGCTCGAAATCTTCCGCCTCCCCGACGACCGCCGCCACTGGTTCGACTGCTGCGCCTCCTCCTTCTCCTCCCTTTCCAAGCTGGACCTGACCATCGACCCGCCAGCGAACTTGATGCCCCAGTCCCGCTTCAAAGCCATCAACGGCCTCGGCCATGTCCTCCAGCTCTCCCCCAACTTGACCCACCTCAGCTTATCCTTCCACACTTACCACGCCCCAATGCAAAAATTCGGCTTTTCGTTTAGAGCCCTCCTTCAGGATTTCACCTTTACGAAACTCACCTCCCTCAAACTCGAAGGCGTCTCCTGCTCCGAAGAAGATCTGCGCTCCTTTTTGCTGCGCCACGCCAAGACCCTCGAACGTCTGCGCCTGGGAGGCCGCGGGCTGGCTAAGCCTTATGAACTTTCCATCGGGGGCGTGCATCTCCACGAGGGGTCTTTCCGCAGTTTGTTCACTTCCCTGCAGGGCAAACTACCAAAGTTGCAACGCCTTCACCTTGAGGGAGACCTCGAAGCAGGCGATATTAGGACGGGAGCAAGGGAGAGGGAGACGTTCAAGTTCCACGCTAGCGTGGATGAGGATTGGGAGGACATGAATGGTGCAGACGATTTCGGGAGGAGGAGGGTCGTGCAAGCGGGGAAGACGATGGATTCGTCGGCGCTGGAGAGGTATCTGATTCATGGCGGGCCGTTTCCGAAGCTGGTGGTGCCTGGCGCGGCGTCGGCGGCTAGCTCAGAGGGCAGCCCGAGCCCGGAACTTGGCCCCGTGAGCGGCGGTCCGGGGATGGCTGCGACGCCGGCGACTGCTATTGCTGTTTGAGCGGAGCGTATTACCGCGAATGACGATGGGGAATCGATGGGATCGATTGGTGCCGGTGCCGATTGGGCATTCGTTCAGTCGTGGAACCGGTCGCTCGATGCTCACTGCATCCGCCAGTTTGGCGTCGCATCGTCGCAAATGGGCTGACGCCTCTCTACCTTACCAAAGCACGCCATCATATGCTGGAGGATTACTCATGCATATGATCCTTCGATGCTCCCGGCCCGCCTTTTGGGGTCGCTCTTTCCTCGCTTCATCATCCTCAATTTTTACAGTCGGCCACTGGCTGGTCGGCTAAACTCCGTCGGGGAGTTCGTCCACAACAACTTCCATCGACTTGCATCTCAACATCATCAAAGAGGAAGGAGCAGATGAGAAAGAGGAGAAAGAGGAGTCAATGAGGGGACGATACGACTATTGTTTTTCCGCCTTTTCGACTTCAGCATTTCACACCTTTACATTTTCGCATTTCACACAATTCACATTTTGAAAGACCTGGGCATTTTGGCAGCAGCAGCAACAGGCGTTCAGTTTTTAACGAAGAGCATGATCATACCATACCGCACACCAACAACAACCAACATATTTGTACAAACCGAACAACAACAACAACACATACCCAGAAAGAAACCTTCATACCCATTTCACGACGTTACAACCCCTCAAGGGGTAGAGGGAGAGGGCTTTTAATGACCATTATACCATACCCAAGATACCATCAAACTGCAACCACTTCATGTTTTCGATACCCTCACTTCATTCATACCTCTAAGCATTTATATAGACGTTTTGGAACTTTGTACTACACTTCGGTTCGGGCTTTTTTTTTTTCTCTGGTTTTTTTGGCCTTTCGATTTTGGTTTTTTTTTACTCTCGGGTTGTTTGGTTTGGGGACACGGGTTACTTAAGGATACCATACCATCATATGATACATTTACATACATACATATTAGACTGAGAATGAATGAAATACAAGCGATTGTATATTATACAACAACGTTGTCTCTCGTTACATGACTGACTCTGTGAACTTGCCTAGGTGAAGTTGGCTTATTCTTCTTCTTCTTCACCACTGACCAACCCCCTGAAAGAAGCGTCATCACCAAGCCCTAGACTAGAGTACAGGTACCTACCTACCTACCGCCATTTAAGGTCCTAGACTAAGGATGAATCAGATCATGATACAGTCCACAAGCGCGCCGGGGATCCAACATAGCGTAATCTCAACTTCCTTACTAACCCAACCCAGCAGATAGTCGCTTCATCAGCAAGGAATCAGGTCATCAACAAAGGTCATCTACTTGAAACTCATCTAGTGATCATGTGTCTTCTTGATCCATTTATTCTCCGGCATGGGTAGGTATCACGGGGACACCAGCACCTTGGACGTTGGGAATCGTGTTTGATCCAGCTTGACTTCCATGCCTGGCTCTTGGGAACTCAACCCACTAGTTTCTGGAAATCTAACTCACATGGAGGATTGACTTCAATGGTTGAGTTTGTCCACCACAAGGCAGACTGATGTTTCATCTCGGGAGTAGATCTGGTTGTTAGTTCGTTGATGACCTAGTTCTTGGAAGAGCCCTCGATGGTGGTTACTTAATGCTTCATCCGCCCTGCTCGTCGGTTGCCGGCCGTGAGCCGCTAGAACAGTTAAGGTCTTCCATCCTATACGACTTGCCTCTAGAACTGAACCGCAAAGTCATTGGACAGACAGTCGCCTCTTAAGAACGCCATCACCAAAATTATGATAGGGCATGTCATGAGTAACTTGTTCCCTGGAATTGGAAGTCGGCCCGAGTGTATCTAGTGGTCTCTACTATCACACCAGATCTGTCTGTCTCCAATCACAACGAACCACAGTAGTCCAGAATGGCTACTTGGACCTCTAGAGTACTCTGGTCTGGTTGAACGTCAGTAAGATCGTGATCTCGGTCCGGCTCACTGTCGTACCAAACGTCGAACTTTTGTGACGTTGGGTATCAACACCCTCCTCCTACATCGGAGACTACTATGTATGTGCGAGCCACATTGTGTGCCTAACCTGTACGACTCCGGCAACCAAGCGCTTGCCTGGTATACCTGAACGACATGACATTATTTCTGGATTGCTATATCTTTTCCCCTTGTTCGTATGAACAGTGGTATATCTGAGAGGCTTTTCTGCTTTGCTTCAGGTGGATGGCATGGTTGACCGCTTTCAGAAATCTGCCTGTCCAAGAGTTCTTATCCCATTGCATCCAAACGTAGATCTGGGGAACCTCCAAATAAAACCTATAGCGCACAGCTTATACGGGTCACGGGAGGACGAGGGAAACAATCTATATCACCAATAGGTTGCAGGGTGATGGTTTCACGGCGTTGAGGGGAAGGCGGTGATGGTGATTGCTCTTTGGCTTGCCTTGTGCTTGCAGGGCACTGCCGTGCCCCCGTCGTGTGCCGGCATTTGTTCTCTGGGGTAGGCGGACTGGGGCTTTTCGGTATTGGGTTAGATGGTTGATGTTAGTTGAGCATTATGGGAGAGCTGTCGAGACTTTGATACGCCCATGTCGTTGAAGGCTCAAAAGAACTAGAATATAATGGAACTTGAAGAACCATCAGCCATCCATCCCCTTTGTACTAGAACTCACTCAAACCGCAGTACAAAGCCTTCGTGATCATCTCAACTCGCAAACAACACTAGCTGCCCGCTGCCTGATGCCTAATCCCGCACCACACGCAAATGACAGCTGCTCCTTCCCATTTCCATTCCCATTCTCATCCTATCTCGTCACGAACACCCGGTCCCGCGGTATCACAAGCAGGCGGAGTGTTGCCGTTGCTGAGACACACAAAGTGCGGAGGCGCCACAACCACAAACGGGAAATCCCTCCACCGCAACAAGAGACAAGCACAAAAGCAATTTAAGAGACAACGGAAATAATTGGATCGTGGCGCGGTGACAACTGAATGGTTCGTAACAAAGTGAACGTGCCCTAGTAACCTAGGTGATTTCCACAACTGAACGGTAAACAACGGTCAAAGATCAACAGGAATGCATGAAGCTGATGCTGCTGCGGCGGCATCCCGGCCTCGCTCGCCGCCGACCGTTGTGAACGGTGTGGACGGTGTGGACGCTGAGGATGTTAAGGACGGCGAGGTGAGACAGGAAGGATCTCCACTTGGCTAGACCCCTCCTCGATATAAAACGCCGGCGATGTCCGACCTTGTCGAGAATGTCGAAAAATAGGTGTTGCAAAAGCGGACGGTTTGGACGGCAATAGACGGGAAGCTGCAGAAAGGACGGGAGTGGTAGCCTGTAGAGGTAGCCTGCTCGGCATAGATGTGGACTCGGACCCCAACTTCCACTTGTTCTCCAACGACGCGTCAATGAGGATGTTTCAAGGGGCGCACCACTTGGGCGGTGCAGATATCCGGAAGGAGCGAGAGGAGAGGGGACTCGGAGAGGGGAGAGGTGAGGAGTTTTCTGACTAATCCATCGGCTTTTCTCCTCGGTGCTCTCCTCAGTGATGTTTTCTTTTCGTTGTTGTTCCGGGAGATCTCGATCAGTGAGGTGTCTTCGGTAGCGTCGGTCTGAGATCGAAGCCAGGAGAAAAGCCAAGCTCAGGAACAGGAGACAGAAAAGTGCAAAGATGACGACATGATCTCCGAAACAGATCGAGAAAATTGAACAGAAAGCATGGCAACATGGAAGGTCTTTGGGCCTGCACTAACAAAAAATGCCCCTGTTTACCCCTGCTGGGCATCTTTTTGCTCTTTGGTCCAGGGCAATTGCCCCAATTTGAGCGCAGCGCAAGTGGAGCGGACTGAAAAGTCGGGATGCCAAGAAGACGGCAGCTGCGAGAATGGCAGGGGTGGCCGCCTTTGGGTTTTGGCGTGCTTGGCGGTGGCCTTTTGAATTGGCGTGCTGGCGCCGGCGGGGACCGGGCCTCAATTGGGTGCATGAACCGTGATGCCGTTCGCGGTTCTGTTCCGAGCCCGAGAGCCGGCAAAACAAAGTGCGTGACTGGACCCGAGGGTCCGACAACAGGTCCGGACCCAGCTGCCCAGCTTCCCGCCCAGCCCGTACCTGCCGTAGTGGTATGGGGCCGCCCAGTCGCCGTTGTGGACTGCAAAATGGGCACACGAAGTCACGAAACGGGCGCAGCGTCGCAGCCCCATCCGTCAGCCCCATCCGTCGGCCCCCTTGGGTGACATGGGGTGCCCTCCATCAGTTATAAGGATGGTCCGTAGTCATCCGGGAGAAAGTCCTATTATTCAACTGAGTATGTAGGGCCGCTTAAAAAACAATTTGAAAAGAGTGATAATGGAGAGGAGAGCAAGCAAACAGTTTTGAGCTGAATGACAGGATCATGTCGTGAAAAGTGCAACCCCGCGTTGGCGTTGTGGGAGGCTGTTAGTGGAATCGAGAGCGAGATGCGAGGAGGGGGATACGTGAGGGGAAGGCACACAAAGCAATCAGAAAAAGAAAAGACGAGTCTGTTTCGAGACACCAAAAGCGGATTTCGTGTGATACCGCAGAAGCCTGAAATTGCATGAGAGGGGTCTCTCTTGTGCATTTTATTTAAGGTTGGGGTCACGGGGGACAAGAAGGGAAAACATGACCCCATCTTGTGTTGACTGAGAGGAAATTGAAGTTGTCTCTAACACAGGAACCGAAGAGGTACGTACCTTTTTTTCTGGAGAAACATCCCGTCCATAGAGCCTTTCCCAACTCTGTGGAGAGAGACAACAAACTCTGAGTTCATGGGAGAAATGCAGACTTGCTCCTTCCGACCAATCCTGCGAACCTTCATTAACTGCGTGTATCGTTACCCTAATAATGTTTCGGACGCGGACTAAGGAAGCGTGTTAAGGGTCCAAATCCTCTTGCACTTTGAGACTTGGCATTCCAGTTTGAGGTGAGGAGCAGGAGAGGATAACGCGACAACGTTTTCTTTTTCTTGTGCATCTCTCCTTCTTACATGCAGACGACTATCCGCTTCTGGGCGTTGGCAAAAGAAAGCTGTGTATCAAGCTGACGTTGAGCTGAATGCTTTGTTGCTGCACGCCGTTGTCGATGTTGTTATTATCTCCCCTTTTCGTACTTGTCTGTTGTCAATTCGGGACAGGTCCTTGTCATTTCTTTGTTATGTAACTCCCGATCCAGCCCGGCACTTCATCCATTGTCATTGTTGCCGTTGTCACAACCGTTGTGATAGCTTCCTCCATCAGTTTCGCCCTTCGTCTCTTGGCTTCCTTTTTTGATATGACCAAGGACTACCAAGGCCGGACTTTTAAGATTTCACAGGCCACTCCGACCCATCCGACCCAAGGAAAAGAGAAGGAAAATTCCTCGTGGTTGATTGGATCGACATTGGTCTTGCTGGGGCCAAGAACCCGGCTTTTACAAGCCCTGTCTGGCGGCCCCATCAGCCCCATCAGGCCCCATCCTCGCTGGTTTTGGGATCAAGATACGGCAAAAGCAAGCCAGATGCCATTTCATCCAGCACGAAATCCTTGTCATTAGTGACGGTCTCGCCTCGTCTATCCCAACCGATATTAATTAAAGGGAAATCCCTTTCCTTTTCTCGGTTTTTCCCCGTTTGGTACCTGCGCGAGAGTCGACCATTGGCACACCACCTGGAGAGTCGACGACGACATCCAATACACGAAAGCGAGGAAAAGAGACATTGAACACAGGGCGGACTTTGCGATTGCGCGTACGACTCTACCGAGCTGGCCTACAGTGGGGGGATCCACCAACCAAGATCGGGAAAAGACGCCCTAACCCACACCTGATCTCATCTCATCAAAGAGACACCTCACTGCCCGTGGACACACAACACACAATCCCACGGCATTCTCCCTCACGATAGAACCAGTCACGGCAGACGACACGGCGCCATCCCCCCATCTTGTCTCCCATCCTGGCGTCATTCCGTTCGCTACCACCCTCTCTGCTCTGGCCTTGCTGCAAGCCCTTCTTCCATGTGTAACCCAGGGCGACAGAGGTGAATCCTCGAATATCGACGACGACGACGACATCAAGCACGGCCTTTTCAGGTTCTCCTGCGCCGCCCTCTTTTGCTTTTCCCTGCAACTCGGTTATTGGCTGTGACCATCACCCACGTCACGTCACTTCCAGGTCTCCTCCATCAACCAGCTAACCAGCGTCCCCGGCCCCACCCACCACGCCAGGACACCCGCTGCGCACCAGGGCACTGGCACCACCGGCACCGCTGGGCTCAGATTCCTGCACGCCCAGAACGCTAAAAACATCCAATAACACCCGCTGAGGAAGCGTCCAAAGCTCGACTCCTGCAGCTGCAACCGTTTCGCAGACCGGGTCCGCCAGCCTGTGTGGGCATGCTTTATCCAAGGCCGTCCACTCAGACTTGTTTATCTCGACACTCCCTCTTCCAACTCTCGATCCGGATTGAAGAAGCAGGTGAAAACGAACGAAAGAGAGATCCGACCTTCAGGTTGGGGTCGCTTTCCTCCGCATTTCGCCTTTCTCCCTTTAAGGGCGGAGTCTTCCTCCACCCCCCGCCCTCCTCCAAGATCCTTTCCATCTTCTATAACCACTTATTCAGTCATCCCATTCAGACGATATTGAGAAGGCCGGCTTCTCTAACTTCGCCATGCAGCGCGTCTCTGTCCTGTTCCCTTCATGGAACCGGGCAAAGCAAACAACACCCGTTACCCCCAGGTCGCCCAGTGCCCTGAATAAAGTTTTCGGATGGGGAGGGAAGGCGGTTGTGCCCGTCAAGACGACCCAACAACCCACAAGTTACGATCGCGAAACATACTGGCCAACAACCCTGGACAAGGAATGTGACAAGGCCGCCAGGATATTAAAGTCTTTTTGCAGTACGTCATATATGTCCCCCAGATCAATTGACCCCTCAGCATCAGCTAACTTAACTCTACCCAAACAGTGGATGGATTCCTTGTAGAAGAACCACAAGAGCAAGATCCGAATACCGACACCCCACCAACACCAAAATCCGTCACGAAAAAGATCCCACCAAGGATATTACAAGATGCCGTTGGCCTCGCAGTCTTTTCGTGCATGCGCTCGGGACTATGGATGTCGGGGTCAGGCGGAGCCGGGTTGATTACAGCAAGGAGAGCGGATGGCACATGGTCACCGCCGTCTGGTATAATGCTTCATACGGCCGGGTTAGGCTTCGTCATGGGAGTTGATATCTACGATTGCGTCCTTGTCATCAACAGCGTACAAGCTCTCGAACTTTTCACCCGTCCGAAGGTGGTTCTCGGAGTCGACGTCGACCTTACCCTCGGCCCGCTTATCGATGCCGACTCGACGGACAACGACACGCGATGGAAGGACCTCAATGATACCGTTCTTACATATATCAAAGCCCGCGGCAAGCATCAACCAGTACCCCTTGACGGTTCGCTTGTCTCCGAACGCGGCAACGAGAACGTTCGATTCTACAACAGCGACGTTTCAGTCCTCGACATCCTCGCCGGCAACATTGGCAAGGAGATTCCCGAGATGCGCCCGCTATTCGAGGTCATGAAGGCTGCCGAGGGACGGACGGATTATGACGCAGATGTTATGGAGATGCTTGCTCAGCAGCCCGCCCCTAGTGATGCCGTAATCGATGCCCCACAGACATCGGTCCGACAGTCGATCATGAAGAACCCCTTCGGTATCCCCGATGCCGACGATCCGGATCCGTTTGGTGTCATTGGCCTCGAAATGGCTGGCATTGAAATCAGAGAAGCCGGCACACGTCTACGACCCATCAGCACCCAATTCGAGTTCCACCCCAGTCCCAAGAGCCCCGTGTTCGCCAGGTTCAGCCGTGACACGTTCCAATCCAGGAGTAACCGCGAAAGCTGTGTATCAACACAATCGACAAGGTCACAGGCTACCATCATGACGGACGCGTGTACGCAAACAGATGTCACGAGCACCCCTGAGACAAGTTTCAGCCGCGCCAATAGTATGGACGGCCGAGACTCAAAGTTGTCGGATAAGCTCCCCACTGTCGTGGAACCGGAGCTCGAACCAGAAGAGATTGACTATACGCAGATCGATATGAGCATGATTCAACGATTTAGGCCGCTGCCCGAAGAAGAAGAGGAGGAGAAGCTGCAGCCTGAGCCTGTGGCCAACCTTGATGACAAGACCGATGCGGAAACCACCGACGCCAAATCCATCAAGGACGACGCGAGCGAACACCATGAAAGCGAGAAAGACGAAAGCGAAAGAGACGAGGACGCCGACGACGAAGAAGATGAAAGCGACGAGGACTTCGACGACGAAGCCATCATCTGCGAGGTTGCCACTGCTCAACCCGCCCGAAGCTCCATCCGCTCATCCCAAATAACGCAAGTTATCCACGCTAAGGCAGGAATCGTTACCATTCCGAAGCGAGTCCCTCCTCCGCTGCCTGCCAGGTCCGCGGCCCGCGTTTCTAGGGGAAGCCGTGGTACCGACTACGGCAGTATAAGCGAGATCTCCCTCAAATCGCCCCTCCGCAACTCTTTTCTCTCTATGGACTCCCGCATGAGCGACACTCTGGCTTCTGCTGACGCGAGCGAGGCGTTCGTTACTCCTCCCGCAGTCATGGAGGAGGTTGAGCCTGCTTCTCCTGAGCCAGTCAGGCGTTCTGTCCAGGGACACCAGAAGAACTCGTCGTCGGTGAACACGGCTGTGGACTTGTCCGCTAAGCGGAGGGCAAGCTTGGAGACGTCTCCTGAGGTACCCGCTACCCCGAGGACGGTCGATTTGACTTCTTCTGCTGAGGATTCGGAGAGGGAGCCCAAGACGCCCAAGACGGATTCTGGGTTTGTCAGCACCACGACTCTTGACAACGAGAAGACTGGTGTCAAGGAGGTGAACATTGTCTCGGCCCATGGCGTTGAGACCAACCCTGTTGCGGTTGTATGAATGAAGGGTTAGGAAGCAAACGGAAAGGGAAAGGAAAACAAAAACAATTTCGAATTGGTGAATTTCAGTTTCACATGTAAGAGCGGGAACGGGATAATGGAGACTACGAACGGGAACTGGTGATCAGTATCGGTTTACCTTCTGACATGGAAGACATGGGAAGCGGCGTTCTTGTGTTATTAACATTACATACCATTTTCATTAACGTACCAAGGGAAGAAAAATAGGGTCTATCATGGGTATGGCTAGGCATGCCAGGCTGGAAAGCAATGGATGGATAGGGCCAATTCAATGGCAATGGGTGACCGGAATGAATGGGTGGGTGGCACAAGCACAAGCAGCAGCAGCGGATCATGACTGATACTGCTCACTCGCGCGGATGGCTTTTTGGACACTTTTGGGCGTTGTCTTATTCTTCTTTTTATACTTTACATTTTCTTGACTGCATGGTTAGCAAGCAGTATTGCTAGCTTTGTTAGCTTGTATGGCCGGCCTTTTGGTCATTGCATTCTTCTTGAACAAAATACCCATATTTTTCTTTACTTCTTATCACGGATGTTCTGATTGAGTGGCAGTGTGTTCTTCGACTGTTTCTGCTGGGTGCTAAAGTAACCCTCTCAACGGAACAAGAGCGGTTGCAAGATCAATCAATGAAGAAATGAACAAGAGCATCTCAAGTCATGCATCACGGTCTAACCAACGTCTTGATACCTATTGCTGTGACCTGTCTGGTGTGGCTTCAGTTACAATAAAATGTCACGGAGCCGTTTGCTTGCCTTCAAGATGAGAAGCCCCTTTCCATTTCCATATCAACTTCCACGTATCTATCCTCGTCCAGGACAAAAAAGCTGAGACCTTTTACAATCTAATACTGGTTTGCTTGTTAGCTCGGTACTCCTAGTATACTAGACGAGATCTATCCCGAATTGTCCCAAACCTTATAAAAATAAAATGAATGGCTAAGTACGGATTGGAAAGGCATTAATATGATTCAATATGGCATATTAAATTTTCAAAATAGTATATGCAAGGTAAGATCACGCTTTGGTTGTAGAACGAAACGGATTAATTACATATATACAATTCAATACTGGTTTGTTTGTTAGTTTGGTTCTTCGGCTATGGGTTGAGCTGGGGGGATTCACAATTTTTATTGGCCTTTCCAGAGAGGAATCTGGTCTTCGTTTGCAGTGACGGACAATGACCAGGGCCTAATACGCCACAGAAGCCTCTTTTTTATGCTTCTATCCGTCTCCTTCGAGCTCCCAAAGATTGGAAGATATAAGAGCGCAGTCCCCTACGGCACCCGTCCGCTCGAAGCCCGAATGCTTTTCCACTTTCAATGGCTCAAGAGTGGAAATGGGCGTTTTTTTGTACCAAACTAACAAACAAACCAGGGTTAGATTGTAAACGCCTAGGGAAGTTGACTAGAGGTTTCGAGCTAACAAATAAACCAGTATTAGACTATATGTATTAATAGGGAAATGGACGAGAGACGAAAGGTGACAACTTGGAATCATCAACGCGACAAGATGGGTGTCAAGAACAATTGCGTAGCATACGGGGTTACCCTTGCTTCCAGATAAGCCCAATAACGTGAGCACCAATTCAACAACAACCACTAGTCACTTTGGCGGAGTGGTTAACGCGCTGCCCTGCTATTCGCAAGAAAGCAAGTTTAGGCAGTTCCCTCGGGAGCGTAGGTTCGAATCCTACAGGTGACGTTTTTTTTTTAATTTTTTTTTCGCTTTCTTACGCTATGGAGCGTGTTTGAACGTTCGAGAGACTTCCCATGTCCTTTTGAAAGTCAATCGGAAGCGTGAAGAGTGGTGGAGAATTGGACGAGAGAGAGGAAAGCGGGCAGGAGGATTGGGGGTGTCTACCTGAAAACGCAAAGTAGTACCACTCTCCTCTCCCATCCTTGAAGCAAGCGCCGCGCCCGTCCCATGGGGCGGGACGTACTCCGCGTTGAGGGCGATGGCGATGGCGGCCGTGACGGCGTCGATGAACAGGTCGACGGGAACTGGAATCGGAGGGATAGGGTGCTGATGAATTTGGCTGAGTGTTGCATGCACTCGGCGTTCTTGTCGGCGTTCTTGTCGGCGCGGAAGATTGCGGTTAAGTGGTTAAGTTAACTGGCGGTCGGAAGGGCTTGCTGGCTGTGGTTGAGCTGGGTCGGGTGTCAATCACCGGCCAGAGTGCCAAGCCCGGTTTTGGTTCCGCGCGCACCTGCCTCATTGAGGACACTATGGTTTTTGAAGCCAAATGGTGCCCACAAACAAGAGCAAAACGTTGGAGTTTCAATATTTAGTGATTGAGGAAACTCATTTCAGTTCAGGCTTTTGCATGTCGCTTGGGGTTGTCATGGTATCGGCGAGTTCGGTCGGAGTCTCGGAAGTGTTGGATGTTGGCAGCCCAGGCAGTTCCAGGGCCTAGGGGTCTGAAGTTTTAGATCTATCGGATACTCTAAGTTGAAGAGTGCTGTGATTGCGGCAAGAAGAAAGGTCCATATAGACGTGCGAGAAAATTGTGGCACGAGCAAGACGAGTCCGAAGGACGCGCGGTGGTGGAAGAAGACTTTGTCTCCGGAATTCGCGAGGCATATTTGAACATGTTGTGATACCCTCGACATCTGAGAATGTGCCATGATTGTGAAAGCAAAATAAGAACAATCGCTAAAGCTCCTATTGTGACCCAGAATGGAGTTTATTGCCATCTTCGCGGCCACAGACCCCTGACATGGAGCATGAAGGCCATGATCCAACGGAGATATCCAACGCTGAATAGGTCAAGACAATAGAATCTGAGTGAAATATTGTGTAAAAGAATACTAGAATAGTTGCGTGGAAGCATTCACGGGGTCTTTAGCTCCGACATCTTGCCCTTTCAATTTCGATCCGTCATCCGAACATCGTTCACTCAAATGTCATCGCCCCGGAAAGCCTCCGGTCCGGCACCGGACACTCCCGTATTTTCGCTCCTTCCTATTCAACTCCCTATTGATATCAAACTTACTCGACGGTTCTGTTCTGACAAGTTATAACGCGTCTGGCTCCCACAATAAGTTTGTTTCGCTATTGTTGCCTGCCTGCATGCCATATATATCTTCTCCCATTGTTTGGTTGCTCACTCTACTCTTCTTCCTCTTCCTCGACCTCGTCGCAATCTACATCAGCAAGAATAACGCGCCTTTCATTAACTCACGATAACTTCATCACCTTGCGGCTGTTTACTCTTGCAACAAAAAGCAAAGCTCACGGACAAACTTCCTCTCGCTCTTCAAGCAGAACTCCAAGCGCAACTTCACGCGTCTATCACCACGGAAAACCCTCTTCTTTTCGCCCTCCTCGCTCGTCTTTTCTCCCCACATCTTCACTCTCACCCGCGAAGATCATCCTTGCTCTTCTTTCCCTTGCATTGGTAGCCCTCGCGCGCCTCGCTTCTTTTTCCGCTTCTTGAATTTCATCCTCTGATAGGCCTTGAATCAACCATTGTTGACGACGTATGCTCTCCGTCCAGGCGTCATGTGTGCATAGTCCCCCATAGGGCATTGATGTGCTCTACTGATTGTTTGTTAGCGTTGGGTGGACGGAATTTCGGTCTTGATAGGTATAAAACCTATATGTTAGGGCTGCCTCTAGAAGTAAGAATAAAGCCCGAGTTGGTAGAATTAAAGAAACGTCTGTGGGACATGGTGTTGACACTAGGACCTTCTTGTGTAAAATTCTGTAGCCATGTTGACGCGCAATTTTCGTTAACTTCGAGAACGTTTCGTCGTTATCGTAATCCTGGAACCTCTGATGTACACCTTGATTCCTGTGGGTCCCACTACCAACGTAAATCAAGGGCGGTGAATTGTTGGCAGGAGGAGACAGAACAAAAGGGTCGTTGTCAATGGCGTTTCACCTCACCAACCACCACCTTGCCCGCCCTCTCCCCACCTTCTTCACCCCGGCCGACTTAACCTGGAACGGTCAACCCATCGCCGCCGTCCCCCACTCCCACCTCGCGGTCGAGTGCAACGTTCGTGGTCTCACGACCACCGGCACGAGCTTCGACCTGCTCGCCCGCCTCCGGGGCCATCTGGGCCTGGAGGTCCGCGCTGTGCCCTGGCGGCTCCAGAAGCCGGCCAACTACGCCACCAAACTGGAAAAGGCTGACCGCAAGGTCTTCACGGTCATCGAGGCCGTCGAGTTTGGCGGGGTTAAAAGGGGCCACAGAAAGACGACGAGGATGTTCACCATCCTGGACGAGTTTGAGAGGCCATTTGAGGTGAGGGTTGGTACGAAGGGAAATACGTGTACTTGTTTCGACAAGGTGAGTCTGACCTGGTCCTCTCTTGCTGCGTTAACGTGATGTGCGCTTGTTTTCGGTGGAATGACTGACTTGAGCAGAATCCTCCTCGAACCGACGGCGTCGTTTTGACGAACGAGCACTTGCTGTGTGAGTCCCCCCAGTTATATTCTTCCACCCCTTCCATCCCTTCCACCCTCCTACCCCATCCATTTCGGGCATGACGCCACGCCTTTTGATCCAGACCCTAACCATTCATTGCAGACGTCCTCCGCCACGTCCTCGCCTGCCCTGCCCCCCTCCTCTGGCAAGGCTCCTTTCTCCCCTCCGAGATGGAGGCTATCTTCACCAACTCGCCGTTCGCCACAATCCTCGACCGGTCCCTGGGCCTTTGCGGCCACAGGCAGAACCAGCAGCAGGGGGTCTGCCCGCCCCGCGGCCGCGACACTTGCGCTCGCTGCTTCAAGGAGTGCAACTTGGGCCAGCACCCGCAGCGAGTCTGCCAGAAGTGCTGGTGCAATCGCTTGCACTTCGATTGCTTTGCGGGGAGAGAGGGGGCAGTAGGCGCGACCAGAGCGGACGAGGCTTCGCCCGTTTGTTTTGCTTGCGAGTTCCCAGATGCTTGGCATCGCTGGGGTTCGGCGTTTGACAACAACGTCGTCGGGGCTGGTTTTGCGGGTGCGGGTGCTGGGGGCTTTGTGGGAAATCTGGGGGCACTACCCTTTCACGGGGCGAACCATGACAATGACAACTAACTGGGCATCACCAAGGGCTCTGCGGGTAATGTCCAGAGCCTGAAGGCCTGTGTGGCTGGATGGTCAAGGAACCTAGTTCCTAATGTCTGAGGGCTCGGAGTTGGAAGCTGTCATGAAGGCAGGAGATGGAGAAATGGGGGAGCAGGACAAAGCAGAAAGCAGGACAAAGCAGAAAAGGGGTGGAGGACGAGAGTAGATTTTCGGATGGTTGAGTGATGTGAGTCTTGGAGATGGATCGATCTGGCTTGGATGAGGGGAGCGGGGAGTTTGGTTGAGTTGAGATATTTCCATTGGCGGTTACGAGAAGACAAGAGGTTTGCTGTGTTGAGAAGATGGGCTCGATGCAGTGGGGTCGGAGAACCTGTGGAGTGCTTTGAGGAATTTGCACGGCAAATCGTGCAGTGGCGAGCGATGACTTTGCTGCTTGTGCTTTCAAGACGGAAAAGGAGAGGAAGGAGCCACTGGTCAATCTTTCGGCAGGGAAAGCCACGAGGCATGTGAGAGGGGGAAATTTGCTCGGTCAAGAGTCTATCGGAAAGGACGAGGGACATCACTCACTGAGGTGAAGAATCAAAATTCAAAGGGACAGATATTTTCCCATGTACTACTCATGTAAAACACATTTTAAGACTGGAGAACTCCAGAGTCCAGGCTCGCGATCTCAGGATCTATCGTCAAAATAAAGTTTGGCGTCTCGGCAGTGAGGAACTACCACCGCCAAGGCATTAACTTCGCCTATTCATCCAACCTTCTTCTCCCAATGATACTTGACCAAAGCATATTGCCCGCCGGCGTTTGCAAGCACCCCGGTTATAACACGAGTCGCTCGCATGCGAAGATCGCTGCGGGCGGGTATCAAACTGACATGTCAGTAGGAGGCTACATACACTACAAACGGTTTTCTAAATGGATGTCATTGCGAAAAGACGTGATCGCTACGTACCCACCAGAAATGGTATTACTTCTTCATCTTTGCCAGTTAGATCTGGGTGCAATACTTGGGGCGGATGGGTTCATTCGTTGATATGTGATCAGTTCCTGTTCTTAAAACCAATCCTTGTAGGCCAGATTCTTTAGTACAACCACCTCGCCAAAGGTCCAGACCTTCTCAACGCCTACCGAGCTGAAACTTCATCCAAGCGTCATGAGGCCATTCAGGCTCGACTAACGTTCGTCTTCGTAACCTTTACGTACAGAACCAAACTAGGTCTCAGCATATCTGCTGGCCTCGAATTTTCCAAAACTGATACTGACCCTGTATAACCGTATCCTCCTATGAAGATGGTGCTGAGATTTCTTTGGTCACATCGGTCAGTCTGTGCTCATGTTGGTGTTGAAGTTGTTCATGCTGATGATGACCTTAGCAGTAGTAGTCTGTTCATGCCTAAACGACGGTCCGCAATGAGTACCAAGGTATGTGATGTGGTGTTGGAGTGTTGATGACAATGTTCTCCCCGACATAGCCGAAGGGGAGATGGGAGATTGGGAGGAAATACATATAAAAGGCCTGCCTCGAGAAAGTGACTCAGTCTGTTCCCTTCCCATCGTCATCACCTTCTTCATATCGATCCACAGTTTTTCATCAACACACCAAGCATATCACCCCCATTTAAACAGCCTAGCAAACATGCAGTTCTCAGTTCTCGTCACCCTCCTGGCCTCCGCCTCCCTTGCCTCCGCCCAAGGCAAACGAGTACAAGAACACTGCGTGGTATGTACACCTGGCTAGCCCTCTCTCTCCCCCTTCAAAGTCAACCGAACTCAACCTCCAAGACTTTTTGATCGTCATTGTTCCCATCCATTAACATCCTATTTCCTGTACCGCAGCAAAAACCTCAACTACTCCCACGCCAAGTTCTGCCTCGGCGACGTCACCTTCGACGACACCACCATCTCGGTCTACTTCAACTACGGAACCAACGACGTCGGCACCAACCGCAAGATCTGGGTCGCGTTCAGCGGAAAGACCGGAAACGGCGGCAGCTGCACGGGCACCGAGCTGGGCTGGGTCCCGCTCGGCGACAACGGCAATTCTGACGAGGGATGTGTGAACATCAACAATGTGTTTAGTGTGAGGATTAAGTGTGTGCGCGAGCGCCGGGGTTGAGTGGGTTCAATAGTGGGGAGAGATCATACCTACTTCAGAAGTATGAGGTTTTGTCTGGATGGGAGATTGGATGGGAGGGAGGTGAAGGAGAGGGTTGGGTAGCTGGTGGACGAACAACAATGGAAATAGGGTTATCTCTGCAAATATGTCTTCTCATTGATATCGCAAGTTGATTGCGCTGGGGTGATGAGGCTCTCGTGAATCCGTCCATGGGGTACATGCCGAGGAAAGAACAGATCATGATGGCTCCCGTCGCCATTGGCTGCTCATGCCATGACGGGCAAGTGTAATCAAGTAGTACATGCAATTTCGCCCCTCGTTCTTTCACCTTTTCTTCCACTCGAATTGACTTCGCATTCCACGGGTACTTTGACACCGTACTGCCCAACAAGAACATCACGATCTGCGCTCACCTACGGCGCAACATGAAATCAGTGATGTCATCAATCAACCCGATTCTGCAGAGGAAAGAAGACAGCACACGATGCATCGGGCGGGCAATAGCACTGACAGTGACCGAAACGGAAGATTCCGAAGGCAAGAGCACCGAGCTCTTTGCGGGACAACACCCGGAGACCTCACTTGTGTTTCAATCGCGGCCTAGATGATATGAAGTCCTTCCATGGTCCTTCCCCTTCAGGTGAAAATGAGTCTGACTCACCGCCTTACCACAATCTCCGTTATCAGTCAACACCACTGCACCTTCCCTCTGAGCCTGGCAAAACGTTATCGCGGAACTGGACCAGATTTTCGCCAAGCGCCCGCCCGAACCTGACGTCCAAGCGAGAAAGTGACCCTCGAGAAAGAAGCAGGTTTCAACTATCGTCAGGCATCCCCGCTTGTGGCTTGCGCCTTCCTCTGTCATTGAGTGATTCTGTGGAGACGGAATTGTTGAGAATGGTGTTCCCATCCTGAAGTTTTCTCGTTCTCCTCCAGTCGATCCTTATTAGTTCACTTCTTTCACAGCCGGTTCTCCCGCTCTGCGGCGGACTCTTGTGTTTCTCTGTCGGCCGTCTTGCGATCCCCTCTGCAAGTGTCTCTCAACTCCCTCGCTGCTCCGAAGCACCTACCCTCCTGCTCACAGCTTTGATGCGCGTACCACCCGGAGTTTCAGCCGACCTCGTCCCGCTTTGCGTGTCTCCAATTTCAGAGCTATCACAACAATGCCCCTTCCATGGTTGCAGAAGGTCGACCCTGCTGAGCGACTACCTGATGAAACGAAGTGGGAAGATCACGATGAGCTCACCCTTTGGAAGCAATGCAAGCTGCGTGGCCTCGATGGTCAGGTGAAGGAAGACGGAGACGCTCTCCGGTTGCTGAACGCGTTGAAAAACTACAAAGTGGAATGGCTATGCAGTATAAGACTCAAGGACTCCAATGGAATTCAGCTCCCATTAGACCTGCTCCGGGAGAAGGCCTTCGCATCATTGATTCAGTCCACAAAGAGGCAAACCTTTCAAATTCTCGGGGTTGAAGAACGTGATGTGTCAGAGAAGTCTACATCAGAGATGGTGAATGAATTGTCAGACGCTACTGTCAGGTTGGGGTGCAGAAGATATTGCAGTTGTAACCTAGAGGTTAGTCTGTGGTTTGAGCGAGACTGTACAATCGCACAGAAATAGCTGACTTTAACACCAAACAGTTTCTCGTTGGGTTTGGCACCTGCAAGCATATACTTTGTCAGTGTCTCGAATACGACCCATCTCCGCTGAGGAGTTGCTGACTTTGACATACCTAGATCTGGAACGCAATGTCTTGAGATGCCCAAGGCACATGCACCGAGAAGAATATCTTGTCCAAAGTGAATGGACGGAGTATTTTGCCAATGCGCCGCCCGCTTTCAAACCACGGAAACTTGTAAAAGATCAAGACCTCAACAACACAATCTCCGACAAGGACTGCCAGCTCTGTTTCAAGGAAGCCAAGGCCAGCGGTGACATTAAAAGATGCCAAGTCTGCTGTCGTGTTGCGCACCAGCAATGCCATGACATTTATCGTACGCGCAAAGGAGCATGCGAAGGAAACACGGGATGCCCACTGTGCTGCCCACATTGTCCTTGGAACCCCAGCAATCGAGAACCGAAGGCCGAACCACTTTCCTTGGCAACGAAGGAAGAACCGGGGCTTCCTGGAGTGAAGTCAGAGATCATTGATGATATCCCGTGGACAACAATGGCGAAGAAGAATCAGATGTTGGAGAAGAAGGTCCGCAAGCTCCGAGGTCAGCTCCGAGGTCAGTGCCGTCGAAAGCAAACCAGCCGCACCATGACAGACAGGCAGTACAAGAGACTGGTTGCGAAGACCGGGGGAAGGGTCGCAAATTATCGAGACAACAAGGGCACTATGTGCAAGAAAAATGCTCCCAAAAAGGAGGAAGCATGCGTCAAGGAAGAGAGAAAGGCCCACATCTTCCAAGAGCGAACGACGCCAGTGAAGCAGACCGTGAAAGAGGAGAGGTGTGTCAAGATGGAGGAAGAATCGGAGCCAGCGGTAGTGATTGTCAAGGTCGAGCCAAGACGTAAAGTCAAGTCTTAGCCTGTGGTGATAAGCTTACTCTGAAACGTCTGGGGCAAGAGCTGTGGAATGATTGGGGTTGGGCTTGTCAGTGACTGAGAGTTGTGGTTTCCTTGGTCGTGATCTCTTTGAGGCAGAATGTTGAAGATATGGGTACCTAACATATTGCCGTCGGGTCGCGATGGAACAAGGTATATCGAAAGGGGTATCATGTAATGACTCGGAGGCTTTTGTGTTGTATGTACAAGAATGTTCAAGACTGAATCGACTGTTTCCGATATCCCATCACTGATATGTGCAATGCACGATGGTAATCGGTGTAACCCCAGGAAAAGGGGTATCTCTCCATGCAATCTCACCACCACTCCCCAGCTCAGCCCCTCAACAAGCCAAGCAACGCACCGGCACCGAAAGCCGCTCCAATAGTCAAGAAGCTCGACGTGGACAGGAGCGCGATGCCGCTGATACCATGACCAGACGTGCATCCGCCCGCCATCCTCGAACCGATGATCATCAAGAAACCACCCAATCCCGCCGCAACAGGGGACACCGCAACCTCCGTGACCTGGCCGAGAGCAGGGTACGCAACCGTCAACAGCTTAGCACCAAGCACCGCGCCGCTGACGAACAACAAATTGTTATACCTCTGCGGCAGCGTCTTGCCCTTGAAGATACCCCAGAACCAGTCACCAACCTCCTCAAAACTCGTCGAAGTACCAACCATATTCTTCCTCAACAACAAACTGAGCAACTGCGCGCCAGCGATGCACAGTCCACCAACAACAGGCGAGATCTTGGCCTCCGGCCCCACACTAGTCCACAGCGCAGTGGAAACCACCACGCTTGCACAAATCGCCTCAAAAGCCACCAACACGCTCGACTTGGACACACCCAGATTCTCATAAACGGTCTTGGTAAGCTCCTTATCCTCGCCCCTAGCCTTGGCTTCGGCCTTGGCCGCCGCGTTCCTGCGGGCGATCCAGGGACCAAGGAAGCCAGTGAATACGATGCCGCCGATGATGCTGCCTTCGAGAGCATAGAAGCCGGAACGCACGCCGGTGCCGATTTGTGCGAAGACGGTACCCGGGCAGGCGCCCGAGAGCATCATGCCCGTGCCGAGGAGGATACCGCCGAGGAGGTTGCCGTCGTAGCGGGAGAAGAGAGAGATGGAGGAGAAGGAGCGCGGTGGGAGGGGGAAGGTGGAGGGGGAGAGGGATTGGAGGATGTGGACTAGGGCTCTGTGTTTTTTTTTGGTTAGTTTTCTGTTCGCCTGATCTGATGGCGGAAAAGGGGGGGCCAAAGGGAGATGGGTGAGAGTGTTGAGGTTTTGGATGAGGGACCCGGGCCCGGGCCGGAGCATTGGTGGAAGGGAGATATGGGGGGAAATGACGAGAAAGGGCAGGGCGAAAAAAGAGGAAAACTTACGCGCTGCTGGCCGCCGCAGTAAGGAAAGCTTGCATCATGTGCCAGTTCTCAAACTTGAGTTGAGAGACGATGACGGAGGGCTGGTAAACGCCCGAAGCCGTAAGGGCCGCGCCGAAAGCGGCGCCTGTGACGAATGTGTTCATGTTGTGTTGTTTTGTTTCGTATGTAACACTCAAAAGTGTATTGGTGTAAGATGGTTGGTTGGTTGGTCAGAGATTCACAACCTCTTTTCGTCGGATATGATCGAAGCAACACTGATGAATGAGCTTTGAACCAAAAAGAGAGAGAACAGAACTGGAAAGGAAAAGAAAAAGAGGCGAGAGATTTTTATTATGCATTCATCCAGAGTGGAATAAAGGGCTCCGTATCGGCGTCCTATAGCGCGACACTATCACAACGGGAAAGCGATGATCGGGAGTCCACCTTTTTGCTGGCCGGGATGTGCTCGCCGATGAGGGCATTGCGGGCACCACGGGCGCTACGGGCACTAAACAGGGGTGGGCTTGCCTTCTGCATAATTGTTTCTTGCGAAGCGCTGGGTCACCGGCGGGTTAGGTGGGTCACAAGGGGGTTGTGACATTTGGAACCAGAATTAGGCGATTTCTTTTTCGGCGGGCCAAGGGCGGAAGTCGGGACGGGATTAGCAAGCGCTAACCGGGACTAACAAATGTCCGAACCAGATCGCCGGGACACTGTTAGTGCTCGGTCGGCCCTAGGATGGTCTAGCTGGGTCTCGGGACTGGGTCAGGTCGCCGGCCGTGCTCTTCCCGATCCTCCCTTGTCTGGACTGGCGAACGAAAAGCTTGTCCGAACGTTTGCGAACGGAATATTTCCACGACTCCACTGTCTTGGAACAGCTTCCCTGGCTTCCTTGAAGTGTTCTTTGATGCCGATGTGGCTGGCTTGGTGCCTTGGATGAACACTTGAAATCCAACGGAATCCTCCATGATGTCTTGGATATGTGATAGAAGCCATGGAGATGCATATTTGTGGCATGTCTAGCATGTAGACCATGATGTGATGATGCGAAGGTAATCAAATAACCAAGAGCGGGCTGATGGTTTTTGCTGCTTCTTGTCGTGGTGTCTCTCCCTCTGACACTTTACACACCTCCTTGCGCCAAGATGTCATGGTCTTGATATGTCGTTGATACCGAAACCGGCAAAGTGTGGCATTGCATCACCCGCACCTTTCACAAAGGGAGCCACTGGAGGTGACCATGGGCACGAGGGCTGGAGGGCCAAGAGACTGCATGTCTCTGATAGCAACGTGCTTTGCACGCGGGGCGCACGTGCGAATGGTTGATGGTGATGGTAATTAGAGGAGACTCAGCCAATTGCCGGCTTGCTGGATTTTGAGAGGTTGAGGCTGAGACATTGGAATATTGATCACGAACAGAAGGGTGAAGGAACATTGGAATGAGGCGTCAATGGGCGATGGTTCCCGCGACACTTGTGCGTGGTAATGCTGTAATGCGCGACTGCAACGGGCTGGGAGAAAGAAATGGCAGCGGCAAAGTCCAAATTCGTTGATGATGGTGGTCGGCGATCTCGTTTGGATGCTGTGGTGTTGTTGAAAGGGGAGAAAACAACCCCGGAAACCCCGACTTTGCCGAGTTCTTTGCCCGCAATGGCCGGGTTGGCCTCCCGGTGGAGCCCGTTCAATTCGATTCGCTGAGAAATCCAGTCAAAAATTCCCCGGGAAATGTTCTGGACGGCGACCCCACTATTTCCCGCGCGTCACTTTCAATCCCCGTTTTCCCGCCCGTCATTCGGGAACCTCCACAACGACACCTCCTCTCCAACAACATCGCCTAAGGACCCCTTTTCTATCAACATCCCCTTGTCCTCTGACCAACCCCAATAACGAACGAAGCGAGAAACATCGTCGCCGTCCACTAGAACCATGCTGGAACATTGCATCCAGAGGCGCGCTCCAGGCGGCGGCGGCGCAATCACAATCAGCCGCATGGACCACTATTGAATTACCCCCCTCCCTCGCTTATTGGATCGTTCGACTTTCCCATCAGCCCATTATGACCTACGTGGTATCTGATATCTACACACTAGCCCTGAGGTCGCCGGAGCCATGGGATAAATGGGACGATTTATACGCAATTGCTCACAAGTCGCACAAATCTCACGAATCGGTTGAGTCGCCGTGGAACTCCCGGGGACCAAAGTGATGCTATTCGGGGATCTGGGGAAGTACAAAGGTACAAAGCTACTCACCGGGGACTTCAAGCTTCATCGTATCGGCGTTCGGGGACCTATTTTGACTACGACTCCAATGGTTTGACTTCGCGATGCTTTTGAACTGCCCATTCTGTCGTCATCAAAAGCTTCAAGAGGGGTCGAAGGAGTGGTGGCGGCGATGTGATGAGAGTCGCTTGGCACTTACTCAGAGCTTTTTCAGTCGCGACGAAGTCATTCAGATGATGGCGACGAGGAGCTGGCGGGCTTGACAAGCGAAGGCGAGTGGTGACTGACGGAGCTCCAGGCGAGTTTTGAGCCCGGGCGCTCGGATGTGATGGACCGGGCACCAACTGCTGACCATAGCTTTGTCAGGTTTGACAGGTCCGGGGAAGGCCCACGAGGTTGCCGACGAGTTGACTTGGACCGACGCATCCAAGCTTGGGCTAGGGTATTCGGACCAGGCATCAACTGGCGACTGCTGACCATGGATTTTGACAGCTCCGGGGAAGTCTCACGGCATCAACCTATCACGGGAGGATCTTTGGTCGCCGAGGAGGTCGGCCATCAGCATGAACGGATTTACACAAGCTCACAGGGTGTATCATCGTGGAGTGACAATCGGGGTCCATGCTAGAGTTGCTTCGCGCGGCTACCCCAGACTGGACGGCGTCGGCGACCCATCATGGGAAACATCCACGGCGACCTGTTCAGCCAGTGTATGGGGACGCTTTTTTCTCCCTGGTGGACACCCACGTGTTGATCCAGCTGGATAGTGGCCTAGTGGACCTCGAGTTTCAGATGAACACCGGCAAGCTTACCTATGCCTTATGCCGCCATTTATAGGCAAGGGACAGTCGGCGACCACTTTCTATGCCTTCACTGGTCTTTACAAGGATGCCTCTCACGAAGGAGATCCCCTTTTCGCAGATTGGATGGGCTAAGGCACCTGCTTTGAACTCAAGAAACACCAACAACGTACATCCTCGCCGAGTGGCAGTTACGGACATGCGGGCTGGTCCCTTCCGCCCTTGACGGGATAGCCTGGACGGCGACCTGTTAGGCGAAGTGTCAAGGAAGGATGTCCGTTTCTGTGGGCACCCACGTTCTGACCCAGTCTATTATTAGGGGATCTCGAGTCTTAGAGATGAACACCGGTAGGTCTACTGCAGGGCATTCTCAATCTGGTTATCCGATCTGCCCTACTGCCTTATACCGCCAAATATAGGCATGGTAAGTGGAATGGTCGGCGACCACTTCGAATACGTAACCTCTTGAGGTCTTTATATTCCAAAAGAGGTCCCCGACTCGCCGATGAGTTCAGCTTTCAACATGAGTTTACGCGGGAACGCCGACAAACGTGCATCCTCGCCGATTGTCTACTAGCGGCCTATGTCATGCTGGAGTGGTCCCCGACACTACCCGGATTGGACGTTCGTTGTGGACAGAGTGGACGGCGACCTCTTTTTCAACGAGTTTCAAAAGCGTATGTACTTTTTGTTAATGTTGTGGACTCACATGTGTTGACCCAGCCCGTCAGACCTGTCAGAGATGGACACCGGCTGGTCCATGCCATCCATGGTCGATCCCCTTATGCCGTCAATTATTGGCATGGTACAGGTCGGCGACCACTTTGTTGACATCCCTTACAGCGTTGTCCAATCACCGAGGAGACCCCTTGCTGACCCAGGCTCGCCAGGGAGTAGGGGATCAGCATAAGGATGTGCCGTCCGGCGTATAATTAACGAAGTTCCCCTCGAGTGACGGTCTTGGACCGACTACCGGGACCCGTTCCACCCCGTGCCTCCGAGTTCCGGGCCGGGCCGCCGCGCATGGAAGTCTATCCGGCGATTGTCCCTAGAGAAGGGTTCGGTGATCTCGGTTCGGTGGGCACAAAGGTGTTTGTTGGATCTGAAATTGACATCACATTTGCGATGAACCTCGTCTCAACTTGTTTCTGTTCTCGAATCTGGCATGAATGATCCCCTTACGACCAAGTTAAGCAGTCGGCGACCACTTCTCAATCATGGATACGCCACCAAAAGGGTTGACAACAACCGGCACGAGATGGATGACGTCCGGCGACTAAATACTGCTATCTACCTACCTCTCAACCGAACCGTCCCCGAGCGATATAAAGGAACTTGCACAATAATCCATCAATCATTCCAATCACCAGCAACTCGATAACCACACAATCACCACCCGACGAACCCTCCAACAACACCGTCCAAACTATTACATCCAAAATGTCCTCACCAACCCCCCTCGAACCCCTAATCCACCCCCTCTTCGACCCCCTCTTCGACCCCTCAACCTCAACATTCACCTACCTCGTCGCCTGCCCGTCCACCCTCTCCGCCATCATCATCGATTCCGTGCTCGACTTCGACCCTGCCACCTCTCTTATCACCACCACCACCGCCGACTCCTTACTCTCCCTCATCCGCTCCCAAAACTACAAAATTGTCAAGATTCTAGAGACGCACGTGCACGCCGACCACCTTACTGCCTCTCGGTATTTGCAGACGAAACTCGCTGCTGATGAAGCGAATGGAGGTATCAAGCCCGAGATTTGCATCGGCAAAAGGATTGTGGAAGTCCAAAAAAGGTTTGCGGAGAAGTACGGGATTCCGAGGGAGGAGTGGGAGGGGGCGTTTGATAGGGTGTTTGAGGATGAGGAGGAGTTTAGTGTGGGGGAGTTAAAGGGGAAGGTGAAGCATTTGCCGGGACATACGCCGGATCACGTTGGGTATTTGGTTGGGTGTACGTTTTTCTTTTGCTTTGTTTTGTTTTCTGCTTTGATCAAGGCTTTCTGTCCTTGGATAGGGGGTGGTCGATGCTGACGAAAGACAACAAAACGAATAGCCAATATCTTCTGCGGCGATTCCCTCTTTGATCCCGAAGTTGGGTCCGCGCGGTGTGACTTCCCGGGTGGTAATGCCCACGCATTGTGGTTTTTTTTCTCCCTATGATCCCTATAACCCGCATTCTCAACCACCAAGGGTTAAAACCCCCTTCTCTCCCCAGATACAACTCAGTCCAAACCCTCTTCTCCCTGCCCGCCCACTACAAGATCTACATAGGCCACGACTACCCCTCCCCCGACTCCCGCTCTCCTCAGCCCTACACCACGGTCGCCGACCAGAAGCGGCTGAACAAGCACCTGAAAGACGGCACAACAAAAGAGCAGTTCGTCAACTGGAGACAGGAGCACGACTCCGGACTGGCGGAACCAAAACTCTTGCACCAGGCGCTGCAGGTTAATGTCAGGGCGGGGAGGATGCCGAGGGATGGGATGCTGAAGGTGCCTTTGAAGATGCCGGGCGGGTGGAAGTTGTGAAACGCTGAGGCTCTTGGTTGATTACCTGCACTTCTGCGGATGGTGGAGTCAAATAAAGAAAGGTACTTGCGCCTCTAAGGCTCTCAGTGCCAGAGTCACGGGGATGGGACCATAATTTGAGGAGTCGGAAGTGCTTGTTACATACCAGCGGCGTGCCTGGAGAGGTCTCCGTTTTCTAGCTGCAGGTTTGTTGCGCTGATCAAAGTGGTGACAGGAAATGAAAATACCCAAATACCAAAGCCAGCTTCATATCCGCTCATCGCTATCCCTATTCCTTTTCGCTGTCGTTAGTCATGTCAACCCATTTCTGTTCCCCATGATATTTATAGTATTTCCCATCTTTCATGAATTTAATGCTTTCTAATTTCGATTCAAGAGGCTCTTGGTCCATCTCCTCTTCGCCTGAGTCGTAGTCCCCTGACAGTGGCGGTCCATCTGACTGCGTCCACTCTTCCCACTTCTTTTTATCCCTACACACGGCGCATTCTTTTGAATCAGGTTTAGGATGTTGCAAATCTATGAAGTCGGCCTTAATCGTAGGCATATCCTTTTTGCGGCAGTCTTCGTGGACCAAGTTCCCACACCCAAGGCAAGGCCGAGCGCAATTGCCACGGCTTATCGGCCGGAAGCAGTTGAGGCAGACCAGCAGTTCGTCTTCTTTGAGGGTATAGATGATCACTTCGGCTTCGTGTGAGATCCGGTCTAGGACTTCGCGCCAGTCTTCGTTCGGAGATTTGGCGTTCTTGAGGGCCTGAGCTGGGTAAGAATGGGCGAAAATATTATCGTATTCCTGTCGAGTGAAGGCATCACGGAACGGGAGTTCTTCCGGACAGTTGAGGATAAAGCGTAGGACATCTGTACAGCAAGACATGTGAGTGCCAAGTTCTCTGAGACGGGATGCCTGCTTCTCCGGCCGGGGAAAAACTCACAAAGAATATGTCTGCAGTATTCAGGCATACGTTCGCCCTAAAATTGGCACACCCAGTCAGGAAGTCTGTCACAAAGGGAGATGACGGCAGAGACTCACCGAGGAAAAGCGGCAAATACAACTACAGCCCTTCAGTCCAATACGTACGGCATTTTGAACCGAAAAAACGCTTGTGCTCTCCTCCTAAGACCCGAGGTGAAAAACCGTCGTCAAGCATGATGCATCGGGCATTGTGCGAGGTCTTTTCGCGCGCACGAGAGTGTAGGAAGATCTTTTTGCTTCACTCAGGTAGTCGTCGTAGAGCTCCGAGTTTTTCCAATCGTACAACGCATGCGAACCCGTATCGCGGTAGGGCAGACCGTAGTGTTTCATCAAGGTATTCATAAGTTCGACTTCATCTTTCCCGGTACCATCTTCGTCAAGAATTTCAAGTTCGAGCATCCTACATATCTTCACGAGACCGTCCGCGGCCTGCATTGAACAGTCTTCGATGTCATCTAATGGACGCCAGTTTTGGGGGAACGAACGCTCCTTGAACGGCATGACTGTTCGTGTTTGCGTCGGGGACGACACGATGCGTGAAGATAGCTGCTGGCTGGCGGACTCGGGGAAGGATGGTCGAAATTTTGATGTTGACGTCAAAGCTGTTTGGGAGGACGTGGTCGAGAGGAAGGGTTGGTGCTCGGGCAGTAAAGAAAAATGAACGGCTTTACAGATGTTGAGCGGTAAACCAAAAAATTCGTGGCGAAGAACAACAGACGATGGAAGAAGACAGATGGTAAACAACGGGTCATGATCAGGGAGAGTTTATATGGAAACCAATCGCCCCCCGCATCGTACCTGCCATCCTCTATCAGCGCCAACACACATGCCAGGAAGGCTCACACCCCACCACAACACAGATCGCATACCTTCCTATTTTTTGACCTGAACACTTCGCTTGCGCTTGACCAACTGTAACGCACCTGCCCAGGAAAACTCCGAAGAAGCCTGAGCATCCATATCACCACGTTTAACTCGGCGGAAGCAACCCTCGCTGAGTCTAGATGTACCCAAACACACCGAGTCACCATCGTCACGACCAACTCCCCTTCCCAAACAAATCCAACCCCGCATACTGTCTCTCCTTCCTCCCTCACTCGCTATTTGCACACCGATGTTGAGAACGTTGAAAGTAGCCCACAAGACCGCCCCAAAGCCCGATCCGAAAACACAGCGCAGTGGCCACCGGTTTCAACCCCCCTCGGTAAAAATCGATGCAAGCCAGTCACCAACCCAACCACGAGCTGCACTTCCCGGACACTCGACGATATTTCAATCACCAACCTTCCAAAATGCACCAAACCTGCACCTTCCATAACTTCATCTACCTAGAAAATTACATCATACATTTCACCTCTCCAAATCACGCGCAACTGCCAAAACCCCTCACCAACACCTCCCTTTCCATGCATCCGCAACCCAACTCACTGCACACACTCATCCAGATAAACCCTTCAACCGAGCCGCATCTCCAACAAAGATCATCACGGGCGTGTGGCTCAGTTGGTAGAGCGTTCGCTTAGCATGTTCTGTTCTTCAGCATGCGAAAGGTCCTGGGTTCGATTCCCAGCTCGTCCAATTCCCTGATCACTTTCATCTCCACTTTCTCCTTTAAGGGCGTGTGGCTCAGTTGGTAGAGCGTTCGCTTAGCATACTCACCTGTATGCGAAAGGTCCTGGGTTCGATTCCCAGCTCGTCCAAAAGCTCGGAGGTGTGTGGTGAGATGGGATTCTATTTTCTAATGTTTTTGTCTCGGGGTTTTTCTTTTTTTTGGTGATTTTCTGCTTCTCGCACAAGAAGGACGGACGTATGGGAAAAAGGGGCATGGGATGGATGTCGTGCTTTTTGGTATTTCAGTGGTCTACTGAGATTATCATCAGCTCTCTGGTCCAACACCTCCTTCCTCTCATGACATATCTCCTCGGCCAGTGGTGTTCACAACTTACTCTCCTTGTCCTTCCCATCAATCAACACCACCAACTTCCCAAACTGCTTCCCCTCCTTCATCTCCTCAAACAACTCATCAATCCCCTGCAAATTATCCAACCCCCTCACCACCTTGCTCACCACCGGCCTGATCCCCTTCTCCCTCACAAACGCCACCATCTCCTCAAGCTCCTTCCTGCTCCCCATCGTCGACCCCTTCAACTCCACATTTTTGAGCACAGCCTGCATCAGCCAATCCATCTTCGGGCTCACCGTCATCCCATAACTACTAATCACCCCTCCACTCTTCAGCAGCTTCACACTCCGCGCCACTACATCCCCACCCGCTCCATCCACCACCGCATCCAGATACGGTCTGTCCTCAGGTAACTGTTTAAGCAGCTGCTTATCCCAATCCTTCTCTTTATAAATAACCCCGCCCCTAGCCCCCATTTTCTTCGCCTTCTCAATCTTTTCAGCGTTACCCGAAGTGACAAAGACGTTACACCCCATCGCCACAGCGAACTGCAGTACCTGCAATGCAACACCACCACCAATACCCGTCACTAAAATATTCTGCCCCGGCTTAGCCTGCGCCTTGGTCACCAAGGCCCTCCAACCCGTCAGTCCCACAAGCGGCAACGCCGCGCCCTCAGCGGCGCTTAAATGCTCCGGCGCGCTCACTGCTTCCGCCTCGGGAACAACGATGTACTCTTGCGCCGTGCCCGCGTCCGTCAACTGCGACGCCCCGACGACCGTGAAAGGCTGGTTCGGGTCGTCGGGCCCGTCAGGGGAGGAAATCCATCCGCGGCTGGGTGTGATGAGGACGGGTTTGCCGACGAGGCTGGACGCAGAGGGGGAGACGCTGGGGCCAGCGGACTCGACGACGCCGTAGCCGTCGGCGAGGAAGGGGCGGTCGAAGGAGATGCCGGGGTAGAGGTGTTGGCGGATGAAGAGGTCGCGGTGGTTGAGGGCGCAGGACCGGAGGCGGACGAGAAGCTCGCCGGGCCCGGGGGTCGGTTTGGGGATGGTGTTTAGTTGGAGGCTGTGGTGGATTGTTAGTGATAAGGGAGGTGAGATGGGAGTTGGAGGTGATGGGGATATGGGGAAAGGGGGGAAAGGTGAGATGAACATGAGGGGAAGAAAACTTACGGGTAGTAAACCTGGCCGGGTTTACCGTCGATTTTCTTGACGGTTAGTTGGAGAGGCATCTTGGTGTTGTGTATGTGTTGTTGTGTTCTTATGAGACCAGATGAGCTGTTGGAAAATGAAATGGCATGAATGAGTGAAGAAGGATTTGAAGAAATCAGACAAGTTTAAATGAGTCGTGTCAAACTCGGGGAAGCGGATGTTGTCAACTTTGTCCTGAGCCTCCCCCCGGCCCTGCCACCGACGATGGCCCGCCCCCACTCTCCCCCGCATTCGTTACCGGACCCAATGATGCAACTGCCTCGGCCCGCGTGTGATGGCCCCTTGTTCGATCCGCCGGGGTGGAGCTGCCAGTTGGTGCGGATCTACAGTACCGCATCGGGCTTATTCCCGATCGTCACCGGGTTTGTTGGAGACGTAGCTGGGTTTCGAAATATCCACAGATTCAAGAATCAACATCTTTCTTGACAGAGAAATCTCATGCAGACATAAGTTTCGCTTGGAAGGTGTTTTTCGACAATAAATTTGACAAATGCTTTGTGAATTAGCAACCAGATCACCCTTGGATCCCGAAGCAGGGAAATCTCAATCGTCTGCTGAAGTATGGGTATCATGGGATTCCAGGATCCTTTCTCTTTCTCATCATCATCTTCCTCAACTCCCCTTCCACCGCCCCCTTCTTTTCGACTGCACCCCCACCTCCACCACCTCAATCGCTCGTCTTCCTCTTCTTCGCCTTCTTGTCCGTCGACTCCTCGGGCGGCACATACTCCTTCTCCCTCTCGCGCTTCTTCTCCTCCTTCTTCTGCTTGGCCTTCTCCGCGCGCTCCTGCTCCGCCACGCGTTGCTTGGCCTCCTTGCCGAGGAAGTACTCGCCGGACTCGATCTGGAGATCCACCTTGCTCTTCTCGGGCGCAGGGGGGAAGGGTGTGTAGTTCTTCTTGGCCTTGTCGTTGACGACGTGGGGGACGCGGCGCTTGGAGAGCGTGCGCTTCTTGAAGTTGGGGAGGTAGCGGGACCAGTCTTCTTGGGCGAGGGCAGGGTCCTTTGCGAGTTCGCGCTTGATCCTGTTTTCTTTGTTAGTTGCTGTTGTTGGGCGTCGCAAGTGGGCAGGCGCGCAAAGCTTACATCAACTCCTTAATCATGTAAATCGGGTGAACGTTGTTCATGGTGTCCTCGACAACCCTCCTGACCTCCTTCAGACCCTTGAAAGGTCCCATTACCGACACTGTGTTTCCGTGCACGAGGATGTATGTTTGTGTGAGAAGCTCGAGAGCCTTGAGTGTTGTGCCGTTCTGTCCGAGAATTCTTTGGCGCCTCTTGACAAATCGCTCCTTGTTCCGTACCATGCTGCGGATCTTGATGATGTCGCAGGCCATGCCGTCTTCGAGAATCTTGATCGCTTGGGGGGCTGGTACTGAACGGGCCAGCAACTTGATGAGATCGCGGGCGTTGAGGATAGCTGCGGGGTCAAATGTCTGGACATGAGTTAGCAAAGCGTGACGACCAGAGGCAACAAAGCGCATCCTCCGTACCTTTCTTGTCGTCTTCACTGTCATGGAACCCTCCACCAAATCGAGAACTGCGGTAATGCCATGCTTGTCGAGGGCCTTGGTGATGAGAGGCCACGAGTCTCGTAGGTAACGCTCGCGATACTTGGGGAAAAGGGTCATAAACGAAGACTCCTCGAGGAAGGCGCCAGACGATTCCTCCTTGGTGAAAGGGTCGACCTTCCATTTGTCGATGTCGTCCGTATCCCACGGCTTTTCCTTCTTGTGTGTGGACGGCATTTTGGGTGTAAATGTGTTTTCTTTGCTCTTGTGGATTGCTGATGTTCCGGAATAATTGGAGGTCTCAATCGAGTTTGCGCGAAAGTTCACGATATGAGGGCGAGTTCGGTCTGGTGGTTGGATTTGATGGATGGCTTGTTGAATGGATGGCAAGATGGCCAGCCGAATCGCGCTGCATGGATGGAAATTTTTGGAACGCAAGCCTGCCGCAGCTGGCAAGAGTGGGGCACGGCGCTTCTTGCAGGTCGAGTTTCGGCTGCAGAAACGCCACAGGATCAGCGGCCAGTTGGCAAATGCAGGGGCAGCTCCTTATCAGATAACGTTGTCTTGGTAACTTTCACTTGCAAGTTGCAACTATAAGGAAACTGGAGTTTGCGTCGAGGGCGACAACAAGGTTCAAAAAACTAAACGGACAATTAAAAATAAACGCTAGGTGCAACTTGGGCTCTGCCATGAAAATTTTGCGATCAACTACTCTGCGCGTACATCCAGCTCATCTGCTCTTGGACATTTGCTCCTTCGGCTTTTTGTTGATGTTTATCTTATCCGCACGCTATCTTATCACGACAGGGGAAGAACAAGCACTCGCCAACAACACCAAACAAATACTCGTCGGTTAGGTGCACGCACTGGCCACAGCCATGTGGGGCCACCCTTTGGGGGGTTGGCTAGCTGTAAGCGAGACCCCCAGAGGGTGGACTCCATACCTAACCGACGAGTAACATGTGCTTGCGACATCGAAAAGTCTTTTGGCGTGAAGAGCGTTTTGACTTGTTAGGGTCTCAATCGATACCATCTTCATACTCCCAGAAAGGCCATTGCTGAGACATGCGAATGGTAAACTTCTCCAAGGTGTTCTGGTTCAATGTACATGAGTTGTTGTGATGGTGAAGCACCGAATCCCAGGCCAAAGCTGAGGAAACAGCTTCAAGCTCGCCGTGATAAATCGTGGTAAGGCTGGCAAAACAGTTAGGTTCGACCGCCTATCACAGATTTGAACCAATAATTCAACGCTGTCGTCCAATTGAAAGCCTGTAAAGATCTGACGACCCGCGCGCGGTGGTCATCATAACGAATCGGGCAAGTACAACCTGTACTGTGGTACGCCACGGATTACGGCATCCGTGCAGGAGGTTTCGAAATTCTTCACTTCAACGTTCTGTCGGAAAGGGGTAGGTTCGGTTTTGTGTCGCCAAGGTTGAGTTGCAACTTTTTTCTTCTTTTCTTCTTCAGCCCCGCGAGGTGTTACTTTCTTCCCTTTTCTCTTCTCAGCCCTGTCATTGCATCCCGAACCCAAAGACTCAGGTGTCGCTGCTTGTTGTATCAAAACAAGACATTGGTCTGCTCGTTTCTTGAACCTCGACCCGACTTGTTCAGTCATTTGTCTTGTCAACCTTTGCGAACATTACCAGTTTTTTGTTGTCCATCCTTGGGAAGGAGAGAAAGGAAAAGAAACAAGTCCTGTCATCAAAAGCACGGACGTCATTACTTAGACGTCGACCTCGACCACACGCCCGCACATCGCTCCGCCTGCGCAGTCTCGATCCCGAAGTTGGCAACCCCGGTCACGGGCCCACGGTCTCTCTCGAATCCACCACGAGTGGGTCAATTGGCACCGACGCCGCCTTCAACCGCCGTCAAGCTGGCTTCGACTCGGTCTCCGGGTCTTTCCCTTAGTCATCCGCAATACCCAACATCATATACACCGCCCACCGATTTGCGGTCCGAGCCGTCATGATGGAGGATCCCACGACGCAACAGCAGCCCACGGCGGCATCGCAATCGCCATCCTTGCCATTGCCGGCCACGCTTGAACCCGAACCCATATCCCGACCGAGCTCGACGTCGACCCAGGCCTCAGCCCCAGGGCCTCAGAACATGTCGCACATGTTGCCCGGTATCGCATCCATTGCCACCAACGATAACAACATTCCGGCGACAACCACATCACCACAGCCTAGGTCAGTTCCCAGTCAATTGGATTCACAGATGAAGAGGAAGCAGGGACTGTGGTACAAGGCGGATTGATGTCTCTGCTGCTGGTTTCCCACCTTCACTTTTACATCTAACCGCGATGCGCCAACTTTGCTGACAGTGCAATGGTAGACCCGTTACCATGGCCGCTCCTCCCATGATTCCTCCAGGCACCTCTCCAGCTGCTAGTTCGCATCCAGGTCCAGGAGGCAATCTGGTAAGTTCACTATTTTGTTTTGTTGCCCGTGGTGTTGTGTCTCTACGTTCTGTCTTTCCCCCCCTTATCGCGTATCGCATATCCCCAATCGCGTCTTGCGACACAATCGGGCGGTTGGCAATGGATCAACGTCACGAAAAGCCATGACCACCGGTTTGCTGAGAATGGCAACGATTCCCGTTGGCCAAGAAGCCAGGTTTTGGTGGAATCGCTTATCTAAGCCCCTCCAAAGCCCGACCGGGTTGTTATCGCAACAGCCCACTTTTTGTCGCCCGCCTGCCCACTCTCGCACTGCATCAAAAATTTCCTTATCATTCCGTGCTTCGTTCTTATCATCATCCCTCCACGTCTTCTGTATCATTCCACTTCCCGCATTTATTTATCAAGGTTGGCTTATCGCCAGCATCTAATCTTCTATCTCTCCCTCTCGATACCATTAAACGGATAAGCCCAACATTCGCGATACCTTCTACTAGTACCACGCCGTAGCCACACTGCTGCCCAGCGCAACAGCAACACCAACAATAGCAAACATGGCGACAATGGCTAATCATGATCGCGAAACCACACAGCCCACCTGCCAGAACTGCGCGACCTCGACAACGCCGTTATGGCGCCGCGACGAGATGGGTCAGGTCCTCTGCAATGCTTGTGGTCTGTTCCTCAAGCTGCATGGCCGCCCTCGCCCAATTTCCCTGAAGACCGATGTTATCAAGAGCCGTAACCGCGTCAAAACTATGCGTCCTGATTTGGCCAAGCAGAAAAAGGTAAGTCGTTCATATCCGACATTGTCATTCAGCAACTAACTGTGCCAAGCAACAGCAACAACAACAGCAGAACCTTGCTGCCACCGCTGACATGAACGGAGGAGTGGGCATGATCGATCCCAACAACCCTGCCGCCGCCGCCGCCGCCCAGGCTGCCCGGAGAGCATCCCAGAAGTCCATCAATGGCCACCCCGTCGACGATAATTCGCCCGTTTCCCGCACCGGCACCCCCAACGTATACAATCCGCACATTCCCATTGACCACAACCTCGAGTACCAATTCCAAGCCCAACAGATTTCCGGATTCGGCGTCCCGACTGCATCCCCCGGCCGAGCCCCATCACCTATGAACGGCGAGCACATGCCACAAACCCACGAACAGCTCCTTGCTGCCAATGCCAGCTTGAAGACCCGAGTTAGCGAGTTGGAGGTTATCCAAGAACTCTACCGCGGCCGCCTTCATCAACTCGAGACGGAGGAGAATATTCGACAAGCTTCGGAGCCCGGCAAGCTTGAAGCTCAACTTCGCGCCCAGATCGATGCTATGGGCGAAGCCCACCAGCAGCTGCAGAAGGAACTGGAGGAAAGCCACAGGAGGGAGAACATGCTCAAGAGACGCCTCGATGAGCTGGAGGTTGAGCTGAAGGACGTCAAGGAAGCTCTCGAATCTCAAGACAATGGACGCCACAAGAAGATTCGCCTGGACGAAAACGCCAAGAGCGAGCCCACTGCCGAAGTTGTCGATCAGCAGCAGCAGCAACAGCAGCCAGCACCTGCAGAGCAACCAGTCCCTACCCCTATGGCAATCGACGAAGCCGAGCCTGCCCCTGTGCCAGCATCCGAGACAGCACCTGAGCAGGTTCCAGCGCCCGCGCCCGAACCCGTCCAAGAACAGGCCCAGGAGCCAGAGCCTGCACCCGTTAGCGAGCCGACTGAGGCTCCAGCCCCGGCCCCCGAAGCCGAACCTGTTCCCGAGCCGACCCCCGCCGCGCCGGAGACTGCCCCCGTCGAGGAGCCTGCCGCACCAGAGGTTGTGCCCACTGAGCTTCCCACCGCCCCCGCCGCTGCAGAAGAAGCTCCCAAGGCGGAGTCATAGTGCCCCTGCCGCCAGTGCTATGCTTCTTTTTCTGGTGGATCGATGGATACTACTGCCTAAGAGCCCCCTGTAACATATTTGGCTTTGGATGGATGGACGGAAAGCGTGTCGTGTTAATGATTTTTATACTGTCTGATCGGTCGACTGATAAAAGTTGTTGGTCAACAAAAAGAGGTACGGATGGTCGGACAGGGTGACCTGGTTGCTTGGTTGGGATTGCGTTGATTGATTGATTATGCCAATGATTACTACTTTGGTTGGCTGGTTGGTCGGACGGGGTTAGGGAGCTATGGAGCTTTTTCTGATGATGAATGGGTTTACTCAAAATTTCCTTGTCTCGACACTTTTCTTCTAGTTCGACGTTTCTTTTAATATACCTCTTGCTGGTCCATTTCGGTGATCAGATGAGGTTGCCTTTTATGGTATCTTTGACTTCTATCGTCGTTTTACGTGGTGTTTACGCTGGGTGGAGCTTCAAAAAGGGGTTAGGAACGAAAGATAAGAAGACGCATTCCCCTGATAAGGGGCACAGTTGAAGGGAAGCTGAAAGGTTACTTTATGCTGGCGTCACTTCACTTTGACTTTGCGTATTTCGGGTCTACGAAGGACATTGAAAATGAATGGAACAGGAAGGTTGATTGCGAGCTACAAAAAACAGGGTCATAAAGGAAGGCCAAGGAAGGGTTACAAAAAGATGAGAGGGCAATGGACAAAGACAAAGAGGTAACGGTTTGATAGACAATTTCAACCATGGTTCAAGTGCGATACTATTTCAGGCAAATCATACCCAAAAATTTCCTTCCCTGACGTCCACTACCCACTGCAACCATCATCGATACTTCCGAGTTCCACGGCCACCATCACAACTATCCACGGAAATATAGCGCTGCGATCATCTCCTCTCCTGCCACTCCTGCCATTCCTGATATTCCTGCTATTCTTGCTCTCTCCGCGTTTTCATCTGCTCTCTCAGCCTACGTTCTTCCTCTCGCCACCTCCGCTCGAACCCCTCCGTCTCGTGCATCTTTCTCAACAGCTTCTTCCCAAGACTTCTCTAATACCTGTACTCTACCTAAAACTTGGGATGATTTCGCGCTTGTGGCCCTCCTAATACAAATATCTTCTAGTCTAGCCCACCAAAAGCCCCAGCTCATTTCCCTTCCAACTCCAACGTTCGAAATTCGACGAGATCACATCAGAATCACGTCGTAAATGTTTCCGGATCGAGTCCGGTCCGCAATCCCGTCGGTCGAAGTGCGATGTCAAGATGAAGGATGGTCGCGATCGAGGGGAGGGACATGAGGCGAAAACGATGAGGTAGCAGCCATCAGGTTGCGAGCCACGAAGAAGTAGAAGAACGACATGACCCCAGGGCCCCAGGTGCAAGAAACCACACAACGAACTGTTAGAGAAAGCAGAAAGAAATGGAAGATGGTCCATGGTGACACGACCCAACAACAGACAGCATAGTTGTAGCCAAAATACCATAGGAGCCAAGTGAATGCCAGGAAAACGGCAATAACGGAGTACTGTAGAGAGTCAAGTTCTGATGTTGGTCTGCTTCGACAGATCAGACATCTCTCCGATCCATTTGTTTCTTCCAGACTTTATCGGCTGACACAGCCAAAATACAACACACCAAATGTCGTTGGAGGCGTTGGGGCGTATGCAAATCGCTTCCACATATTCTCTCCCAGATCTTTCGGGCTTCTCCTCGAAGTAGCGCTACTCCGATCATGTAGTAGTACCCCAAGACAGGAAGGGAGAAAAATGGAAGATGGTCGGTCCATTGTGACGAAGATCTTGGGTGGTTCATGTTGTTCTGATGACGGAGGTTGTGTGTTAAAACGTGAAATGATGTTGAAGAAGGAAAAAAAAAGGAAAACCGGCCAATTCGTGGGGGGGAGCTGGGCTGGCTTTGTAGGAGTCCAGTTCAGTCCGGGACTCCGGGTGAATCAGAAGTTCAAAACTGAACAACATCCAGTGTTCCCATGTTCCTTCACCTCAAAGATTTCTGACCGACAGCGTCCGCTGACCTATTCCATGCCCTCAGACCTTTCCTCAGACCAGATGTGGGGTTGACGATGACGGCACTGGGGCCGGGGCTGGTGTCGGTTGTGGTTGTACATCGACTAATAGTATCTCTACCGGGAGCGACGGAGTTGCAGTTTTGCTGCGCGATCGCGCAGCAACAAGGACAGCATGGTAAAGCTCCTTCTATCGCCCACTTCTGGTGTGTGTGTTGTTTTGTTGCGGTTGGTGAAGCAAGGTGGGACCCTCCCTTCTCCTCTGGACAATCAAATCGTATATGGCGGTGCTTCGCTGTAATGGAATGTTGTAGGGTGTGCTTCTTGTGAGCTGGTAGTAGACGTAGCAGAGTTCTCGGATCGCTGCTGCCCACTGTAGCTCGCGACCAAGACCATTGGGTAACAGCAGCTGGTCTGCGAGTCTCCGCAGCTGTGCGTCGCGGTTCTAGTGCGACATGGTATGTTGAAAAGGATCCCCTCTACTGTATCTGCGCCTGGTTTTCGCGATTTGAATGGGATGCGGTGGCTGCAATCTGATATTGTTTCTTGCGAAACAAGGAGCGTGCGACCGACTCCTATGACGTTTGTACGAAGAAGTGACGGACTTTCCTTTCCTGAAGTCTTTGGGAAGATTGGAAGACGGACTGGAGAAGGATGTGGGCAATGGTTGATGGCTGTGTATGTCGATGGCTTCGGGCTCAAATTTCTCGATGTTGACAAAATGATCCGCACCACAAACAGCAGGACCTTATCAAACACCGTCAAAGCCTGACTGATGTCCTTCATGCTGTGCGCGATTGCCTTTCTCTCCTTACCGATATCGACAACCTTGCGGATCATCTCGTCGAGACTGATGTCGCCATTCTGGTCCGGGTTTGGCCTCTTCGAAGTTGCCGGTGAGTGCCTTTTTGAATCAGATGCTGCGCAAGCAGAGGATGATTGGGCTGAAAGAGTCGGAGCTGGACTGGGAACTGGGACATCCATCACATCCCCAAGTCGTCGCTCATCTAGGTGTTACTTGGGGTTTCCCACATATCATAATATCCTTGAGATAACCAAGTTTCTTGAGTCGGTCCAGGAAGGTTGTAAACGCCTGATACTCGACTGTGCCGAGGGAGGGGGGTATCAACTCGGGCTTCAAATTCTCAAAGAGATCATAGAACGAGTCTACAGGTTTACCTCCGCCATGTCAGAGGGAACAGCACCGCCAGCATGCATGGCGGGCGCTGGGAGCGGAGGGAACTGAAGTAAAAAGTTCCTGCCGCTCGGCAATAGGGGTGATGGTGGTGTTGAGGCTGGCGCTTCTTGGCTGTCCCTTGCGGGCATCGTCACTACGTTCGGCGATGGCTCCCCATGTTCGCATGCGCAGTGCGATCCAGAAAGAGAGCGCGAGCTTATACTCGGCCTCACTCCCCTCGTGTCCTTCGCCCTCAATCTTCTTGCCTCCCTCGTACGTGATTCTCCTCCATCCCGTCAGCGGCTCGGAGGGATCCTTGATCAGCTCGGTGGTGGGGAAGTAGTGCTCGTTCTTCTTCATGGTGACGACCCAGGGGACCGAGTCGAAGGTCATGCATCCGTCATATTCGTAACAGGTACCGGTAAGGCGGGTGGAGGGAGGTTGTCCGGGAGGTTGTCCGGGATGATGTCGTCCATGATGCCCACTTTTGCTATCGGTAAAGTGTTTGAAAGTGGGAGACTGTTGCATTATGTCAGAAAGGAGTTGAAGAGGGAGGAAGTGGAGGGCAGAATGGGGAACGAGAGACATACCCGAAACCTGTCGGCTGATGGGCGTACTGAGTCTAGAAGGATGTACTTTAGTCGCGTAGGTAGAGGCGGCTGAAGAGCGGTTGAGAAAGTTGGATGTCGTGTTCGTTAAACCAGGTACGGGGGAGGATGCGGATTACGCGTGGTGGACTGGCATTCACTTTTCGTTCTCAGCAAGGAGTTGACCGTAGACGTATCCCGTTGTCTCTCCGAGCGTCTCGTTGACATATTGGACGAGCCGGCGGCTGCGTAGTTCGACGGTGCATTTTTCGTAGTTGATGCGGATGACTTGTCGGGGCTGGAGGAAAAGTCAAATCAGCAACATATTTTGGATCCTTGTCCCACGGGGAATAACCTACGTCCAACGCCGGGTCCAAATCCTCCTCTAGCAGGCCTGGGGCCATTCCCTTTCCCTTGTATAGCAGGAGGCAGAGGCAGGTGTGGCCTTCTGTCCTCGTCCTTTTGGGTCCTTTTGGTTGCGCCTCTTTTCCTCGGAGACGGCAAACCCAGTTGACCGGCATTATGTCAAGACGGACACGGAAGCCTTATGGGGCATCGAACGCGATCTTGCCGTCGGACTGGGAGGGGTTCCAATGTCAAAAGGTTCAATTCCCTGCTGTTCCATCGCGTTGACATGGGATCTCGGTTTTCTTCTCTTTCCGGCTCATTCAGAATGACCGTTGCCTTGGGTCCGAGTTCCTTGATGGTTTGCTTGGTGATTGGTCTTTGTTGCCTCCTCAAGAGCTTTCGCAAAATGTATCTGGAGAAATAGTCCACCCCCGCCAAGATAAGGTATATCTTCACCAGCCATGCGGTCCTGTCTTGGTCCAAAATTCAGTCTTTCACGAGGTAGTTGTGTGAATTTATATGCTGACCTCGCTGTTTAAGAGAGACCTGTACTCCTTCGATCGGATCCGCGTCTTTCGTCGGAGGCTTTCGACCTCTTGACATCGGTAAATGGTAGACTGTCAACTCGGATATGGTTATCCGATTACCGGTCATATGTTTTTTGCTGTCCATGGGGGAAATTTCTGACAGGCTGTCGAAGTTGGGACCTTCGGAATTGGCAGGGCTCCAGGCAGCGTCATTATCAGAACCAAAGACTTAAGGTGTCGTACTGTTGGTCTTGTTGGCGGGCAAGCGCTATTATCGCTCACGGGTGCGCGGAAAAGCGATGGAGACTGGTGACGTTGTGGAAGGATAGGGCCGGAAATGGTCCGGGCATTTCCTGTGGTGAACACCTCTGCTTCTAGGGTGCAAGCCATTTGTTGTAAGACCCGGAGGAGCAGCTTGTGGAAGACCGGTCAGCCGGTAACGAGAACGTGTTGGAGACGCCGAATATGGAGCAGCCGAGTGGGAATGATTTAGGAACACTCGGGCTTTGTGCGAACTGATGGTTGTTGAGGATGAAACAGCGTGAAATATCCTCAGATACATGCCGTGCTGAAGTAATTCTTCCCAGAATCCCATAAACGCTGATGAGAACCTACAAATGGTGGCCAGCCTTGCGTTCCACTACTATTATGAGGCACGTATGAAGAAGCGGGCGGAGAGCCGGAGACTGTGGCATGGCTTGAGCTTCTCTTTGAAGGTTGAAACCTCCAAGGATGTTTTGTTCCTTATCTATTGGGTCGACGAACGCGTCAGAGAAGCAACACAGGTAAAGATGCTGGGTGGTCGAGTGCTGGGGGGTCTCTCTTTGGGCCCGTTCGGACCCTACAAAAAGCAAAATACCCGAGCGAGGAGTAGTGGGCTCAAATGTTGGAGGAACACGGCCAGTCAGGGTATGTGACGCCGATATGGTTTCTGAATTTGAAGCAGCGCTGCTCGGCGTCCTGTTCGTTGGTTGATACTCAAGTCAGAAACCATCCCGATGAACTCTGGTAAGGGTAAAAAGGAATAGGTACCTCTGGAAGAAAGACGTACCTCGGGACACAGGCGCGTTCTCGAAGAACACATGTTTCAGTTGCTGGAACTATGGAGCCTCCTCCTAAGAAATAGCCTCTTTCTGTGGGTAGGCGTGATCCTGTTTGAGCCTCATTACCATCTTCTTTAGACGTGGTAGACTCTGGATCCAAAGGCTCGCCGACTCGAGGCCCGGATCATGCCTCGGAACTCGACTGGCCCAGCGGGTGGGTCAGCGGGTGGTTCATCACGAAGAGGAGGGGCGGGAACATCGAGGAACTCCGGTCCCGTCTCCAGATCCCGCTCTTGGCCATGCTGCTGCTGCGCCTGCTGCTGGTGTTGCTGCTGCTGCCGGTTGGGCCGGACATGTTTCACAATGATGGGATACACAATCTCGCGGACGTATCGACGACGAAGCGGATGCTCTTTCCAGATGCTGTCCCATATCAAGAGGTGGCCATCATGTTGGCGTATTTCGGGGTCTTGATCGGCGGATGTTATGTAAGATGCTTGTACAGGCAGGCTTCTGTGACCCTTCTGTGCCGTTGTTGGGTGACTGTAGGGTATTGTTGGTATCGTCCTGCTGTTTGCTTGCTTCTTCGAGATTTGTTTCAGGCTCTGCACTTTGACATCGTTCATGTTGTCGAGTTGTGATTAGCCAGGGCGGAAGCGGTGGAAGATGGACTGGATGTCGATGAAGTTGAATATGTGCTTGAAGGTGACTCTGGAGAGTGAAGAAGAAACTGTACTAGCCAAAGGACTGAGTAGGTCAAAGATAAAAGCGAAGGGCTTGTGTGCAGAAGGGATCCAGGAAAGACTTGAAGATGTGTTTGAAGAGGATGATCTGGAGAGAAAAACGAAACCAGCCAACGGGCTGGGGAGGCCATGTATTTATACCCTGGGAATCATCTCCAAATTCCCAACGTGGCTTCCCCAAGCATGGATGCCGGCCAGGCCAGTCTTCCTACCTGCATATGCATGTACATCAACGTGACCTTCCTAACCTGTTGATGCTGTCCATCATGCCAGCGCGCAGGGCGTTCTATTGGGAAAGAATATGTGTTCATGTTTGGGTCGGAGTTAACAAACTGGACTTCCATTCCGCACTCATCCTCTCCCACTGCCATCACGATCTGACTGCGCATGGTATTTTAGCTACGAGGCCACTGCCCCCAACCAAATCCGCGCCTGCTTCAACGAGCAAATCAGACGCCTCAAGTACAAGATTGACACCCAGTGTTGTAACGTACAGCAATTGCCAGGCCGCACGCGAACCATGCGAACTCGAAGTTGCAAGAGGCGAACGACAAGAAGTGGAAGGCGACGCAGATTGGGGCCGGTAAATCCTGAAGAAGATGTGCGTGGAGGATACGGATGCCGTGTTCGAGCAAAAGTAGCAGATTGTGGAAGAGGAGGGAAGGAGGAAGCGGGGGTGCCTGGCCCTTTCCACTGCGTGGTGTTGAACTACGAAGAAACTTGTTGCCAGATATGGAAATGACACGATATTGAAACTGAGCCTTCCGTTTGTGACATGAAGGGATACGTCGAGTGCAATACACTTCCGGTATTTCTGCTGACACACCAAATCATTGCAGGAATGCTTTCTATCCCTAAATCAACGTGTTTTACGCTAACCAGAAAGTCTGTCTTCGCACGGCTCTCCAAATGGGATGAAGGGCACAATCCGAATCAATAAAACTGTACCTATCCAACTATCTACGTTCTGTTCGTTCTTGCGGCGAGTGCCACCAACTAGCTCTAGGTAAGGACTACCTACATGTACTAGCAACAGCAACCATACAGTATAACAAGGAGAGCCTTGACTTGCGTTGTTGGGATGAGGTCACGTTGAGACCTGCTTCGGAGTTGTCCAAATTCCATAGTGTTACATGTCAGAGGAGCGACGGCCGGTGCATCTAATTGCCATGTCGCTTCTACCATCATGGTGTGCTGGTTGTTGCGTCTCCTCCTGCTTCTCTATCCCATTCTCCTTCTCCCAAAGCATCTCAACAAGGGCAAGCAGACACCACAGCAGTAGCTACCTCTAATATAGGGGGTGACCGGTTGCGGGGTCGAGATAGTCTAATATGGAGGCAAATATGATTTCATCATCAAATTGCTCTGAAAAAGTTGTGAAGTTGTCATTGTATGTCCAAGGACATCCAGATGTGTATCGTCTGGCGACCTCTTCCTTCCACTCTTGCTTTGCTTTCTCCTTTTGTGCCCGTTTCTCCTTCCGCTTCTCCTTGAAGCTTACAAGGCGTTCTTCGAGTGCAAGGGTGATGCGTGAGACGATGGTTCGTAGCCTGTTCTTGGTTCCGTTCTTGGTTTCGTTCTCGTGTTTGTTCTTGTGCTCGTTCTTATCCCGCATACCCCTTGCCCTTAGTGACGGGGATGATTCCCATACTGGAAATGCTGGAAATGCCGGGTATATAAACGAGCCGACCGACCTTCTTGTTCGGTGGGTGCAAGTACTACAGGAATAGGACTCGCTCGTGGAAGAAGCAGAAGAGGAGACCCTTGAAATGGCGGTGTCTATGTCGTTCTTTGCTTCCATGTGCTCGGTGACGACTGCCGCATGGCGTGATGGTGGTGCCTGCATCTGAGACTGGTCGCTGTGTGGTCTCGCATCATTATGCTCGTTGCTCTCGGAGGTATTTGGGGTCTCCGTGTTGTTGGAGTTTGTGGCTTCTGTGGGCTGTTGAGACTCTGTCTCGGTAGCGGCAGCAGAACGGTAAGGTTGAGGCTCCCCCTCATCAGACGCGTCTTCTACGGTGGCGTGGAAACGGCGCGGGTCATTCTCAGGTGTGATCTGGCGATTCTGTGTTAGTGGTGTTGTCCTGGTATCCATGGAAGTTGTTGGCGGGGTCTGGTTGCTGACAATTTCCGTGGTTGTGCTGCACTCGAGGGTTTCGCCCTGGCGCTTCCACTGGTGATTTGAGGTTGGTTGTACCTTCTTCTGCTTCTTCTGTAGCTTGTTTCTCTCCCGTGCCTCCTTGGTGTTGGCCCCGTGCCCCATTCGGGACCGGACTGCTTTGGGTAGACCGCAGAACATGATGAATGATTCGTGGGTAAAGTAAGTAGTGATGGTCGGTGCGTGGAGGAAATGTTCGTTGTGACTTGCTACTTGATGGAGATGGTAGAAAAGTGGAAGACGAGGAAAGGACACTCAAGTTGCAACTTTATACTAGCCAGAAATCTGAGAAGGCAGTGGTCCGTGGTCTTAGACTCACACTCGCAGGAAAGAAAGATGCCATCATCGGAGTCCGGAGAGGCAAAAAGGTAAAAGATAAAGTATGCAGGAACGGACCTAAAATTAAGCATGCAGTCCGGGACTTGCATATTATATGTCCGCGGTAGCATCAGCACTGCCAGCAAAACGAAATTATCGCACGGGATGCATACGGCATTAATATTCCAATCCCTTTTGCCTCTCGGAGATGGGTTCGGAGACGTCGAACGTATCAGCCATGATCACGGAGTAGTCATACCTCTGGGTCACAGCACCGAGAGAGGTCAATCTACTCTGTCGTACTCGGAGAACACTCGAGCATTGCCTCCTGTCCTTTCATGCACGGCTTGCATAATCAGAGGTAGTTGATTCTCCAGTATTCCCTTTAAAACATCCTGAAATGTAAAGCGGAACTGACTCAACTGCAAAATGTGCCAGCCACTTTGTTGACTTTACACCGGGCACTACCGAAGAAACTCGCGATGACCGGATTCCAACTTTCCCTCTTTGAGCGCCTAACCTTGCCTATATGTAAGCAGCACAAGGAGCATACGCCTGCATATAGGTCCGCTCAGTTAGTGAAAGCCCTTTAATATTGCCCACGACCGTAACTTGCCTGCGTTTCATTACACCGGCTAGGACTTGCACTCTACGTACCCGCCAGTACTATGCGACTGTCGGACGCTCAAAGAGGGAAAGCTGGAATCCGGTCGTCGCGAGTTTTTTCGGTACTGCTTGGACTTGGACTGAACTGCCCGATCCCATTCTATGAGCCCGACCCGAACTGAACGCAGAATTCAACGCAAAAGACCAGATGTTGTGCCAGTTAACTTTCTCCTCATGTCAACCAAGTCATCTACCACCAACCCATACCAAGCCGGCCTCAACGCTTAGAGATAAGAGAGAGGGCAAGTCGAGCCTCCTATATAAGGCAATGTTTTGCGCACAATAAGCACGTACGGCCATAGATAGTGGAAAACTCGGGATCCCGTCCGCTCTCCCTTAGATAAGCCACTAATCGCCTGACTAGTAGTTGGGTCGGTGACGACCAGCGAATCCCAGGTGCTGTATGTTTTTTTTGGGGTTTTTTTTTTTGCTTTGCGCTCACATTCCTTTCTCTTTTCTTTTGTGTCTGACTCTCTCTTTTCCTTTTCGCCCGGTCACTTATTCGCAAGCTGAACGGAACCTGTTGTAAGAGGTGCGAATTTTGGAACAGCTCCGAACGAACTGGAAGAGAAAAGAGAGTGAAAGGTTGCCAACACTTCGGCGTTCGAATCAAAAAAAACTGTCCATGGCAATCGTGAGATGATAATCCCACTAGTTAAGACGACACGAGGCCCGCCAGTAACACCAAAAGAAGGATCGTCCGGGTAGTTTTACTAAGGTAGCTAGACAGAACCCAAGGTGCACACTTTATACGGCATGTCACGGACCCACCCCATAACTTTGCTGTCTGAGATCAATGGAAACCAATGTGGTGATTTTGATGGATTGATTGGCTTGGTGGAAGAAGAGGAAGAGGACTGCCAATCCCCTGCTAAATACCCTAAGAATGAAGACTTTGGTGGGGGACAACCCAGAGTGGAGACATGTCTCACACCCGAAACCGGCAAAACGACACCGACGATAGAAGCGAAAGCAAAAGATATAAATAAGCGAAAAAAAGAAACGGAAGCAAAAAGAGAATCTCAAACAATCTCATCACCCCAAGTTTGGACGAGCTGGGAATCGAACCCAGGACCTTTCGCATATCCGTGAGGTATGCTAAGCGAACGCTCTACCAACTGAGCCACACGCCCGGAAAGTGGAGAACGAAGATGATCGAGAATTGGACGAGCTGGGAATCGAACCCAGGACCTTTCGCATGCTCGGAAACATGCTAAGCGAACGCTCTACCAACTGAGCCACACGCCCGTGATCTTATTGTTGGAGATCGACGCCGGTTGGAGGGCTTATGATCGCAAGTTCATAGAAAGGTGCAGAATGTCCGTATGCAACGGTCACCATGAAGAGAGAAAAGAAGACGGACGGCCTAGAATGGACGCCGGTGAATATGTTGGTCAGGGCCATGCTGTCAACAATCTAGCTAGGTTGTCTAGGTAAGTGGGAGAATAGAAGATCTGACAAGACATAAGGAAAAAGTCATGCACTTGACCTCTCGGCCGAGCGAGCTCGGATTTGTTTACTTCTCAAAACCTCACCAGGGGCAATCATCAAGCTCCCTGCATGTCAGGAATTTTAGTACCCGACTATCGACTTGGAGACGCCCTCGCTCTCTCGCCGCTGCGGTTCCAACAGAATCAAGTGCCTCAATGACAACCAGGCGGCTGCTTCGGCCTGCGAGGCTTTGATCAACGGCTTGCTTTTCCACTCGCAACAGCCTCCCGGTCAGCCCTTGCTCTGTGTGCGTCACCACGGCAGGGAGCCAGTGCTGCACCAGCTGGGCCAACAACTTGACGGGTGCCCAATACGTTCACCTTCATGATGGCGCAGCGGCGATAAGTGCTGGATGGGTGTCGGGTAAGTCTTATAACACCTTGCTCGGCAGCACCTGCACCACCCAGTGCATATCTAACCGCCCTGATGGCTATAACAACAACTGAGGGGGCTGTTGATGGTGGTGTGGACGGCAAAGACGGGGCGATATGTGATGAGAATTCGTGAGGGCTTGTGTGGAGATGGGTGTGCAAATTGAGGAAGGAGGTGAAGAATGAAAAGGGTCCTAGTTCCAAGAGCGTGCACTTGTAGCCCTGTTTGTACGATAGCTTACTGGAATACCAAGAACTGTCCATTGACTCCTCCTCTGCTTGATGTGATTTTGCAAGTCCCGTAATCTTCGGGAACCGTACCCCGAATTTGGCTTGGTGCATTTGAACTAGGTTCTGATATGACGAAGGCATGTAGGCCGTCCCTCCTCCTCTGCAATTGGACTGTTTCCCCGAGTGATTCTGAAGGAGAATTAGACGTAAATCCCGAATGAAGACCACCAAACGGTAGAATGGGAAAGAGCGGGTTGGAAGAATGTATGACGAGAAGGCCATCTCTAGTTCAAAGTGAACTGCCACAGGAAAGCCGTAGAATTGAATTGAGGACAGGCATGAACCTTCCCCTTGCCCCACCTTGCAGAGCAAAGCGAGACAAAACGGAGTAAACATGGGAGGAAGGCGTTGAGGCGCTTCTAGCCCAGACGAGTAGCCAGAGAAAAGAGTAAAACGGACACTCCCATAAGGAGACTCCAGTCAACATGGCGAGTAGACCAGCAACTGTGAAGTCTGCGAATGAGTCAGTAGCCAGCCACCGGCTTTATTCCGAATCGATGACACTGGGGAAAACATATGTATTTGGTTGAGATTTGAGATCCTGATCTTCTCACGATGCGACCCCCACTCGAGCGTATACCGCCTTTTCGAGTAGTAGAACCTTGGCTGGTTGCGGGCCTCACTGGCTTGCCCTCAGGGACGGCAGAGCCGTGGGATCACGGCATCTCGCAGACGATGTTGGCTGGCGCTTGGGGTTACAGCTGAAGTTGACTTGATGCTTGAACTGTAGCCGCGGGTGGGTGGTAGGGCGACATTCCGAAACCACGTTGAAGGAGTTTAGTGGCTTCCGTGGCACCAGGTGACCGTAAAAGCCACGTGGAGAGCGCTCGTCCGTGAGGGCCGATGATTTTACCCGGAAAGTTCGTGATTTCGGGGTCGGGGCCGGATGTAGTCGAAGTAGCGGGAGGTTAGGAACAGAAGAGATGATATCGTGGGATGATGTGTTACCGACGCGTCCGGATCATCGGCAATGGCGTGCTCTTATCAATGTCGTTATTGGTGTTGAGGTTGAGATCGCTCGGTTTCAGGCCAGCAAAATGACTTGCAGAAGCCAGGAAGGAGTGGCAGACTGTGGTCTCAGTCGCCGGTGAACGTTCCTACCCCTTGTTGTCGAATGGGAGAAGGAGGTGAAGCTTCACAAAGGACCGTTGGAGCTGCAAAGGCGATGATGTCAATCATTGGAGAAAAGAGCTGATTGGACAAGGAACCCCTCCTTTTGGTGCGCTTGAGCCCCACTATCAGTCGTGGAAAGTGGGGTCAGCGCTGGAGTTTCTCGGGGATGGCGCTAGCAGGGATGAGCTGAACTTTGACAAAACGAAGCCATCGTGAAAAAAGCGGCTCCTCTTGCGGCTGTCACCATCCTCGATGGCGGGGCATTCTCGTTCTTTCTTCAAGTTGCATATCGAAGAGAACCAAGATACCAAACAGCACCTACCACGCCAGCCCGGATGGAAGTCTTCAGACCTCTGCCGTGCCGTAACATGTCATGACTCGGAGGGGCACCTCGAATCACGATCACTCAACTTCCAAGACAGTCCATGACAGGCTGCACTGTCCAAGTGTTTGGGCAGTAACCATTCCGAAGGACAGATGCTACACCGATTTCAAGACATATCGTTGGCTTGGAGGTCATCTCTTTGAACAATAAGCATAACAGGTTGGTAGGACGGTTGGGCTCCAGTTCCCAGCGCCACCTAACTCGGAAGCGGGAACGGGTTCGACTATGATACGTCCATGAAGCTAGACGAACCAGGCCGACTTGAACCGTGTCATCCGCGGAGAGAAAGAAGTGCATGCAGAGAGTGAAAAGACTCTTTTCGGACGAAAGCTGGAGAGACCAATGAGAGTGGGCAAACACCAATGAGGGAGGGAAGAGAGAGAGAGAGAGCAATAAGAAGGTTGCCGTGTAAAGCGAAGACTGACGAAAGCTGCAGCAAGAAGAGAGGGTTCCATCACCCATTCGAGCTTGGCACTACTACTAGGCCCATCCAAGAGCGTGCAAGTGCAGCTGGTAACCACCCATCTTGA